ATATTTTTTCTCTCTCTTCGGGTTGAAACATGACGACGCTATCGAATGTTGAAAGGTCCCTCATGACTACTGCTTCCCACCACCCAGCCACGGCAGCAAATCATAGCCGAAGATCTAGCGGGTAAGAATAGAAAAGGTCCCTCGGATGTGAGCGAAACGGAATACATGAGTCGAGTCGTGGGTACGATTCTGTGTACCGACTGAGCAACCCGAAAAGCCCTTGACTTGTTTCCTTCCTAGCTGGGTCCCTGCCTGGTTCCGCGGCCACGATTAAGCCAAAATAGCCCTCAGCCGAGGAGCTTGGACATTCCATTGTTGGTCTCCAAGTCTCCCTCCCAACCTGGAGCCCCAGCAAGCAGTCAAAACGGCTTTGCCGTAGGCCGGTTGTCGATCTTGTGTAGCCTCCAAGCCCAATACTGTCTAGGGTCGGTCATCAGCTCTGCTGCGCTGTCTATATTGTGGTAAACATGGCATAGGCGATCTTTTTGGGTCCTTCTACCACGGTGAAAACCTGACTACAGAGCACTACTCTGTACTACATACAACTCCTTGTCAAGCTTGCTGCTTGTTGTCTGTCCGACTCCAATTTGCCAGTATTCCGCCGCAGCGATCGATCGAGGCCTTTCGTGTCAAAATGCGAACAAATCAGAAGAGATCTGCGAGAGGCTCCATCTTCTCCGTTTATCATGGCTATTGCTAGCCAACCAGCAGTCCTATCCCCTGGGTAGTCTCAGCAAACCCGGCTATTTGGTGCATGGTCTAGAGTCCAGACCGTGATCTTCATGGGCCACAGCCTCATGTAACCTGGCAACTGCTAAGCTGGCATCAATTGTTCTCCCAAAGGAAAGAGAGAAAAAAAACTAATGGGTTCAACGTGTTATGTCGTTATTGTTGCTGCCGTCGTCGTTGTTGTTCTCTGCAATTTGCTGCCTCTTGACCCAGGAACCCAATCAGACGTCATAACAGCACACCTTCCCCTTCCGACTGGCAACCTAGAAGCATCTATTCGTACGCAACCCTGACTGACCCGACGCCGTCTTGCCAAAGAAAATTTTCCGACAGCCTTATTCAGGCCATGACTGACTGGCATTGTTTACCGCCAAGCAGGACACTACAACGTTCGACCGAGAAAGGCGTTTACTTTTCGTCTGCTTTTGTTTGGTCGTTTTTTCCAGGTCTCTTTTACCGCTGCATGAGACGGTTGCATACCTAACCGTCCCCACGGAGACACCTGCTGAATATGACGCAAATGCCGAGCTGACTCAAGCAGCTCCAGTCAAACAAACATCAGCGACTCAAAAAGAGAGAAAAAAATATTCTGGAGGTTGGCCTTTAGCCTCGCTGCCTTACTGATTGAGGCCCAGCTGAAAAAAGAAAGTCCCGATCAAATTATTGATGACTTGCTTGCGTTTGACCCGTCTCGCCCGTCCGCCCTATCTATCGTTTTCTGAGGGTTGCGGCATTAGCCCTCCCTCTCACATGAGTCCTGCATCAGCTGAAAAAAAGGGCCCGTCAACCCGTGGGTTGCGTGAGCTTGAGAGCTAGCAATGCGGCTCGATTCGCTTGACACCTAGTAGTCTCTGCCCTACATTCCCTGTGGCTGGCAACAGGGCTGGCTGGCTGGCTGTTGGGAAGGGCGCGCCGCGCCGTTGAGCGCCCTTTTCCTATATCGCTTCTCGGATCATGCACACTTTGCGCAAGATGGAAACTCTATCTCGCTGTGAATAGTTCGCTGTTTTTGTTTTGGTTTCCGGCCTCATCTGCCGTTGCCGGAGAGCATGCTTGGCCCTCGTCAAACGGCACACAAGCACGAGACTTAACTGAGCGAAGCGAGCAAGGGGACTGAGTGAGTACCCTCCACCAGGATGAGTCGTTGGAGCCACCAACAAGAGCGACAAAACGGCCTTGCGCTTGGTCTGCAGGAAACGCCAACAACTACCAACCGAGACGCTTTCCGCGACCCAAGTTTGAAGTTTATGTGGTCCGAGAATGCGCATTGGATTGTCTCGCGGTGATGTTTGCTAGCTGGTTGGATGATCCAGTTGAAATTGTCCCACGGCAGAGAGAGGGCAACGGCAAAACATCCCAACCCTGCAGGACACCCATAAAGCAACTGTCCAAGGGAAATGGCCAACGGATGCCGAGTATCCCCCATCTGGGCCAATCATGGTGGCCTGGTAAAGTCTTGACATAATCAATGCACCCCGTGTTGTAGCCAAGAGATGCTTTGGAAACGTCGTGCCGCTCCGGAAAGTCAAGATGAGGATTGCGCAAGTGGCCCATACATGAGAGCTTGACCCTTCACCAGCTGCCTAATCCGGCAACGAACAGAGGGCTGGACTCGTTTCTCTCTACCCTTCTCTACCCTCCGCCCATGCTTGCAAAGTCGCAATGGGGCAATAGATCTACGATGATCGCGCGCAAAAGAGGAACACCCCGCCGGGGGTTGTGATCTCGTGCATATGCAACCCTTTTTATTATAGAACCATAGCCCGGACTGGACTGTAACCCTCCCCAGTTGATCCCTCCAATACGCGACGCTGTCGTTGCAAACGCCAGAAATAAGGGACAAGGAGCCTCAAGCAATACCCTATATCTTAAAAAGTCGAACGGGTGGCGATCGATCCCACACGACCCAGATAGTCAAGCCAAGCAACAAAGCCAAGCATACCAAGAAGCTGAGCGCCTCGGGATATTGCAGAAGCGAGAGTTTACTCTACCTAGGTAGGCAGCCCGACTAGAACGACTTTGTTATGTACGTGGTCGGAGTTTCAAAGCTAGATTCTATAATGGGAATTAGGATTGCATTCGACTAGAGCTGGCAAGTAGTTTTCCCCAGGAACCCAGCCAGCCACATGCGAGCGCAAGAAGAAGAAAGAAAAAAAGGCCTACATAGTAGAGTCCTGTGTAAAGACAAGTTGCGCGATTCGGAACAAAAAGCTTACATTATCGGCCGTTGTCTTGATAATGATTAGTTTAATGTAAAAGTTCCTTGTGGAGGATATATGTTTTACTCTCCACGTGTTGCATCCTGTCCCCAGATAAAATCATCCGATGTACGATTCAACCAAGACACAATGCCAAGAATGCACATGCTATTTTCTTTTTCTTTTTGTGGCGTCAAAGATTTCAAACAAGAATGCATGCAGTGTTCGATTCGGTTAAAAAAGAACAGAAAAGAAAAAATACACTGGACCCACGAGCTTCTTGACCGTTGTGGTTATACTATGTAGACGCGCATATAGCCCTTGTCTCAGGGAAGCCTTCCCCGGAGGCGCGGGCCTAATGCTTGAATGCGTTGGTAAAAAAGCTACCCATGACGCGCATATACAAGAGGGGAAATCTGTTTGTACTGCTTGGCTACTTCCCACGTATGCAGCCTGTGACTTGGTGACAGACTACAGTCTCTTTGTTCTTTTCGATTCACCGGTGCTCCTTTCGCGAGGGGGCGCCAAGGTTCTTCTATGCACGTTTGGGTTGTTCGTTGCAGAAAGTCAAAAACAAAGTCTTGTTACCTGCCATTGCCTACCACTGTCTTGTCTTTTTTATTACCGTTACAGCCGGGACGGCGGCTACTCGGCTTCAAAGTCTATTTTGTGTGTAATTATCGCGATCCCCCCTCAGAGGAAACTAGGTTTGTACTTTTTCTTCGCCATGTTTTCTTTGTGCCTCCCCTTCGTGGAGGGCTACCCTTTTACGCATCTTTTGGGTATAATCGTATGATTTCACTACTAATGCCAAGCCAAGCAAAAGAGTCAAGTTTGGGCAACTTGATCGCTGAACGCGAGACGGGAACAAGATTGAGCCAGCCGTTTTTGCCGTGAGCTCGTTACGGGGAAGCGCCATCTTGTCATCATACGTCCCCTCGTGTTTTTTTCCCCTCCAGATGTCTTGGCCAAAAAAAAAAAAAGCGATACCATTCGGCTTCTGACGGCTTTCTAGCACTAATTCTTCCCTTTCTTGTGTCTTTCCCATGGGGAAAAGAAAAACACAGGGCCCACGTGTCGAAGAATAAGGAAACCACTAATCAGACTTTGTCATCTCGGGTTTAGCAGGGGAAGAAAAAACTGCATCATGCATGGTAGTTTCGTTTTGTCCTGCCGCCCACTAAGGGGTATAGAAAAGGCAAATGACTTGTGGAATGTCTCAGTTTTGCGGGCCATGGATAAGGTAGTCTGCTGTATTTTTCGAAAGCGAGGGAGCGTTTGCGCCGTCCCTCCACCATATGCCAGATTTGTCGGGGCGCCAGCAACGGTAGACGCCTCGGTGGCAAAGGGGTCACTGATACGAGGTTGGTTGGTTGTGTAGAGAGAGAGAGAGGCATTTCCAGGCACATGCTATCCGTGTATTATGTGACTATTGATGCACAAGGCGAGGCATGGAAGAGCGAATCGAAAGCGTTTCATCAGCATGTGAACTTTGAACAATCTAATCGATCATGGCGATTGTTTTGTCATCTACACTTGACAGAGGAGCTGTCCCAGGCTTGACTGAGTCAACGTAGATGTCCTTTTTGATGAATAGAAATCAAACATGGTCGAAAGCGTCGGCATGCCGATGAGCCTTGGATGAGCCCAGGACGAGCTCAGGATAATACTTGCATTTTGCGCACCCGTTGAGCTTATGGTCTGATCTTGGTTATAGATGGCGTGTGCTTTTACGTTTGGTCTTGGTATAACGACTCCTCATTAGGTATGTTGGCTGTAATGCCATCATGTAAAGTGATTAAATGTTCGAATGTTTAAATGCTCCTTCTTTATTCAAGGCAAATCGATGGAAGCTGAGACCATCGTGTCCCAGCGTGTATATGTATTTCGAAAATTCAACAAAACGTACTGATCATGTACCCTCGTACAACTATGCTACCCTGAACTCCAATGACCAAGAAATGATAGCGAATGCTGGGTATTTAATTAATTGCTTCATAACAAGACCCCCAAACTCTTGTCTTCTAAACATCCTTCCAGGCCCCAAGTCGTGTACTGTAAGATATATGTCGTCTACTCATCCCCAAGCACGGCATCAAGGTTTCCAAGCATCGTCTTGACCGTAATGGTCGAGGCGCCTCCGCTCTTGCCCTTGTAGGCCGACAGTGTGCTTCCAGGCCAGCCCCCGCCTGATTTTGTGACTCGGACGTCTTTGCCCGTGACCGAGAGCGAACCGCTAGTCGTGTCGGCGTGAATGTCGCCGATCCACGACTGCGGGTACCGGAGACCAATGTTGGCGCTGGTGGACTTGTGTATCGCCTGGAGGCAGTTGAAGTCGGGGGTGGCCGCGGCGCTGCTTTTGGAGCCAAACCAGACCGGCTCCAAGATGCGTACTGCTGTTGTGCCGCTGGTTGTTACCGTCTCCAGTTGCGCCGGTTGAGAGGGCGATAATACACTAGAATCGAGCACAGGTAAAAGGTCGACAGCAATGTCGCTCGCAGTACTCTTCAAATCAATGCCTCTTCCGAATGCCAAGGCGCAATGTATTCCGCCAGATGTTGACTTGACGTCGACCAGATAGTCGCGGATTGGGATTTTCTTCAGTTCGTGAATGGGCTCATTGGCGTGAATAGTGCCAGATACGGAGCTCAGTGACAGCACTGCCGGCTTTGGGTCAGACTCTAGCACTGGCTTTGGCGTGATGCTCGCCATAATGTTGCCCGACGTGGTATGAATGCCCAGCATGTCATAGAGCGGCCAGTTCCCATTAATGCTGCCAGTGGTGCTGTACAGCTCAATGATTCTCGAGTCGAATACGTACGAGTCTGGGGCCGGGACAAATGTAAAGTCGGGAGCATCCGCCTTCACACCGCTGGGAGAATCATACGTCTTTGGCTTCGTCAATCCAGACGCAACCTCGCCAAGCGTTGAGGAAAACTTGGTCATCTCGGAAATCCGAATGGACAGGTCGTCGAGGGTGAGAATGTCTAGATGAACCGTACCCACGGCTAGCTGCTGCAACTCGGCATCTTGCGGCACCCAGATCGTGGCTAGGATTTCCAGACAAGGACCTTCTTCCGTGTTATCGGATATGCGCCTCTTTGGTACGTGGAGGCCCATCTCCTGCTCCTCCTCGTTGATGTAGCTGTCAAGTCGAAGTAGATCATCGTTTGTGATAAGCTCAACGACGACTCGAGGGATGCCTCCATCATCGAGCTTTCTGAGGTTGACCTGGCCTCCAACTCGAACATTCATATTACCAGAGTGGGTAGTCACCCCTTGGACAAATGTAAGGTTCTTGTCCTTGGTGAACTTTACGGCCACTATGAAATCTCGAGTTAGTATGAGGGCGTCAAGATAGTAGGCAGTGATACAAGGTAGATGGTTCTCTCCTCTGATATGACGACATGGAATTGACACGCACTTATCTGGTCAGGGAAACGATATTTGGCGTCGTGACAGTATGTTGATCGTAAGGGTTCTTTGGCCGGTGACCCTGGCTGGGCCGGATTAGAAGGATCCGCCGGTGATGATGGCTCTGACGGTGGTGTATTGTCCTCCTCTGGTAATGTCGGTCGTATGGTCTTTCCCTTCATTGACTCCTTTGTCAGCAAGATGATCCATGTCTCATTGATATGAGCAGCAACTCACCGAGTCACCCCTCACGGCTTTATATCCACTGATTAAGAAGCCAAACGTTACTGCCAACAAAACGAGCGCGAACAGAGCTAGCTTCCAATTGAACCAGGGGAACCTCCTCCTGATGCGCCTGCTCCAGCGTGGTGAGTATACTGGCTCTTCTCCAGGCTCGCCCATGCTCTCGGGGTCCCTCCCGAGGAGGCGTTCATTCTCGATGCCCATGTTTGGTGGAGGAGTAGTAGTTGGTGAAGTTGGTGAGATGGAACCGTAATTGGTGGTCTGGTTAGTCTCTCTACTGGGCGACAGTGGTGTGGTGGCTGTATGGGAAGGTGTATAAGCCGGCGGCGCCTCAGAATATAGAGAGAGGGTACGTCCCGGGGCAGGGGACGGTCTATACTGCTGCCTAGATGTGGACGCAGGATGTGACGTCGACGACGACGATGGCGCATACGACGTAGGCGGCGTGTGGATTGGTGGTATGTTGTTGTACGTGGAGTCGGAGCGGGTGGATGGCGCCGACCTCTGCAGTTGCGATTCAATGAAATCTCTAGCCGACAGGGCCTGAGGTTGCGAGTCGCCGCGAGCAGTACTATTTAAGAGAGATTCTTGCCTTGCCTGCAAAGCCTTGGCCTCGTTCTTGTTCGTCTCTACGTCTGAGTCCCGGACGGTGGGGTCAGGGACCATCACATTTGGGACGTTGCGGGCGGCGACATTGGACGAGACGCCTGAGGCAAAGTAACCATCTGAGGGCGACAACTCGTCCGCGTAATCATCATCATTGTCATTATCATTAGTAGCAGTGGTATTCTGCCCTGTGCCCTCTGTGAAGTACAGATCGTCAGAGGAAGGGGAGGCGGGCATGATTTGGCGATTGAAACGGGCTTGGCGGGGTTGAAACTATCGCCAAGAGGAGCTGGGAGCTACGCGAAACAGACTCGCCCAGTCTTACCGCAATGGTGAGGTGAATCAAAAATCCCTGACTCTGTCCAATTGAAAACCGACGGCAGTTTGAAATGGATGGGCCTGGGAGAACAGAAAGAAGGAGAGAAACGTCTGCGCTCAACAAAGCTACAGAGCAGCGGCAGCAACTTCAAAATGGTGGATTGAAGTGCAGTAGTAGAAAATGCACCATCGGGAGCAGATAATTTCATTTCGCGCAATCAATCGTCAGATCACCCGCCGACGACGGCCAAGGGGTCTTCGGCTGGCTGACGTCTTCTTGCTCCCCCCTCCCATGCTGCAGACCGATATCTGGGATTGGTATCACCGCGCCGAGAAGCAACAAGTCGTAAGCTCTCTCTAAAGGACTTTCCAGGCAGACACATTTGCACCTCTGCGATACTTGAGACGCCTGCAATGGCGCAGTGTAAAGTCAGGTACCTCATGAGCGGGGCGGCGAGGGTCAAGTCAATTGGGTTTTCGCAAAGGGCGACCCGAAGCTGAGGTACTAGATGCGAAATAGGAAGCTCGTTATCGTCGACGGCATTCCCATTGGTTGTACTGCTAAGCAAAGGGTCTGGGGATGTCGCGATTGCGGGGATGGGGGTGAGACCGACTATACTGCATTGGTCTTTTTTTGCCAATCTGCTGGAAGACACCACATCAACTTTGACGGCCGCTGCTTATCTCTCACCTTAATTGGACGACGACAAGACGCACCAAGCAAAGGTAATGAGTTTGCCATGTCCAACCACACAATCTGATGGCTACTGCTGTGTTCTGTATTCTGTATTCCTTAAATGACAGCCTAGAATTTCATGTAGGATGGCGTATACTGATGGCGTATACTACTCCAGAATGACTACTACCTCCTCGCATAGTGCTTCTAGATGTTCTCGTATGCAAAAGCGACAATCAGGCAACAATATTTTCCAATTACCATCTCAAGACTTTTCCTAATCTGTCTTCTACATATCATAGTATACGCATAGCGCAAACCTTGTTTGGCAGTTGTACATTCCATAATCTTAGTGCCAAGCATCGTTGCTATCTGTTTTCTGTTTTCGCAAGCGACCAGCTTTGACTTGACTCTTTGCTCTTAAGATCAGTTGTTCCTTAATGTATTTGCCCCCCAAAGAAGAAAAAGAAAAGTGTCTCTACTGCTTTTCAAAGTAAAGAACAAATGTTTTCACAATCAGGATGCCCCTGAGTTTTGCATACTCATGACAAGCCTCACAAATTTCCAATGCATTCAAGTTGTGCATCTTATTCGCACCAAGAAGACAAGTGTAAGCAATATCAGCGATTGCTTTCGGTTGAAAAAAAAGTCTACCATTTATCAATCAAATATATTATAACAATTGGTCAGAGATTGTTATTTGATGACTGTAAGAGCATTGATTGCCCATGCTATTATCTCATCTTCTGGTCATGGCAAACCTGACCCATCGGAGTATATAAATCTCTCCCATCCGGCAACCTTTGACACGAAGCTGAATCGATAGCTATAAGACATTAAATCAACTTCCTACTTTCAGAAAATCGTCTGCCATCACTTCGCGGAATGAAATGCGTCCATATAACCTATGCGTGCACTGTCCTCACCTCGACAATGACACAAAGCTGTCGACAAGACCCGAAGACAGAACTCAGCGCCTCTTTTGTTCGACGGTAATAGTCATTGCACTTTTAACAAATGCATATGAATTTCGCTCCTGTCTCCCCCGTGCTCTTAGCCACGGAAAACGACTTGGATGAAGTGAATGGCAGAGCCCCAGAACAATACTGTTCAGTGCGACGCACATTATAACCACTTCCAGCAAGGCACCGAGGAATGTGCTACATTCGAAAAAGAGGTTTGCACGTAGACCTCGTGCCGCCTTGATTCAGCGGAAGATGACAACAGATGCGCTGGAGGCTGAAAGGGACAACCTACAGGTCCAAATCCGACAATTGCGAGACCAACATGAGCTCGAAAAGGGAAATATACAAGTCTAGATACAGGAATTGCAAGATCCGGCTTTCCGGCTATGGGACGAACCTAAGGTCTCTCGTGACGAGGGAGTCAGTAAAACCGCAGACGCCTACGAGATGGTACGTGAGTGGATTTGCATGGGATCTCACTCATAAGGCTGATCCCATGAGCTTCAATTTTGAAGGCTCTTGTTTCCTCTCTTCTTTTTCTTGACAATTGTATTGATATTTCCGGCTTTGACTATTCCTCAAATCGAGCCTACACCGTTGAATCCATGCAATACGTTCTCTACAACCATCTTGATCATAACATGCACTACTTCGGTCTGACTCTCTGAGGGCAAAAACTTTGTCCACCCCGGCGAGACCTCTTCCAGGATTCGCGCGGTCGGAAGGCGCAGAGTTGAGAGCTGTACGAAAACTGCTTGTACAACATATACCGCCTACTTGGGTTGATCCTGAGAAGAAATTCGAGCTCTTGAAATAAAGGTCCCTGGATTTGATGAATTTTGTTTCCCGGCAAGGTCAACGACGGAGGAACGCTCAGAACTGGCCTTTCCCGTCAACGAGCGCCACATCTCCGCTCTAATGGTGACCATGGGACACATGGCAACGAGGGCCTCTTTGGATGGTTTATACATTCAAGACATTGAGTGAGGGACCGTATGCCGCAAGCACTAGCTCTGTCATCTGCCTTCTTTGACGCCAAAGATGACGGCAATCAAGTAAGACTCAATGGTTTCGTGCAAGACTTTCTCGGCTGTCAGAGACTTTACTTTGGAAGAAGATATATGGAAGGCGCAATGCGAATTTAGCGATTGATTTTGCCTATAAAAAATTCCACAGAGATTTTGATCTCTCAAAGTTGATCAGAAGACCAAGCTTTCTATGCGGATTTGGCAATGATAGTCCGAGTAGCCCCAATGGTATAAGTAACAACTAGACTCCCGCGAGAGTAAACAGGTCGATTGCAACTCACAACTGCTGTCTCTCCGGTCCTGATCCCAATGTGTCATAAATCATGTAAATATAGTCAAGTAGACCTACTCTCGCTTGCGGCCCGCATCTCACCGCTGTCTAATCGAGATGATGGCAGCACCCAAGTCCTTGGTAAACACGACTCGAGGCCGGTTACTATTATTATTATTGGCTATGCTCCACCTCACGAACTCCGGATGGCAGTGACCGCGCAGCATTGCCTCGGCGGCGGCAAACGCCGGCAAGAGGGCCGAGGGGTGCGTCGTCTGCTCGACGGCCTGGATGCACGCCGTCCGGTCCTGGTGCGTGAGATTGAGCTGCCGCTCGCCGCCGGTGAAGATGTACTGGCGCACGATCTGAAAGATTTCGTCGCGGAAAGGCTGCGCCACATCCTTTGGCGGTGGGGAACACGCTGTCTCGACCGCTTCCTCCTGCTTGTGGTCACCGTCGTCTTGCTCCTTTTCCATGTTAATGCTCTCGGTCCGGGGCGACAAGACCCGGGGCCACGAGAAATTGGTCAAGGTCGAGTCGCCCCGGCTGCGCAGAGAGTCCTTGCCGGCGGCGGCGTCGGCCTCCTTGCCCTTGGGACTCTTTTCCAGAATGGCAAAGATGCGGTTGAACCGCTCCATGTTCTCGGGAAAGCTCCTGGTGCGCGCGTGTGTCTTGCGCTTGGCCGTGTCATCCTCGCGGTTGTGGCGCCACTGCGGCGACAGCTCGCGCTGGTCTGGTGATAGCTTGCACCATCGCTCCACGTAATTGCAATACCAGAGGAAAAACTGAAGACATTCGGCGCCGTGTTCGACTTGGAGCAGGTAGTCCATGAAGTCGTTGAGGGAACGTGGCTAAGCTTTAGATTAGTCTCTTGTTTCCTTCTCGTTCAAGAGTTGCCATGGGGTAAAATGTCGAGGCAGAAAATGCGATATATGCTTACCGGTAACGTGACATTCTTAATAATCTCCTCAAATGATAACTGCTCTGGGATTGTCTTTCTATTCTTCTCGGCCGCTTCCAGGTAGGATGCGCAAAGCGACTCATCCAGCTCCGGCCTGATGCGGCCGCGGCCATGGTGATCGACTCGTCGGCAGAAGAAAATGGACATGGTGCGACGACGAGAAGAAAACTGCGACGATATGTGACCTTTTTCCAGAGAAAAGGAGACACGGCGCCTATTAGGCGACTATCAAGTCCTGTGGATGGGGGGTTGTGCGCACTGACTTGTCTTAATAATAAAACAAAACGAGATCGATCAAGCATGTGCCTACCCGTGAACGAGGGAAGGAGTGTAGTGCATGGCAACAGATAGCTCGATATACCGAGAGGGGCAGGTTTTGACACCACCTTCTTGGGGGAAGAAGCACAAATGTGAAAGTGCAAGCTTCTTGGTCACGGCGAGACTGCATTGAGATTGGCACAGCCTCCCCAATCATGAATGATGGACGTTTCCACATCCGTGCAGACATGCCGCTCTAGCCCACCCATAGAAATAACACGTCTGCTGGCTGTTAGGTCTGCAATTGAAACTGTTCAAGGTCTACGTACCAATGATATTAGAGACCGCACGAGAATAAGAGAGAAAGGGAGAGAGAGGGATACACCGCGGAGTTTGGTCTCAACTCGTCTGATGTTGTGGTCACGAGGTGGTGAATCTCGAGCAGATCTCCGACAAGATGTCCAGAGGAGCGGAGGGAGGACGACGCCATGTCACACATCAGCGAGTGGGTTAAAGATACATGCTGTTACTGTTTTTTCTGTTGTTGATTATGAAAAGAGAAGGCAGAAGGGGGCTATATGCTGCAACTTTTATGATCTGCACCAGGAAGTAGAGCGTCTCATCAGCATCACCGCGTGGCAGGCGTGTCTATGCGAGGAGAACCAGGACGGTTGCCCTCGGCCGGGTGAGAATGCTTGAGTAGCATCAGCCGTGTGCGAAGCCAAGGATGAGTCAATACCATCGTGTTCTTATTCTTCTCAAAAGATTGAATGTCGCAAACATGCTAGCTGACCCAAGTGGTCGTCTGCATGCATTGTAAGGAACAAAAGGTGGGTAGGCAGGTAATGTGTGCGCCGACCACATCACCCACAGGTGAGTGAGGTCCGAGTTTCAGTCTCACCGATGCCTGGTGGAATACCGACCAGATAAGAGGATCTGGACCGAGTTTCATGCATCTACGGACTGTGGTGGCTCTTCTGGGAAACCATTTGGTGTAGAAAAAGGGCTTTGGAGGCTGGCTGGTGCTACTCCTTGAACAAGTTTTGGATTTCTCGGTAACTCAAGGTTGGCAAATCAGTCTAGTTTCTTGGTTCTAACGGATCCCGCATCAAAGATTTCCTGGTATCTTGAGCCGCTTTACGGATCTCTGGGTTGAAACTGTATAGGAACACTAGAGTAAGTGTGGGGGTGACCAAGGTACCAACCGCCGACCAGTATTGGGTCGTCCCGCACCATGTATAGTATTAAGGTTCATCTTGGCGTCATTGTATACTTTTGCATTTCACATTTTATACTTTTTGTCCCAATAAAGACAGAACCAAACTTTACGTTCGATATACTGCAAAACCAAATTTCCTAATTCGTCCGTCCCATCTTGATTTTCTGCCCCAAATCCAGCCATTATTCCATAAGCCATCTGATCTTTCTCCCCTCTCTGCCTCAAAAGGACACATCAATTCCAACTATGAGGCGCTGGTTAAGTGAAGCCCCTACGAGGTTACATCGTTCCAAATCAAACTCATCCGCACTTACCGATCGTCGTGGTGCATGAATGGAATGCAGGTAGCCAAGGGATGTCTACCCTGGTTGAGGGTCGCAGAAAGGATCTGCGTGTCACTGTCGCAAACCGCCTGCAATGCATGCAACCAAGAAAGAATTCTGAAACCGCGTCTCGCTGCTCGGCGCGCGCTTCCTGTATAAGTCAATCATAAAAGGATCTCCCCCCCAAACCCGAGCCGCCCATGGCTGCCTTACATTTTACTCTCTTCTATGCTCGAATAATACCTTCACCTGCGGTGATTCTAAAAATGAAATCATGCAGGAGATAAGCGGAGGAAGAAACAGTGTCGCATCATTAAGACTTGCCATAATGAGGGATGATTCCGTCACACCCAAGATGCAAATGACTGCATACTGACCATCGATCGGATTGTGCAGGAGTCAGTCAAGAGTACAGAAATTCAACATGCTCAAAGGCAATGGGCTAGGAAGCAGCTACATGCATGCATTCTTTGGATACTTGCTCTACCAGGCTTTGCATATACTGACAATGCTATAATTTTCATCGACTTGCCATGATTCCAAATGACCATGCTCAAAAAGTAAAGAAGACCAAACCGACAAGCACCAACCCCTCCAGAACAGGATGGCTAGTGTATCCCAGTCTTCTCTGCACCGCTTGACTCGGAACCTCTCCAATCTTGTACACGGTTGCCATGACGTGTGGTTCCTGGACTGTATTGCTCGATGCTGGTGTCGATGGAGTAGCTGGTGGCTTGTGTTGGTCAAATAACAGACATCCCTCCTCGGCGCACTGGCTACCTCCAGGACAACACCCACCACCCTCCGCCTCACCGCATTGCATGAGCCCCTGCGGACATATGGCGGAGCTTGTGAGGTGGCCTTCTGACGGACACGTCGAGTTGTTGCAGCAGTAAACACCGGAGTTGCTTAGGTCGGTATCGGTTTGGTGGCAAAAGAGCCCAGCATTGCAGCAGACGCTCTGAATATACAAGGTAGGCAGTCTGTCAGTTGAAGTGTCCCAGTGAAACTGAATCAATCTCATAAGGGTAGTGAATATTTTCCACTTACAGGTTTGTCGTATTGAGCGCAACTGTACTTTTGAATACAGGGCGCCATCTGTAGGATCATGGGCCGGTACCTCTGATCGGTAATCCAATAAGCATCCTCCTCCTCCTCCTTGTCCATCGTATGCCAGACCACGTCTGGATAGCTCTCCTCCACAGTCATGGTTCCCGGTATAGCCTGCGACGAGTCGGTGGTGCTATTGTTATTTCTGTCGGCTGCCGCGCGGTATAGCCAGCCGCCATGGCCCGTGGCGTAGTACATGGCGTAGTACTCGATCGTGTACACGATGCCTACGATCATGATGGCGATGATGGCAATGGCCAGAATGATGGCTAGAGCCCAACGTAGATGTGGTCGATCGTGTAAAGGCAGCCAGTCGTGCCAGCTAGACGAGGTCCTGTCAATGGTCCATCTCTTACGACTGTGTGACGGACAATTGAGTTCATCGACCTGTTGCCGGCCGGGCGCCAAATTAGCAACATTATGGTCGTTTGGCTTGTTATCCTCCATTTCTTTCTTGGCTATCTCTGAGGGTAGTGTTCTTGAGCTCGAGTTTAGGTAAGAAAGAGAGCGTGTCACCATATTAAAAAGATTGGTTTCGATTGCTTCGCAGACAAGGGGACTTTTCAGGTTCTAGGAGCTATCAGACGCAGAAAGAAAAGACGATTCATAGAAATGATGAAACAAAGTGGGTGTGGTTTGGTATACGTAAATGGGCGAGTTGCTTAGCTCTCTGTGGCGTAAATATCCATTAGCTTGGGTACAGAGAAGACGGCGGATACAATTTGCAGCATGGAAGGAACGTGGTACCTACTTCTCTTCATTGACTTTGAAGGGAGAGAAGTCATGACCACGTCTTGATCATTGTCTAGAATGCACACGACCAGGGAAACAGATACAATTCGTAAATACAATGAAATGGTCTGGGTAATATTTCATTTTGTGCTGCTCAGACAGCTTGGGGTATCTATCTCGACTGCCATTAGCAATTAGGTAAAGCCATGCTCTATGCTCTCTATGCAATTGTCTTGCCGCAGCTTGGTGATCCTCCACAAGGGCTTTCTTCCTATCCTCCAAGACCGGGGCTTCAAACCAGTTCAAGGTGTTTATCCTAGGGTTCCCAAAAACTAACCCAAACCTCTCAGTTTCGCAGTCATTCTATGCCAACTATGTGCAGCTTCTATAGTGAATGTGCGAGCATACCAAATAATCGTATGTACTTGAATGCAAAAGCGTGACGCCGCGTATCATGCCGTATCTCGTACTAGATGCATACAATGCACCAAATCTCCAGCGCAACGAGGCGAGTGTATCTCCAATGGTGCCTGTTAACCATTGATAATCGAATAGTTCGTAACTAGCACGCAAAGAAGTGAAGTTCAAGGTCTATGACTGCAAAATATATGCAGCCAGATATTGCAAGCCGTTTACAGCCAGAAAGCAAAGATCATCATGACGCCCGCAAGACCAGCGGCCATGCCGGTCAACTCCTTAGTTCCAGAAACGGCGTTCTTGGTGCTAGCTGTTGTAGCGGCGGCGGCAGCGGCAGTGCCCGTAGCTGAGGGGACAGTTGAGTAAGCTGTGCCAGTAAAGGTCTCTCCAAGAGTAGGCAAAGCGACGTTGCCGTCGACAAGCCAGCCGCTTGCGGTCGAGGCCGGGCAGGATCTGGTCGAGACACTCGCGGTGTCGTAGTCGGACTTGGAGACACCAGTGGGGGTAGCAGAGGCCCACTGGCTCTTCAGGTTGCTGAAGTCGGGAGAAACAGGAGTGGGGGTTCCAGCGCGAGTGTAACCGCCGTCGATGTTGGTGCCAACCACGGTAGCGGCAACAGTAGGACCATACGAGATCAGACCGTAGTTATTGGCCTCCTGAATCCATTCGTAGATGATGGCTCCACTCCAGTCATTGACCATCTCAGAACCAAAGATGGCAGCTTGGTCCTCAAAGAGACGAGGACCGGGCACATTGCATCCAGTCTCCGAGAAGAAGATGGGAACGGGAAAGTTGGAAGCATCAGCCTCCAGGTTTGCGTAGCCAGAGGTCTCGTATGTCGCAGGATCACACCACTCGTACGAGTTCAAGCCAAAGAAGTCAATGTTCTCAGACGAGTTACCGCCACAAGTCAGATAGTCCTGAAGCATGGGTCGAAGCTCGGCAATGTCTGCAGCAGAGTAGCCAATGGGGATCTCGCGGTAACCCTTGGAGTTTCTGTAAGCCTTCAAGTCTCGGGCAGCAGCTTTAATAAAGGGAGCGGCCAGAGACTGGGAATTGGTGGTGATGATTTCATTACCAACAAACAGGCCGAGTAGGTTGTCATAGCCCTGGAAAGTATCCATGACGGCTGAGTAACGGTCTAACTGGGTCTGATTCCAATAAAGGTCGTTCTGGGAGGAATTAGTGTCTTGTAGATCACAGCAGGCATAGTGTAAACTTACGGCTAGGATGTAGGTCGAAAAGGTGTCCATGTCAATCATGGCATAGATGCCAACGTCAGCAAAGGCTTGCATGCAACCATTGTGGTCGGCCGAGGGGTCGACATGGTAGACGCGAATGGCGTTGGCACCAAGCTCCTGCATCAACTCTGCGTCTCTTTGACATTGCTCCGTGTCGATCAGAGGATCGTCAGGCACCAACTGGTAAGCGATTCCTAGCTACAGGTTAGATAAACGTGCTCAATGCATACTGAAAAGTTGAGGTCCGTACCCTTGATGAAGAACTGGTCACCATCGCTGGTGAAGAACTTGCTGCCAACGGCCTCGATGGTAGCCAGGGCCGAGGTGGTGGCGGTGCCGAGAGCGGCTGAGAGCCAGATGGAAGATCTCATTGTGTAAGACGGAATATAAAAATATGATCCAACAAACTTTCAGGCACGTGTCTGAGAGTGGGTAAACGAGAGGTGAGTGCCAACAAAACTCAATCGTCTGCAAGCGGTTCCAAAAAAAGAATCCAAAAAAAGAAAGCAGCAGGCTGAAATTGGGTTGAATCAAGAGGTCCAATAGACAATGGTCGATCAAATCAATACCAAGGTGCTGCAGCTCTGGATATGACACAACTCCTGACGACGTAGCGAAACGCGGCAGTCTGGTTTGTCTGTTTTGTAGATGGAATTGTCTCCGGGAGTCTTTTCAAAAAAGATGCAGCGTTCCTGAACGTAAAGTCAAGGAAGAGTGACGCGCCGAGGGACAGAGCGAGAGTGAGAGCGGGAGCGAAGGACAAGAGACAACGACAACACACAACAACAGCAACTCTGAGGGAAAGAAGCGAGCGGAAGTCGTGTGTGGGAAGCGTCTGCTTTAGAGGGTTGATGTATATGTAAGAGCGATCGGTGGGCCCATCAAATAAACAGAAAGAGCAAAGACAGTAGCGTGAGCAACAACAACAACCTTGACCGCTGTTATGGAACTCGGCTCCGCAAAACGAGAGAGACTACGGAGTACTATTATCCAAAAACAGCGCCGGGCGTGGAGTAGAGAGCGAGAGGATGAAAGAATCTCGGTGGAGTTTGATGGTTGAAAAGGGAAGGGGGAGTAGATACAAGAGGTAGTAAGTAGTACGGATACATACTCGAGAAAGAACCGACGAGGATGTGATGTGGATTGGAAGCCATGATCGAGTCCACTCACTAGCCAAGGTACCTGGAGTTGCACCCACTACGCTACTACTCACCTAGTATCACCTACCTTGCTCCTTGATCTTTGACCTAGATCAATCAAATACACCCATCCATACCTGGTCGCGCCCATGGGGAGGGGCGATTTCGAATTGATGGGACAAAACCACCGAAGGTACGCACGGGAACTAGCTACCTACGCAGGTGCTCCGGAATCAACCCTAGCTTGGTCCAGGTGCTAGTTACTAGCTAGGTAGTCAATGTGCCCAGGTAGGTAGCTTGCTAATAAAGATTGTAGCTACCTTGTCATGGTCTCTCAATCCTCCAACCATACATACATGACATGGATGCATGTGTGTGTGAAGGAGAGGGAGGTCTTGGAGTATCTTGGAGAGAACCTGGGGGGTTAAAGAGAGAGCTCGAGAGGAAAAGCTAAGCTAAGCTCTAAGCTTCATTGGTGTCTCTCTTTTCAAATGTCTTGGCCCCTGTCTGCATCAAACGGCTCGCTGGTTTCCTGACAGGCCCTAGAGGAGCGTGTGCGTTTGGTGATTGGTTGCAAAAGCTGCGAGCGACCTTATCCGGGACCTGAACTTGGCCCTGGCTTTTTCTGCCTTGGTTTTCTTTGGTGGATCGTCGATTGTGATGGGACCGGGGGGCAGCTAAAACATTGGAAATTCAGTGGACAGTACGGAGTACTAGCTTGCTAGCAGTTGCGGATTACCACTGACCTATTCCTGCTGCTGCTGCTGCTGCTGCTGCTGCTGCAAACTGCAAACTGCAATGCATTGAAGGACATTACCGCGATTAGATCGCTTTTGCAGCAGCTCACTAACCCTGCTTCTAGCCTAGCATCAAATTGCTAGACAAGTTTTCCTTTCCATTTCAACGAGCCAATTACGTTGACACCACGGCTAGAACGGACTGGACCTTGAACCTCGCAAGGACGACCGACGGCTTCCATTCTCCGAACTCACTACAAGACAAACACTCAATCATGTGCGGCGATATACGATCCAGATTCTCCCCGTATTCGTGCCGGTTTTCCATGGAGTTTTGCTGTCATGATGCGGTAATCTTTAGCTGCACTGGTGGGTTCTTCCTTTGCTCTTTGCTGTCATTGGGTCCCACCCCCGGTTGAAGATACCGAACTCATCAGAGACCATCCCAACCTCTCTACCATGACCGTCTGTCATTGGAACAGAGAAACAATGTCTCACTTTTTTTTGGTGTCCTACAAAATCCGTCCGACTCTCCTTCTCACGTTGTCAGCAGTGGCCTAACCAAACGAATGATCTGTCAAAATCCATCACCCGTTTGTCTCGGGTTGTGGGAATCCTCTCCGTTTCCTTGGTCTGAACCATATCTTGCCCTGTCCCCGGCCCACATCAGGAGATCTAAGACAATCCGTAGCAAAGCACCTAGCACCTTTTCTCCTTGAACCGTGTCGCCTCTTTTTCTTTCAGCTCAGGTTCTAAGAAAAAAGTCGCCAGGAACCAATTCTCAACTAAACACACTAATAAACTATAAAAACTTCACACCTTGAATACCACGCAAGAGGCAAAAAGAAGGCGCCTTTCTGTTACTTGATTAGCTGTGCTTTTTTAGCTTGCCAAGATTACATATTTGCCTTCTCCAGATCGTCGAGGGAAAACGTGGTCGCCGCCCGCCTTGTTCCTCCCGTCTTGTCATTTGCTTGATTCGCAGAGCCGAGCGCCTGGGCACTGCTCAAGCAATCGTGTAGTAGTAGTGCTTCATAGAAGGTCTGTGGATGTAGATCGAAACATTCTGCCAAGGATCCACTTTACCTCCTTCATTCCCGTTTATTTGGGAGATGATCATGTTCAAATTCCTATGCATGAAAAAGATGGCAAAGTAGTAGAATCTACTATATAGCCTTACAGGTTTGGTAGGTACGTACTTTTTGGGGTTGGATCAGTTGTGATGCACTTTTGTCGCGAGATTGACCCCTGGCATTTGCAAAAAAATCATCGTCCCATGCAATGCAATGCAATTTGTTTGTCGCGTCTTCGTCACGGTCCAGGCCCATGTAAAACAAGCCAGCTCACTGTTCTTTGACATGGGGGGTTTAAAGCAAGTAAGCAAGTAAAAAGAAGGGCAACAAATTGGAAATTGGAATCAGGCGTTTAACTTGCTGGTTCGCCCGCCATGGGTAAGGAGAAAATTCAATAGCCGCATCAATATGGGAAACCGCGTTGGCGCTGACCAGGGGGGCCGATTCTCTTTTTCTTTTTCTTTTTCGCCCTTTTACCCTCATTCGACCGAGAAACTCCTTTCAAACAAAAAAGACCAACAGCTGCGATGACGCAAGCAATGATCGCGAATGGTCTAGAGTCTGTGTCGGGACGTGGGAAAAAACCGAACCGGGGTGGAAGCTCCAAGCTTGGCAGCCAGGGTGGGGTTTCAATGTACATAGTGCATAGTAATAGCTGCAAGTTCTCTCCCGGAGCAACATGCCCACTTGTTGCATCACATTTCGCTTAACCCCCCCTAGCATTTTATTGCCCTTATTACCGGCGCGTCGTCGCCCAAGTTCAACACTTCTTCTGGAAAAGGCCCGAGGGAAACAACGAGAAATCATTGTATTTCTTTTCTGGATTTTTTGAGCCGACTTCAACATTCAACCTCCATGGACCGAATACATATTATCGAGGTTGATTGTGTCGCTTTAATCCTTGATAACGTACGTGGGCATTTAGAGGTTACTGTCGAGCACAGTATTCGAGTATAGTCCTTCAAAGGATGGGAAGTTGATGCGCTCCTTCTCAGATGATACAAGCAGATTTCCGGGACACAATCCTACGTTTTATTTGACAAGCCCCCCTTCCTTGAGAGACCGACATGAAAAGCTAGTAGCAGTTGACCCGTTGACCGGATCATAATCAGAGCTACTACATGGTAATATATGCATGCTGGTTGGAAAAAGCAAGCAGACGTCAATCATATTCGGCTCTAAGCGCTGCGGCTCACGCGGGAGAAGCAAGTCATCCTCCAGGATCGTCCCGACCATGACATATACACCGAGTGGAAAGTGCGCCAGGTGCACAAACTTCCGAAATGAACCTCATTTGTGATATTGCGCAATATCGTCTTGTGTGTGCTACTCGAGCATAGCAGTAGCAATCTGTCTGTTCCGTGGCTCCTGTAGATCTCTTCAACTTTTATTTCGGTATAACCATGACCCCTTGGTTACAAAAGCAAGAACGGGTAAATAAAAGTATATGACAGGAAATAAGAAGAAAAAAAAAAAGTCATGAAACATCGTATAATCATCAGAGATGCATATCCATCAGGGTATATCGCCAAAAGCCACTATCAACTAGTCTGTGCAGCATCCTCGAATGTATAGGGGACGCCCCATTGCTGCGCAGTCGCTGCAATGGACCTCTGCATTCCACGATGGCCCCTCGGCACGGCCAGCGCCCCGTCGAGATTTGTCTGGCTCCGGGGCGGCCCTGTCATCATTGTTGGGGTCGTCGGCGTCCGCGTGCTGCTGAGTGACGACCTCCCCTGCCGACTTACGCGCCGGCTGCTCGTGGCAATGGAGAAGATAGATTCGTCGTCGGTCCCTGCCGCTCCCCTTCCTCCTCCTCCAGTCCCTATCCGCAGGCTCTCGAGGCCCGAAGTGACTGGTAGATCAATAAAGGCCGCCGTGTCCTCGTACTGGTGGACGCAATGCGGCTCCGCGATGCCGCAGTGCTCCGTCAACACCTGGTAGATATGTCGCTCGACGGCGTAGGCCGATGGCCGGTCTTGCGGCGTAACTGATAGCATGCGTGCCACCATTTGCAGCACCGGGGCCACGCCGCGCAAAACGGCATCATCCTTTTTCTTGCCCGCGTCCTTGGCCAGCGCCACCATCCAGGATTCGACCTGTCCCAGGTTCTTGTGGAAGGAGGCGTCCAGCGGCGCACCACCTCTTCCAGCGTGTCGGTGCTTGTCGCCCCGGTGAGCGGCAAAGGATTTTGATGTTCTCTTGCTGAACAAGAAGCCCATGAGCTCAAGCATGATGCAGCCCATAGAGAAGATATCTGCCGCCTGGGGGTCTAGCTGTGGCAGTTGATGTTGTTGTGCTGTACCGTATCCCGGACCGCCTTTATTTATTGAGATGGCATAACTGCCAGAGCTAGATGACGATGCAGAGGATGAAGTCTGCACACTTTTGTTTATGTTGTTATACAAGTTGTTACAGTTCGTTGGCCGGAACCACTGCTCTGGAGCAGCGTAATCGTATGACTCCTTGTTGAAGGCTGTTCTGTCGGTCGAAGCTGGTATCCCCTCCAAGCTCAAAATCGACCTGTCGGTGAGTAGTATTTTGTGATCCTGGTCGAAGCCCACAGATGATGGCTTGATGTTGCCGTGGGATCCACCAGTGCTGTGTAGATAGCATATGGCATCAGCGAGGCAGTGTATCCAGTTCATGACTTGGACCCGTGGATCGTGCTTCAGATGCGTCTTTAAAGACGCCGGTATGTTTGTGAGAGCGGTTTTGAGGCTGTACTCAGTCCATGCCGTAGTCAGCACACAGACGGAGTCCAGATGTGTATACGAAGCAAAATACGATATGATATGCTCGTTGTGGAAATAGCTGGTGCGCCTCGTCTCTTTTAGAAATTCTTCCTGAGAGACGCCACTGCTTATCTTGCTGATTGGTATTCTCAATCGGCCAAGAACTCTGTTGGGTTTGTTGGACAGTACCACCTTGTCAATATGGTGTGAGTGGACGAGTGCTGTAGCAGCTTGTTTTCGATCCACGATATCGACGGGTACAATCTCATCGTCGCCATAAGTCATGTGGCGTCCTTCCTCGACCTCTCGCATGACATAGTAGAATTGCCGATCCCAGAATTTCCAGTTCGTCTTTTGATCCTTGGTCCCGGTCACTCGGTCGACATCGTTGAGCGGAATGGGGACATCATCGTCTTCCCAAGAGTGGTCGACAGCGCCGAATATCTGATCTGGAATTCCGACATCTTCGAGTATCAGAAAGATTCGCTTAGACTTGGCCTCGATCCACTCCCAATAGGTCTCATCCGTCAAGCCATTGCCAAATCCAAGGACTTGATCGAGCCTGTCGACATTCTTGGAGTGCAGGCGAGAGGCAACAAATTCCCTCGTCACTGTCTGTGCAACTAATTTCGTATCCCACCAAACCATTTTGATTTGATCTAATGACTTGGCATCTTCAAGCGAGATGTTTCGTAGAGTTTGCCTCTTTTTATGACCGCAGTTGCGGCCCCCGTACTTCTTGGTTTGCACAGTTGAAAAAAGTGTTCAACAGAAAGAAAGAAACGAAGAGATGGTCCCAGTAATCTCTGCGGAACATTAGTAAAATATCCAGCCACTCTAGAAGAAGAAGAAGAGGAAGAAGAAGTATTATTGGATTTTCCTTGGGCCAGGCAGTGCTCCATGCGTTTTAGTGATATGCAGTTCGCACTTACATTTTACACTTTGCGCGGTAAACCCGGCGATGACTATTGGAGGAAACTGTGCGCGTCGCCTGTAAGGGATGCCTCCATAGAAAAAAAAAGAAAAAAAGCAAAGCAATGTAACTTGAAAGAATAGAAAGAGAGAGATCGGCCGCGGCTAGAGACAACAGATGAATATGACTGCTTTTTCTCCCCTTGCCGTCTCCATTGGCCGAGCGAGACCATAGATAAGGATTATGTTGGTCGGTAGGCTTAGCGCCCTGCACCATGAAATCCTAAAGAGGTAGCCAGTGGTAGCCCCAACGGTTCTCGGCCCCAACCCGAGGCCATGGACAGCAAAAAGGAAAACCTCAAATGAGATCTTGCGGTTGGACATGCACAGTACTGCTTTTTTTCTCGGATCATCATATAGTGGCAACAAGTGCTGCAACTACACTTAGAGGCCTTGGATAACTGACCAATCTTCATTGCTGGCTGGGTGCAGTCAGTCGGGGAAAAGCTTCTCCAGTATGACCATAGTAGGTATGACCAAAAGAGTCGTCGTGCTTGACACGACAAGCCCCCCAAGGCTAGACTTACCGAGACACCCGATGGTCTGGGGCTACGGGGGGTTAAGCGCAAACAACCCTCCATGTTCCACGCGGCGGGCTGGTGACACCGGCCTGCCATGTACGGCGTCGGGGGGTCAATGGCTTCATCGCGCTGAGACGTCAGTCGGCGAACCTAGCACCTCGAGTCCGTTTTGTTCGGAGTTTTCCTAGTCATGGCCTCGCAGCGGACCTGCATCGTGTGCGGCCGCTTGCCAGACTGACAGCTTCATCATAGGCGCTCATTCAGCGACTTGCGAATTGCCATGCGATCTGGCCCGCCGGCACTTCAGTAGCGCAACGCCTAAAAAAAAAAGCCTGCCGAGGAACAGTCGTCTGAAGCCCCCGGATACTGTGCTCATGTGCTCGCTTAGATAGTGCCGCAAACTGTGTCTGTAGTTATTTGACAAAAGGCTTGACAACATTAGTTCAGATAAGACTTTGTTAAATCCGGCCTAGATTGGGCACACAGATGAATTTTCCAGAATAATGCCCATTTCTAGAGCTGTCACGGTAGGGATGCCAATCCTTCCTATGATAAGGACTTATAGGTTGCGAATATCCCACGGGTGTCCCACGCAAAGCCTCACACTATCGATGATACTATTGTTTGAGTCTGATGTGTCATTTGGTTTGTTATAAGATTGTGCTTCAAATATGGCGTGATCTTGACTGTGATTGCCAGGACGTTGTAGATCTCTATTCATTATGGACCAATGTAGATTGGTGTGATTCCGTCAAATCCACCCCCGAAGCACTCGTGCCAATTCATCTGGCAGCCATATATTCATCATTAGACCTGGAGCCTGGCGTGGCTTGAGTTGCAGATGTCTGAACTCCGCTAATGCGGAAACCTTTTGTGTGCATGTGATTATACAAATGTCGCGTCCTAAGAGGTGCAGGGTCGGGCGAGGCTGTTTTCCTGTCGTTTATTGTTCGCATTTCGAACCAATATGTTGCTCCGTCGACTCTTCAGCGTGGCATCCAGCGTAGAGCATGTATTATTTGGAGCTTTCGATATGGTTCATGGAAAGTTATTGGTTCGTCGAAGTTGACGTCTGAAGCTACCAGGTGACTTCTTCACCTCGCTGCTCCATTCTTTTCGCTAAGCGAATCGCCTCGGCGTCCAACGAACGCTTGCATACTTCTATCAATGCCCGAAATGTTGCGTGCAATTCTTTGTAGGCCTACAGGCAAGACATTGTACCAGTCGATCCATCGAGCATACAATGGGGCGCCGATATGGTCGCTGACTCCCAAATCGATTGCCGCGATTACCTCCTTTGCTACATCGACTGGTTCGACGACTGGAGCGATGAACGAGTTGGGTGACTGTACACCATAAAACAGGGGCGTGCTGAGCTGGCCAGGAGTTACGATAATGGTCTTGATCTCCGGGTACTCCTGCAATTCTGCAGCAAGAGACTTGTGCAGCGCAGTCACACCGGCCTTGGCGGCAGCGTAATCACTCAGCCGTGCGGCACCCAGGTGGCCGATGACGCTGGATACAGTGACAATGGTGCCTCCGACCTCACTCCGGAGCATACCGGGGAGGAACTCCTTGATGGTGTAGAAGTGACTGAGGAGATTTGTCTTCAAGCTGCGCTCAATCTCTTCAATGTCCACTTCGAGCAGCTTCTTGCCCACCACCTCGGCCGCGTTGTTAATCAGGACCGTCGGTAGGCCCAGGTCACGCTCAATCTCCTTGCGGACACGAGAAATCTGCTCCTTGTCGGTAATATCACATTTGTAGTACGTGATGCCCCTCACATCTGTGCTTTCCAGCTCAGCCACGTCCAGGACGGCAACTGTGGCTCCACGCATTCCGTACACCTCGGCAATGAGCAGACCTAGCCCGCTGGCGCCGCCGGTGATGACAATAACCTCTTCGCTGAGGTCGACCTCGCGGTGCATGCCATAGGCTAGCTTATGGCTGAACTTGTTCAGCAGCCAAAGGAACGTAACCACTATGGCCCATGCTATTGTGACTCGCATCGGGGTTTCTTCGTATTCCATGTGGCGGGCGCGAAGGCATAGCGGGAGGAGCCATGCAATAAATGGATGGAAGAGGGTGATATTGAGGACCTTGAGCAAGAGATCGACCGAGACCGGCGAGAACCAAGAGTCGCGCGAAGGTGGCCGTGAGTAATTCATGGCGGGCAAAGATTGTGTCGTGTAGCTGCTCGGTAAGTGGTTGGTTGTATCGGTATTACGTATGGTGTTTTGGTCTTTTTCGTAGTCGCGTGAACAAGGTCGTAAGCAAATTCGCTGACCGGCAGACGAACTTGGGGGTGGTCTTTTGTGGAATATTATGAAGAGATGTCTCCTGTAGAAATCATGAGAGGGAAAAAAGGCTTCTTGGCTGGAAAGATGGGATGAACAGATATAACCTAACTGTTTGTAAAGGAAGCTTGTGGGATCGCTGCCGCTGCCGCTTGGTTCGCACAGCTGGAGCTCCGTGAAACACAGGGACCCCGGCGCCTAGGAACCCTTGACGTTTCAGAGATTCCGCCCAATCAGCTGGCAGCCGACAGTGGCCTTGGCCCCTCGACCCCTCCAGTCCAGTTGAACCCCAGCCAAATTGATGCACTTAGGCTGCTGCCAGGTACAAGAGCTGACATTCTTACATATACGTATCACGAAAGAAGAAAAAGTTCACAAATCGTCGATCTCTAGCAGTGCATGGCGATTTGAATGGCCTCTTCAACAAATTCTGAGCGATGTACTGGCGGACCGCCTTGCCTTTTTATTTTTTTTTTTTTTTTTTTTTTTTGCCAGATATTAGCGGAAATGACTCAAGTACTGTTGGACGGCCGACCACGTTTATATTCACCTCAATCAAACCTTACACGAGCTATTTCCATTTTTGACTGTCCTTGCGGAATACCTACATTTGGGGCCGTGGTGTGAATTGTGTAATTTAATATTAATCATCATTTCATATTCGCATCTGATCGCAAGTAAAGGCTTTTGCAGCAGCCCACAACGACGCAAAGTTTTGGACGACATGCACCCTCTTCTCAGAGCCGCAAGCAGTCGCGCGACTGTGACCAAGAACAAGTCTTCATCTCCACGCCAACAAAAGTCGCAGCGATTTCAAAAGTGCACTATGTCAGCAACTCCAGCATTCCAAAGTTTTGCCAGATCGTCGATCGTTGGATGTATTTCCTACCATGTTGAAATGGATGGCATGTGAGCTTGGCGGAATCCGTACTCCTTGAGAGAGTGGAATCAGTACCAAAACGCATTATTGAGCGGCATCCTTTGCCGGTTCAGAGCAACCGGCAAAAATGCAACAGCGATATCGTGTGCGTCATACTAGACAATGTCTTCGCCATGCGCTTCGGTCCGCGAATGTGGCGTCTGGTCTCCCTGGGTTGCTGAGCAGTGATACCGTGATTGGAACGCAAGTCTTCCGTACGCGACGCATGCACAAGGTAATATCTCATGACCCAGAGTTTATACCACGTTCTGTCACAGTCATCCGGTCCATCTACACTCAGTCCTCCATTCTCTGTCATTATGCAATGACCTGCGAGAATGCTTTGTCAATACTTGGCCTTGTTTACGGTGCTCGTATGCGGTGGTCGTGGTGCAGTAACTCGAGTCCCGGCTGACGATACTCAACAACAACTAGCGTCAGATACAGCGCCTGTTCAGCCTTGGTCAGTGTGCTACACCTATGTTACGACGATTTTAGTCACAGTACAGCCAGACGAAGTCACGATCCTGCCAGGCGAAAATGGGACCTTGTCTGAAGGAAGAATCCCGCCAAAGTCTTCCGGTGGGAGTCCCCTCCAACCTGGGGATTTATCTACGGAATTTCTCTCTACCTTGGATGGTGCTCACACTGGTGTTAATTCAGATTCTCTGAATACATCTGGTAGATTGTCGCAATTTCGCACCACAAGAGGCGATGGTTTCACAGACTTGAGCTCGCTAGTTGGCGAGAGTCAGACCGGAATCCCAACAGGATCTGGAGATTCCATCATATCTGACACTGCAATTTTTGACTCCTCAGGCTCTCAGAGGATGGAATCCATCACAAATTCGAGTGGAGGTGGACAGACTATAGGAGGAGATCTCAATTCCCAAGCTATATCGAGTTCTCGGCCTATAGAGTCAATGACAGACTCGAGCGGGCAATCTCTAGAAGGGCCCACCAGTCAAAATGAACAGAGCGTAGGAGGTGATGTTACTTCCCAGAATGGTCAAACTACGGGAGGGGATCTTACTTCTCAGGCTGGCCCGACATTTAATTCTCAGCCTATGAATTCTACATCGGGCTCAGATGGACTACCAGGGGAAAGTCTCACTTCCCAGGATGTATCGAATTCAAACTCTCAATCAATGGATTCTACGGCCAGCTCAGATACACAAAGTCTAGGAGGCGTCGTCGCCTCTCAATCTGTAGCAGCTTCGATTCCAGGTCAGTCAAATTCTGGAACGACTGACCCGGCTCTATCTACAACTGAATCTGCAATACCCATCAATGGATCGAGTTCAGTCTCGCCACCGAATACAGGGGTTGGAACCACTATGAATATTCCATCATCAACAGCATCAGGCTTTGCCTCCCAGAGCCTTACCTCGCAGAGCGGAGGAGATCCAGAAATATCTAATATCGCAAGCACTGAAAGTGCAGAGATATCCACATCTGAGATATCTCCCACTTCACCTGCAGTTGGTACAATTACCCCGGTGGCAACACCCACGTCGTCAAGCAGCGCACTCAGTGCATCCAGTATCTCTACCGTCATCCTAGGCGTCGAGTTTCAGGTCACCAACACCACTCGAAAGAGAGGCAAGCCTATGTGGAAGCATGACGACTCGTCCGGCTTTGTTGGAAACGAAACTATCTTGAATCCAAGTAATTGCAGCGAGGCCTCTGTGTATCGTCAGTCTGCCGGTGAGCTTGTCGCTAGGGTTGGCAGAAAATCTTTGTCTGTGGATCCTGGCATTGCATATATCAGCATGGCTAATTATCCTGGAGGGTCAATTTCGACTGGTGAGTCATTCTAATTTCTTCCAGGATGGAAAAGATGTTGATACAATATCATTTAGCATTCACCGTGGTGGATAATAGCTTGCAGTGGAACAACGAGACATTCTACAATAGCACTGCTGGGTTTTGTCAAAATGCAGACGGAGAAGTTTTTGCCACCTTTGTCGCTGATCCTGGCTTGCCGAATTGCATTCCCATTAAATTGATTGTTTATGCAGGTAGGGTATTAACTTTCCTTAACCTACTTCATGGATCATACCATGTTCTGATTGTGAAACTATAGTGAACTCGTGTAAGAATGGCAGTATAGTGGTTGAGGATGAAACATCGTCAACGGCAACCTCCTCTAGAACCATATCCATATTCAGCTCTCTCGCGCCCAGCGTTTCTCAAAGTCAAAACTCTCCGGGTTCAGCCACCTCTTCTTCGGAATCTTCATCATCATCACCTGGACTCACACCGGTCACAAGCTCACCGCCGGTTGGAGCAGACTCAGCAACGTTGTCTTCAGGCTCTTCGTCACTGCAATTCACGGCGACCACAAGCTCACAGCCAGGCGATGCATCTTCAACCTCCTCTTCAGAAGTAACCGGACCACAGTCAGCAACCTTGTCGGATTCATCAACAGTCGTTGGCCTCTCCAGCACAGCGATGACTTTTACCTCTAGCCAACTCAATGACGCCTCCCAGAACAGTGCAGGTACATCGACCGCATCTTCCCCATCCAGCTCGATGACTTTATCATCTGGAAGCAGTGAAATACCAACGATAATCCCCCTGTCGAGCAGTACTGGAATTGCGTCAACGATGTCCATATCTGACACCATTGAAACTATTTCAACAAATTCAATACCTAATGCCAGTACTAAAACCAACACTGAGAATCTTGAATCAAGCTCAAATCCATCCGTCATCTCATCTCCTTTGTCTTCAGAATCAGCACCATCTCCCAGCTTAAGTTCCGGGACTGAATCTTTGAGCAGCACACTCACCTCTGCGAATACAGATACTAGTACTCAAGATCAGAGCTCGTCTACTGAGAGCAGTGACACCACGGTACCGGCGAGTACCTCAATTTTCTCCTTGTCAGCGAGTTTGGAAAGCGATACGTCTAATTCTGCTTCGTCATCGACACTGGCTTTGACGGCTAGCACATCTTTGATAGACACATCGACCGCTAAACCATCATCAAGCGCTGATGGCGAATTGTCTTCTACGGTCACATCTCCTTCCAGTACAACATCACTGCAAACCAGCACAAGTTTTGATCCGGCATCTGAGACAAGCAGCGATAGTAGGAACATTGCAAGCAGTGATTCGAGTCCGAGCTCTAGCACCGGCGAGTCAGCAACTAGCAGTACTTCGCCTGCCTCGGAAAATAGCATTACTTCATCTGCCACAGAAAGTAGCAGTCCTACATTTATCTCGACGACTAACAGAGAAATATCTGCCTCAGTGACTAGCAGTGAATCATCTTTGACAACAAGTAGCAGCTCTTTTACCTCCACGTTCACTTCAAGTTCTGATACGGGAGCATCAACAACTACCAGCAGTCCGTCTGTCGAGGCAACTACTAGCAACACTGCTTCAAGCAGCGAGAGCATTAGTAGCACTTCAATTCCGCAAACTTCGAGCAGCACGACCTCTGTATCATCTAGTCAAGTCATTTCCTCGTCTTCATCATCACCATCATCATTTTCCTCTGTAGCAAGCAGTCCGACCGCTTCGACTAGTTCGTCTGGCAGCATAAGTACTAGTAGCACCAGTAGTAGTTCGACTGTTGGTGTTACCACAGCGAGTAGCACTTCTACGACAATTTCGAGTAGTATCATGGCATCGAGCAGCATATCCTCTACTGGCACGAGTTCCAGTTTGACGTCGAGTAGCTTTTCTAGCACCGCGGCAGAGAGTACTTCAATCGTCAGCTCAACATCATCTGCCAGTAGCAGTAGCAGCTTGTCTACTTCTACCACCAGCACTACGACGAGCACACGAGCTATGGGTAGTGTCTCGTCTAGTAGTATGACAACGACAAGCAGCACTACAGCTCCGTCTACTAGTAGTACTACAGTCTCGTCTACTAGCAGCAGTGTAATTCCGTCTACTAGCAGCACAAGTACAAGCCCAACGTTTAGTACTGCTTCTAGTACTGCTTCTAGTACTGCTTCTAGTACTGCTTCTAGTACTGCTTCTAGTACTGCTTCTAGTACTGCTTCTAGTACTGCTTCTAGTACCGTTTCTAGTACCGCCTCTAGTATCACCTCGACGAGAACATCCTCTACGTCGACTATATCATCCACGGCGACTAGCTCATCTACCAGGACAAGTAGTTCCTCTACGCCTTACACCACCGTTACTACACTGTATTCGGGAGGCAGTGCAACGACAACAACAGTTACGCCTACTGGAGCAAATACAGGAACCGTGATAGTACAAAATCCGAGCTATGTCACTACTACCACTGGCTACACTGGCACGACTACCAGTACAACGACTACTCAGACCGCAAGCGGGACTGTTCAGGGCACAGTGGTGGTTTATACACCACTGCCAACTCTAAACTGCGACCCATATGGCTACCTGGTACAACTGACCACGTTTTACAGAGTCAACATTACAAGTGGTGTTGTAGATACAGTCAAGCAGACGGTGGGCGATGGAAAGCGCAATATCCAGGCCATTGGGTACAATGTCGCCGACAACTTCATCTACGGCTCCTTGGGCACGGCTATCGGTTCGCCCGTGGATCTGATACGTATTGCAGGAAACGGTGACATGACAATCCTCAAGTCGTTGAACATTAGCTCTACATGGTACCCAAATTCGGGAGACGTGGATGAAAGTTCTTATTATTGGGTCACTTTCACGGGAACTTATTGGCTCCAGGTCGATCTGCGACCAGCCTCGGCGACATTCAGCACGACTGTCAGTAGTGGCACAGCTTCACCACCCCATTCTATTCTCGACTGGGCCTATGTCCCAGGAGGAGGCAATTACTTGTATGGCCTTGGGTATGATGCGGCAAGCTCCGGGGATTTGCACACCTATCTGCAGCGCTTTGACCGGACGACCAAGCAATGGTCAGTCATTGCCGACTTGGGCAACGTTATTGCCCCGGGAAAGAACAGATGGGGCGCCGCCTATGCTTCCGAAGATGGGTATCTCTATGGTTCTGAGAACTACAGTGGCCAGATCTGGAAGTTCAACATACCTCCGAATGGTGACAACACCAGTTTCGTTCCCACCTCTACGTACTTGGCTCTTGGACCTACAGCAGTATCCAATGATGGAGCGAGATGCAACAAGGCAAAGTTCTAGTTCAATGCATTGAAAAATGTCATTTCGATCCATCTCAGTAATATCCATTACAATCCTTTGTTTTGGAAGACGGGTCAGTTTTAGATAGCATCTTTATTCTTGATAGGTTCTAGACCGTCATCGGGTCTAAAGCCGATACTTTATATCATATCTATATCATTCATTCAAGTCCTGATGATGATACGTAATGAGATCAAGTGAATCAAACCCTCCTATCAAAGAACATAGCGAAAATTGGGATTCTCTCGATCAGTCAGATCCAAGAACTCAACATTCGTAACCTCCTCGACGCCCGCTTGGAGCTGTTCCCTTTGTAGCTTGTCTCTCCGATCATTTTCCCATCTGTTCAAAGCGTACAGAACCATTAAAATAATGACCGAGGCGATCCACAACCCCACCGTCGCATACTTGGCCTTGTGGTAGTACGGAGGATCGCGAAACATTTGCGGCCCGACCAAGTACGCCGCAGCCATGGCCAAGAACAAAATGACATTGGTGGCCATCTTCTTGGTGGTGCCAAGGACATTGGACGCCACCAGGGCCAGCACGAGGTAATAGGCAATGGCGCAGGCGCCGCCGAGGATGAAATAGGCGGCGAGTTGTCCAGCGCGGTCATACAGGGGCGAGACGTTGCCGAGGCCAATGAGCAGGGCGCCGCCGAACAGACACAGCAGCTGGTACGCCAGGGCCGTCAGACTCCGCTGCTGGGACCGGTCCGCAATGTAGCCCGCGGACAGCTGAAAGACAATCTGCAGGGCGCCGCCCGGCATGCCCAGGAGGAGCGTCTGCTTGTTGTTGAAATTGAGCGACTTGATGAGTAAACTGGACAGGAAACTCAGCCCGGCGGCCGGCATCTGCGACGTCAGGACAAAGGCAACGTAGAGCCACGTGCGCACGTCGAGAACGGCCTCGCGGACCTGGTACTACTTGAACGCGCTGGAGCCAATGCCCTGGTGGTTCTCGCGCAGGCGCTCGACGGCAAGGGCCTTTTCTTCTTCGGTAAAGAAGCGCGCCTCCAGCAGGCTGGGCGCTACGATCATGAACATGGCGCCGCCGTAGACTATGGAGGCGCAGCCCAGACACAGGGCCATGATCTTCCAGGAGGGCAGGGCGATGCTCACGCCGGCTTCGACGCCGGATAGACACCCAAAGGCGATGAGAGCCCCGACCATGGTGGCGAGGCCGTTGCATGCGCTCCATAGGGAGACACGGGCACCGTGCTCATACTTGCGGTCTGTTTAGTTGCAACTCGTTAGCTTTTCTACTTCTGTTACGTTTGATATCAGAATATTCTGATGATACAACAGCCTGGTGATGTATACACGAGACTGGGGAGAACAATTTGAGACAAAATCCTCCCAGCAGTCGAGGACAAAGAAAGATCGTGAATTTCAGACAAACTTACACCAACGAGCGGTCAGCAGTACAAAACCGCAGTTGATAACCGACTCGAGACTTCCCAGAAATGCGCGCTGAATCATCAGCCCCGTAAAGTTATTACACAAGGCCATGAAAGCCAGCACGAGACCCCAGGCCATCATGTTGGCGGCAATGTATTTCGAAGGCGCAAAGACTTGGAACATGCGATTATGCAGAGGAAGAGCGGCCATGTAGCCGAGATAGTAGATACTCCCCAGCCATGTAAACTGGCTTGTTGTCAGGTTCGCATCAGTCATGATGCCCATGACAGAGGAATAGCTGACTCTAAAGATTGTATGCTATCAGTTTCCTATTCCACGCATGACCAGGACTTGGTTTAGCTGGAATGACTTTTTGTGTGGACTTACACGCCCTTGTCGAGATATTGGAGAATATATAGACCGCATAGCCAAGGTAGGACATGGGTATCAATCTTTCTGACGATTCTCCTGTTGGTTGCTTCGTCGAGAACGACAGTGCCAGTGTGGTCAACATAGGTCAGCAAGGCATCAGCACCTTTGGCTACATTCTTTTCTGCTGCGACATCGTGATCGCCAGATGCAATAACTGGAGCGATGTTCAATGCGCCAGGCAAAGTGGTCTTTTCCGTTGGGGAAATAGGCATGTCGGTGTGAGAAGTACTCAACTATACTACTATTGCCTATTACAGATCAAACAAGAAAGAGAGTAAATTTTTGCAACATTGCAGGTTATTGGATAGGCAATTAAGTATCTGAAGTGGGCAAAGACCAGCCAGTGCAAAGAGCACTGCTCTACTGCCGCATGCCGGTATTGAACCTGGCCTCTGTCCAATATAGCCAGATTTATTGCACGAACACAAGTCGCCCCCTCCAAGTGATAACGACATCGGTGTCGTGCTCCCGGGGATGCCTGTAATGACCAATCACGATGGCGTCGCATACAGGGTTTTGCTTTGTCGAAGCTCCACATGTTCTACCATGTAGACTATAGTTGGACTAGGCCAAGGTCCTATTGGGTATTTCTTCTACGTGCCTCGCAAGTATGAGCTTTTGGATTGGGGGAAAGCTTGACAAAAGCTTATCAGTGTGACAAGGACTGCATAATGGTACCGGATGAGATCCGACCGAAAACGGCCATCACGCGATATTGCATCCACGCCAAGTTGAACAACGGCTTTCATCTGATGAACTTGAAAAGGGCGAGTTCATCAATTCGATACGAAATTCTGACAACAATTTGTTGATGGCCGGAAGAGGAGTACACGGCCATTTCTCTGGTTCCTCAACATACAACATGATCAGACGATGTAAAGGCCCCGATGTTCAAAACGATAAGACTGGAGTGACAACATAGATTTGTATGCCAACTGCTGAGCAATGTGGATGGAAACAATATAGTATTTTGAAAATCATCATGAGTACCAGGCTGGCTGGAGTTCTCGCGTCCATTTGCTATTTTCGTGACCTGTGTTTTCATTCTCAATAGCAATCTTCAGAGGCTGCGAACGAACTCCCACGCCAACATACCGTGCCCAGATGGTCTGAGATGGATTCTCCCAGCTAGATAAGTGATGAGCCAACTAGAAAGATAAACAGATTTGAATCATTACAAAACATACTAGTGAAGTGTCCCTCGCTGGACAACGACATCCCCAGGCCGGCATGTGATTCTGCGAATCAAGGGTGCTTCTCCCTTTGAGGCATCGTAGGCTTTGTCTGGCACGCCGAGGATCACTTCGCCTGACAAGAAGATCATATAATCCACAGATATTGTGCGATGCTACATGCAGATGGCGTCGATTAGATTGATACAATATCACCAACCAAGACCTCGAGATCACTCACCAGGGGCACCCTGGCACCTGGTGCAAGGTCGAGAAATTGCACGTTGACTCCTTGGTGAGGTATCGCGTCGGCTTGTGCCTCAGGACTCTTCCATCTTACGAAGAGATATCGCGTCAGTCTGGCGTGCTTATGGTCATAGGCGATGTAGGATAAAGCTTACGGCTCATTAGCATCGACCGGCACCTGCATGTGGGTGAAGATGGGATATTTTGCCGCTTGATCCTGAAGCAATGATACGCGGGGGATCTCTTCTTCAACTATCGTGACTGCGGGTTCCCAGGATCCAGAGTTGTCATTTGCAGAAGCGCTGCCATTGATGGTGACAATGCGACGCGGGGGTGGCCCATGTGTTGACATGGTTATCACTGATATATAGGTCAAAATAAAGGTTATACTGAATACACGTAGGAAAGCAGCCACCAAACTAGGTAGCTTTGATCCACGCCAGTAAGTTATTTTTGCTCAAATGTCAAGAAGAGACCATACCGTTTGGAATGCCTGAACCCCGAGCATCGGCTGGATCACATCCGAGATGTGGAGAAAGGAGATAGGCATTCAGTATTGCTGGGGCTGGACAAATCCAATCATAGATCCAGGTGAAAGACCAGTGTTACTGAAGGTATTCTAGAGGCTAGGTGTGTTTTCCATAGCTTATATATTCGAGTAACTATCTCCTTGCTGTGGCAACCGCCATTTTGTATAAGTCGAGGCAAAAGCCTGACCAACGGAACGCCAGCTCTATATGCCTGGTATCTAATCCGAAATTTTGTCCGCCCAACCAAAACGCCGTGCAATGCTTTTTCGAGGAAATATGCGAGTCCCATGCTTCTACTTCTCCTTGGCCAAAATGGCCTTTTCTCTCTCGCTTCTTCTCTTTTCAAACTGCTTCTTGGTGTGCTTTCGCTCGTTCTCCTCACGCCGCTTGATAGCCTTGAGCTCCTCGGTCTTGATCTCGCCAGCCTTCTTGACAACCTTGGGAGTGTGTCTGTGTCTCTTGATCCTCCTGATCTCGGGCATGTGAGCATAGCGGTTCGATAGAGCCTCGTTATACTCAATGGCCTGGCGCTGGCGACCAGACATCATACCCTCGCGCTTGGATGCTTCTGCTCTCCAAAGACGAATGTTTCCGTCGCTGTTGCTTATTAGATAATGTGTCGTTGTAGGGCGGAAGAAGAACTTACTCTGATCCAGACAGCACATACTTGGCGTCCGGGGCTTGACAAATGTCATTAGCATCGGTAGTCGAATACGTTGCACACAGAATAACTCACTGAAATTGGCACAGAATACTCTCTGCATTCTCTTGGTGTGGTAAATGTCTCTCGAGTGACCCTTGTCTCTGCTCCACAGTCTGATAGTCTTGTCATATGAAGCAGTCACAAGTTCTTGACCAGTAGGAGAAAATTCAACACTACATTTTGTTAGTATGGCTGGAAAGAGAAAGTCGTCCGCATCAAATCAGGATGAAACTTACTCCATGACAGCTGCAACATGGTCTTTCAACACATTGAGAGCCTTGTCGAATTTCCTGATATCGAATATGTATACGTTGTGATCTTCGCTTGCTGCAGCAATATTGAAAGCTTCCATTGGATTCCAGCTCAACGAGTTGGACGCAAAGTTTAGGATCGTCTTTGCCAAAGGCGTGTTTGTCCTCAAGTCATAAAGCACAATGCTCCTGTCACTGGCACAGGAGGCCAGAATGCTCGTCTCAACTTGGTTGAAGGCAACCTTGTTGATGGTATCGACAGAGTTTGGCCATGCTAGCACCTCAGGTGCAGCACCCTGGCGCTCAAGGTCAAAAATCTAATTCCAAGTCAGCATCTTGCAACTGGTTCGAACCACCCGGGCTGGCATACGCTAATGTTTAATCCAGAGGAAGCTGCAACAGCATTTCGCGACCGGTGGTGAGACAAACTCGTGAATGCTGCGTTTCCGAGGAAAGTGTTCAAGGGCGCCGAGTTGCTTGGTGTCGTCGGATCCCACAGCTTGATCGTTTTATCGCTTGCGCACGTGAGCAGCTTTTGGTCTCTGGTCCAGGTCATTCCCTTTACAATGTTCTCGTGGGCTGTGTTTTGCCATGTTTCCGTCTTGCTAGTCAGATCCCACACCTTGATGACACTGTCCTCGAATATCAGCCTCTGAGATTTTCCCTATGCACAATAGCTGGAACCTACCCATCACCCGAGCCAGAGGCGAACCTCTCCACATCCTGCGGATCTTTGGCAAGAGAATAAACACCATCCACGTGGCCATCGCCTAGCTGCGCAATAAACGGCTGTGCAAACATTCTCTCCATCTTGGTCGCATTGAGGGCTCGCGTGTATTCTCTCGCACGTTCGAAAGGGTGCAGGGCGGGATCGAGGTTCCTCGGTTGCTTCGTCGCCTTGGATCCAGCGGGCGCATAGGCCTCGATGGATCGAGAAATAGCCTTGATCTTCATGATTGCGGTCGCTTGATATTTGACAAAGAAGAGAAAAGTCGGGTCTGGAAACTGGCGCCGGTTATTGTTTGAAAGATCGCGACAAGATCTGTCGTGGAAATCGCAACAGCTTCAATTCGATGGAAACTTAGCAGCCAAATGCCTGTCCCACTCTCCAACTTTTTGGTGGATCCGTCTGGAGCTTATCTTATCGACAGCCCACCGTGGTCAGTCAGTAGAGCGACGTCACGTGAAGTAGTACGGAATACCTAGACGCTGAGCCGCCCAGGCCCCAAGCAGCAAGTCCCAACTCTCAGTGGTCCACAGTGTTAAGTTGTGTCAGCGTGCGCGGCAGTGGCAGCCTTAAGCCCACCTCAGTGCTCCGTCAGCTCAGCGGCTCTTGCAAGGCTGGGACAAGCTGGAGCTTAAGCTGTAGTACCGCTACTGTTCAGCACCTACCCAAGCTCATTGATCATCATCAACACTTTACATCAACACCAAACCGCATCGCCAAAACCAACCCATTGGAACTCGCCACTCTCCTTCCACGATCAAATCTGGCGCCTGCACCTGCGCTGTGAAGAACACTCGATCGTACCAAACCCTCCGAAATCATTCCAACGCATTCACCATGGCGGCAGACACACCAGCTGTGAAGGAGGCTCAAACGTTGGAGAGCACCGACCCCCGGAAAGCCGAGGCCATCTACAAGGAGACCATTTCAAAGCCTCCATCCGTCACCTCAGATGCAGCCATCAAGGAATACGAGACGGCACTGTTGAGACTCGGAGGTCTCTACCGAAACGAGAAGTAAGCAGTCCCCTCGTCTCTCGCCTTATGTGGTATCGAGCGCGTACTGACTATGACCTCCTCAGGAAGTCGCAGGAGCTCGTAGATCTCATCACAACAAGCAGGACCGTGTTGTCATCGTTTGCCAAGGCCAAGACCGCAAAGCTGGGTATGTTGTCCAGGAGGGCTGTCGTGGTGCTGGAAACTAATCATGATCCCCGCAGTCCGCCAACTACTAGATCTCTTCGAAGACATTCCCAACTCCACCGATACCCAGATCGCCATCACAAAGTCATGTATAGAATGGGCCACCTCGGAACGAAGAACTTTCCTGCGACAGAACCTCGAGACTCGACTTGTCGGACTTCACATGGCCAAGCAGTCCTACTATGAAGCCCTTACTCTGATCAACGGACTCCTACGCGAGCTCAAGCGCCTCGATGACAAGCTGGTTCTGGTTGAGGTTCAGCTTTTGGAGTCTAGAGTCTATCATGCTCTGGGAAACACTTCCAAGGCCCGTGCAGCTCTTACCAGCGCACGAACGAGTGCCGCTTCCGTGTACACACCTCCGCTCCTGCAAGCCAACCTAGACATGCAATCTGGTATGCTGCATACCATGGACCAAGACTTCAACACTGCCTTTTCTTACTTCATCGAGGCCCTTGACGGCTATCACACACAAGATGAGACAGCAAAGGCGACCGCTGCATTGCAGTACATGCTTCTCTGCAAGATCATGCTGAACCTTGTCGACGATGTCAACAACCTCATGGCTTCGAAGCAAGCACAAAAGTACGCGGGTCAGAACCTGGAGGCCATGAAAGCTATCGCACGGGCACATAGCAACCGGAGTCTGGAGGAGTACGAGCGCGCTCTGGCTGCTTATAAGTACGAGCTTGGCTCGGACGCTTTCATCCGCAACCACCTCCGACGCCTGTACGACGCCATGCTGGAGCAGAACCTAATCAAAGTTATCGAGCCATTCAGCCGCGTCGAGATCAGCCACATTGCCCAGCTCGTTGGCCTTGACACACAACAGATTGAGCGTAAGCTCAGCCAGATGATCTTGGACAAGGTCATTATTGGTGTCTTGGACCAGGGTGCCGGTTGTCTCATCATCTTTGATGAGACGCAGAGAGACGAGAGCTATGACGCTGCATTGACCACTTTAGAGAAACTGAGCAACGTTGTGGATGTTCTGTACACGAACCAAGCTTCTATGCTCGAGTAGAGCTGTGGAAAAGACCGAGCAACACAATAGAAGGCAGTACTCCTCGCCGGGGTTCTACGAGCATCATGAATGGGTACGTTGATACCCCACGTGCTGAGGAAGCGACAGTCAAAGAGGACTGTTGAGCTGTAATATTAGATCCAGTAGACGGTTGAGCTGCCAAATAGTATCAAATGGAAGCAAGCTGGATTGGCTGGCTACTTCGGTCATCTTCATGAACTACGTGATCCTGCACCTGATTTCAAATTTCCGCTATTCATGGAATGTGAAATGTTAAATGAGAGTCTTTTGTTACTCCACAATGTAAAGCAAAGGTCGCTGTCGTGAAATATGGACTCCAAGCCGATCGTAAGCGCGATCCTAGTCTTGTCTCATGATGCATATCTAGCCCTTGAATCCAGTAAACGCCAGATTCGACCCTCAGCGACGCGCAAGAGCGATGCAAATAGGGGTATCATGAATGCATGCAGGAAAGCAAAATGAACCACATCCAAAAGAAAACACAAGAAAGCCAAAGCATCCATCAAAACGCCTAGTAAAAATGCCACACAATCCACGTGCAGACCCTCATCGAAAGGTCCTGTACTCTTCCTTGACCGTTCATGTATATAGTATGTTTTCGCATATTAACAATGATTGCTTCTCTCACCTCGCGATCTCCTTGCCTTTTCTACTAGAAATCCCAGCCAGATGACTTTGGCCGCTGACGTATTTGCCAGTCCGACGTCTCTCCTCGCCAACCATGAGGGCAAAGAGGCGCTTGCTAAGGCTGTTTGCGTCCCAAACGCCGTGAGTCTCGTCGTCGTCTGCGTCTGGCGACACACCAGAGTCGGCGAGCAGCTCGGATCGAAAGGCCTCGACGACCTGCATGTGCCAGTCCTCGAGGATCATTTGCGCATCGTGCGTTGCCACTTCCAGTCCGGACAGGGGGTGTTTGCCTAGACCGACAGAGGGAAAGACCATCTGGAATTGCATCGGATCCCGCTGGCGCAGCTGCAAGATCTCATCGAGACGAACCCAGTGGCCGCGGGTCCAGACTGTAGGCGAGAGTTTCATCTGTGGTGACACCTGGGCCCGAGTCACGGGCAGAGGCTGATTCACTTGACGTAAAGGTTTAATCGGAGACAACGCGTTTTCCGTATCCTGCTCGGGACCTCGGTACGAGGCAGGAATGCGCAGAGGTGTCGGGTTCAATATCGCAGTTCGGGGGTTACTGGTTGCGATCTTAGCGCTTCCATTAATGATTGTAGTCAACATCTCTTGTTGATCGTTCTGATCTTCTGAAGTAGGGTCGGAGTTGGCGACACTATTTGTGAACGCTACCACTCGACCAGGCGTCTTAGGCTTGAGCGGCGAACGCATAGATGACTTGGCAGGGCTGAGATTCTTGTCCCAATGCGACGGTTTTTCACGCGGTGGGATGTGCTCAAAAGATGGCCCATCATCCGTTGACGCCGACTCCTGTTCGCCACTGTACTCGTCCTCGTCACTATACTCTGGCTCCCTTAGATCATCGTAGCTCGGAGAGGGTGTGTGAGTATCTCGGTCTGGTGTGGACCCTTGATGGCTGGGAGTGAATAAAGAGGCAGTGTTGCGAGATTGTGCCGAGAGAGGAGTGAAGTTGCGCTTTTGTGGAATTTGCGGGAAGTCCTGGCGATCAGGGGTGGAAGGGCTTTCAGCATAGGTATCTGCCACTGTATCATTTGATCGCAAGTCCGTGCCAGGAGAGAAAAGGTCGACCGTCCTTGCGGGACTTGGGTTGAATATTTTCTGCTTGATGGTGGGGAAGAGTCCAGTAGCTCGCAGTGCAGACTGTGGCTCATCCTGAACCGATTTCTCACTACGAATCGATTGAGGTAGTGGCCCGCCGTTCATCTTGTGAGCAGCGGGGGTCTCCTCGACCTGCGCCGTGGGCGGGTTGTTCGTAACAGGTGGTGGACGAGGCGAAGAGAAGAATGACATAATGTCAAATCTCCCAAAGAAGCTCTTCCGCGCCGAAACGGGCTTGTCTTGCGGGTCTTGCATTGATACAGGCCCAGAAGGCTTGCCTGGCTCAGAGATCATTGAGTACTCTTGCAATACCGAGTTTTCCACCAGTGGCGCATCCTTTTGGGGGTAGCCTTGACCTCGCGGCAGCGATTGGGGCTCGTCAAGCTCTTCCTCCTCCATAAGTTCGTAGGAGCCATCATCCGCGAAATCCTGCCCCGCCTGGAAATGGTCCGGCTCTTCGTCTTCGTCTTGGTCGCCATATTGATTCATGTCGTGCTCATCTTTGGCATCCTCTTCGCGTGAGCGTGAAAATTCCTCTTCCGTGCCTTCAAATTCCATATCTTGTTCTTGTACAGCAGGCGGCTGCATGGTTGGAACTGGTCTCCCTTCACTTGGTGGGCTATCTTCCATCTCTAATTCAGCAGGACTCCGGAAATCGTCCTGATAAATCAATCTCCGTGGGTTCCGCCTCCAAGGACTTGGGATCTTGTTACGTCGTGGCGGCACAGGTTCAGCTGCTGCTGGTTCGCCTGCTTGGATTGATGTGTCTGCGGAAGCAGGATTTTCCGGTGGGATTTGAGACTGTCTGCGTTCTTGAGCTTCAGCTCGCAGAGCTTTGGTCGATCGTGGAGTCGGTCTTGATGCTTCGATATCCCACAAGTCCATGTCATCCTCATCACTTGCTGCAGCTGTCGTATCGGCAGGTTCCTCGTCTTGTTCTTCCTCCGGTTCCATTTCTGGCTCAATCCCCGCTACCTCGTCTGGTTCCAGCCCCTGTTCCTGACCAATCTCTTCGTCCTGTGCTGGCTCCTGGCCTTCCACGTTGCCGTCTTCTTCCAGGTTGAAGAGATCATCAAAGTCTTCCTCGTACATCTCCTGCTGTTCTTCTTCTTCATCGCCGTCTTCTTGGACTTGATTTTGGAGCGAACTCAGGGTACCGACGGCGCTCGAGTTCGCCAACCTTCTTGACCTCTGGTTTGCTGGGCTGCTAATCTCGTTCTCATCTAGGGCAGAAGTCAACTCGTTCTCATCGCCTTGTCGGCCAACTGCTGCTGCCCTTAGAGAACTGGACAATCCCCGGGAGAGATTCTCATGCTGGGGCAAGTCATAAGCCTGATCAATTTCATTGCTGCGAGCAGACCTTCCTGGCGCCTCAATCCGCAAATTTTCGGCCATGTCAGCTGCGAACGAACCGTTCTCCTCACGAACCGACGGAGCCTCAGTTGGAGCAGGAACGGGCGCCGGTACTGGTGCAGTTTGTCTCATAGAACCGAATGCTGACCGGATGTTCTGTGTAACTGATACAAGTGGATTGAAAGGCGTCTGGCCGTCTGAGCCGGTACCTCGGTGGCTGCCATTTCGCACAGGTGACCGAGCGATCGATGATTGACGTGAATCATTCTGTCCTGGCCCCCTGAAGGGACTCGCCAAACTACTCCCATGCTCATCAGGAGACGATCTGTCAGACATGATGTTCTGCAATGTGCGGCCTACTCGTACTATTGGCGACAGAGTAGGACGTCTGACGGGCGAGGGCGATTTTCGTGTTTGCCCGGGGGATCCCGAGTTTTGCAATGGTGCCGCAGGAGAAGAGCCCTTGTTTCGCTGCGTTTCCGCATGATCTTCTTGGTCTGTTTGTCGTGAGGCATCGGATACCAAGGCCATCGTATCAAAGTGCCGAGTAATTGTCTGCCCAGACTCGGGTTGAATGGTCATTGTGTTCATTTGCCGGCTGATAGTAGGCGGAGATGAGCGAATGTTTAGTTCAGAGGTATTGGCGACGGCGGATGAATCAACTGGCATCTTATGTGCCTCTTCGCCATGAATATTCTTAGCATCCGTGGTCGAGGAATTCGTATCATCGGGAGTGGGCAGTCTATCGGATCCAATATTGGTGGATCTGCTATTGGATTGCGCTTCTTCTTCTTCTTCTTCTTCTTCCTCGAGTGATGGCACATTCTCAACCGTGTTGTGGTCCACACGTCTTTCCATACGCGGTGGTCGGGGAGTGGCCGCTTCGAGCACCTCATCCGGGATTTGGGAGAATTCGTCTTCATATTCGTCCATATTGGAATATTCGTCAGTAACATGGGTGGTGACAGGCTTCATTGGCAGTCTACCTGGGGTGGCAGCTCGCAAGATACTATCAGGGAGCTCCGAGAATGAGTCGTCCACATGTGGTGCCTTGTTCGAGAAAACTTGTCTGCTCAGAGGCATTGATTTTCGTGGTGGCCTTCGAGGGCTTTGCATCCAAGAAGACTGGCTTGACCCAAAGGCCGAACGGCTGTTTCGTGTATGATCCGCCGATTCGTGCTCTGCGGTTGTCTGGATACTCTCTCTTCGATTTTGAGCATCCTCAATATGTGAGTGGCCATCAGCTTCAGTTTGGGTGCTTCTCCTTAAAGACTCCAAAGTTTGATTGATGATCATATTAGTCTCATCTCCGGCCTCAGGGAAGGGTTGGTGCTGGTCAATGATGCCGCTTCGATTAGACTGTAAAGAGGCTTGAAACGACGGCAACTCCTCAACGTTGATCATGCTAAATTCGGATGCATGAGTGAGGTTGTCTGGGCCACTATACGTTGCTCCATCAACACCTTCGGTCTCGGATTCAACGTCGCTATGGACTTCTCCCGTGTAATCGTCAAACATGGGCGCATCGGACTCGTCTGCACGACCTTGATGTGATGACACTTCGTCGAATGCTTCCGAATACCGCGCGATAGGTGAAGAGAAGCGTACTCCACGTTGGCCTGTCCGAAGGCGAGTTGTGTCTTCTCTCGTCGCCGAGGGCTGCCGTACATCGCCAATCTGCGAAGTTGCAAAGTCACTCATTCTTCTATCGTCATCGCCATCAAAAGCTCCATCCATATGTATTTCTTCTGTCATCGGGACATTGTCGCTCGGCAAAATGCTCGTGTTATCAGGACGTCGGTCAGCCTCACTATTGAGATCAGCGACCTCTTCTGGCATCAGCGCTTTCCGCGGGCGCCCGCGTTTTCTTCCCGTCGGGTTACTCGACGGCACAGCGGGCGTGCCGGCTTTCTTTGGTGTCTTTTTCGTCCTCGTCTTCGGTTTTGGCGTAGGCTCGACTGCCGCATTCTGGCTTGATTCGAGGAGCGCCGTATTCTCCAAATCTGTTTCGGACGGTGCTTCGCCACTATGTCGCTTCGCAGAAGATGTCTTTGTCAGAGGAGTGCCAGCTCTTTTCTTGCCCCTTGGCGCCGGTGTGCCGTTCTTGCTTCCCAGACTGACTCTCGGCCGGCCACGGCGGCGCACAGTGGATACATTACCAGTTTCGTCAGCCTCGTCATCCGTCAAGCCTCTTAGCGGTACTGTGGTCGTGGTTGTTGTCCCTTCTCTCCTTCGGCTGACACTACGCGTCGGCGATGCATTGAAAAGACGTCTGCTCACAGCGCCGCGCTGGCCCCGCTCATGTTCAGCCTCGACCGTGACCAGCAATCGCTGGGGCGAGCGGCCGTTGCCTACATCGAGCTCAAAGGTCTGCTTCCTAGGCGACTTGCGCGTTGATATGGGCTTCGATATCGACTTGGTTCGGTTTGAACTGCCGGAATACTGTACAGAGGACTCGCGGGCGATGGATTTGAGGTTCCCAGCGTTGCGGCGCGCGCTGGGCATAACGGAGCTCGGGACCTCGTCGCCCAACGGGTCGGGCGACGAGCTAAAGTCCAGCAGGCTCGTCATTGTCGCGCCCGAAGTTCATTTATCAGGTATTGAGGATCAGTCGCCGATGGTGGCTGGAGGTGTCATGTCAATTTAATTTCTCTGTGACTTCAAATCGCGACCAACACGTGTTTGGCGGCGCTGGCGTGGGGGTGCGTTTTGCCGATGGACGTTGAATGGCACGACAGGGGTTCCCAACTTAGAAAAGAGAACTTTGTTTACTTACACCTCGATCCGGTTTAGTTCTGCCTGCGGCTCCGAGGACGGGCGGGGCCACAGCCAGAGTGGGGATCATGACTTGAGCTAGGCCAAATCAGCTCGACAAGGAGGACCTCTGGACCCTTGAGGTGACCGGGTCATTTCTCCCCGCATTATCTCAGCCTGCTTATGAATAATCAGCATCAACGTCATACTATGCACCCTCTTTGGCATCACTAATGCAATAGTGTACAATATGTTACATACTTACCAACTAACCTTCATCTTTCCCCCAAATCCGGGGTAAATGAACTCCTAGTGGCAAGATTTCATTCTATATACCTCGGGAATATTAGGCGCACGCATGCCTTCTTTTTATTTCCATGCTGTATCACCACCCGGGATGGACCCTCATTCGTTGCAACCAATTCTGGTTACTAATTAGACAATGGCGACATCGAGGTAGTAGAGTGTCAAAATGTACTCCAAAGGGTGATGCCTCAAATGACGTGATTGCTAGTGGCATGTTCATTGGATGCGAAGAGGCTGTCTACACATTCTCTTGATGGCACTTGATTTGAAATTCGAATCATAGCTCGGCTATTGCTGCTATTATATATACCAAGCGTCCTTCTCGTAGTCACTGACTCTGTATGACTGTACCAGCACACTGTACAGAATCACTACATCTCGTTTATTTCATCAGTTTTAGAGTCACATTATACATACCGGTGCTTTCATATTCCAAGATATATAACAGCATGGCCATCACACCAGATCCCGTTCCGCGTGGCCCTGTAGTTACCAATATCAACTACGGACACTTCCCAGCAGCGGGACAAAAAGCCATCAACTACGTCGAGGACCCGCCGGCAGGCGAGCCAAAGCGCAACGTTGTCGTAAACGCCCAGGACACCCGGATCGAGGACATTCGGGGCCGCGAGTCGGACTTTACCCTGGACACGGACGCCTTTGCCGCCGTGCGCGGCGTGCCCGAGTCGGCCGAGCGCGACTTTGTCGACGACGACAGCATCCGCGCCAAGTACTATCCCGAGGTTGAGCGGTTCCTGCTCGATCACATTCCCGGCTCCCACAATATCTTCATCTTTGACCACACCATTCGCCGCGCCGACCCGACCGCCAAGCGTCAGGCCGTCTTCACTGCCCACATTGACCAGACGCCGCTTTCGGCGCCGCAGCGCGTGTACAAGCACTTGCCCGACGAGGCCGAAGAACTTTTGCGTGGCCGGTATCGCATTGTCAATGTTTGGCGGTCGCTGAACCAGGGTCCCGTCGAATCGAACCCACTCGCCTTTGCCAGCTCTTCTACGTTTTCCAACGATGACCTGATACCCGTCGAGCACAGGTACCCCAACGGTTATACGGGTCAGACGGCAGCTATTGCGTATAATCCAAGTCAGAAGTGGTACTATTGGAGTGGTATGACGGGGAACGAGAGGCTGATGCTAGAGTGTTTCGATTCGGATGGCATCAAGGAAGGCACTGGCGTCAAAGGAGGGCGTGTCCCTCACACAGCCTTCATTGACCCTAGGACGCGGAAGGAGGCTGAAGGGCGGGAGAGCATCGAAGTTCGTGCATTGGTCTTTGGACCCTGATTGTTTTATATTTTTTTCATTTTGTGTGTATTATGGTTTAAGCGATGGGCCGGCGCAATTTGTTTTAACGGGCATAAATGATATTTTTTGAACAAGTAATGAAAATACACGACCGAAGCTTCCTGCCTTGATGATAAAAATTACATCCTATGAATGACAGCTTCTTCTATCGCCCACACATTTTAGGCTCTAGTAACCATCCATTAAGCTTCCCAAGCTTCTGTACCCTGGTTGCTGTTATACGCCATGCAAAAGTGAATTCGATTGACTTGGCCACCTCCTGCTCAGGGAGGATGGATGAAGCGCAATCGGGGTATTGCTTCATAATTCAAAATGCCAAAAAAGAAAAACGCCTCCAGTACTCTGTAACCTTGTTGTGAGAATAAACGAGAAACATCCACCATAAATCATGAAATCACACCTGGTGTGATTGATAAGAAATACCATCTTTTTGAGCTTCCAGCGTCTGTTTCCAGGTGCGCTCAAGTAAGACATTATCGGACGATTGACACATTTGCTAGGACAAACATGTTTGTTCGTCATGTTGTGTATACACACTTGTGACAGATTTAGTCAATCAAGTGATCAGCCCCGTCGTCTTCCCCGACCACTGCCAGAGCGGCTCATGGCAACACCACCGAAGCTACTCTGCCGAGACATGGGTGGGGCCGCCGGTGAGTCTTTGTTGCTCGTCGTAATTCCCGGCGCAAGAGCTCCCAAGCCGCTGGGTGCAGGCTCGTCTCTGAGGGCTGACGCATTTACACCCAATGAGTCAGCTACATGCTCAGGGACTGGGCGTGGCTGACCCTGAATCAGGGCGGCGAAGGGTCTGCCGTTCCGCTGAGCTGGGATCATGTTTTCAAGCAGTCGCCGACCGCCATTTGGCGTATCAATGTTGGCCCCAGCGCCCTTGGCACGCTCATAAGCTTTGAAGACGTTCATGATTTGCATGTCCTGGTGGACATCGTCCTGAGAGAGCGAGGTGGGTGTGTTGGACTCGGACTTGACATATGCCTTGGAATATTGCGAGTGAATCAGGGGTGGCAGCCGAGGCTCTTGTGCATCCATCTTTTCGAGGTTACCGGCAAGCTCGAAGTTGGCCAGACCCTCAACGCCGAGAACCTTGTCGTCGAACCAGTTCTGGCCAAGATTACGAGTGCTTCTGGTCTGATGGGAAGGTGCGCGTTCCATGGCAGGAGCAGCCAGGTCTTCCTTCTCGTCGCCATTGACCTCGCCGTTTCCAGCTTCGCTCTCCTCGGGTGAGGAAAGCGGGTTACCAGCGTTGTCACGCCGGGTGAGCAGATGCTTGTAGGCAGCAATAGCTGCAGTGTTGTAGTTCATGGAAAGCTCCTTGTCGGTAAAGAGCTTCTCGATGCTGTAGATTGGGCCAGTCTCACGCCGTGCAGCACGCAGTCTGTCATTCTGCCAAAGAGGAGTGGTGGCGGATGCATCAAGAGCTCTTCGAATAGGAGCGGGCGAGCCGTCATCCTCTGCACCGTTTCTCTTTCTCTTCTTATCCGAGAGACCGGAAACATCGTCTGCGTCTCTGCGCAGTCTGGTAGCCCGCTTCGAATGGGTGCCTCCAGGGCTTGCCGGGTTCGTCAAGGTGTATTGGTTGGGGTGTAAGAACAGAACGGTGCTCTCAGCGACATCGAGAGCTTCTTTCTCCCTATTAAGCCGAAGCTTCTTTGATGTGATGGCGTTCATCAGTCGGTCTTTCAGTGTGGCCGATAAAGCTCTGTGTTCTCTTCTGGCGACTTCGACTTTGTAGGCATACGTATTGCGGTGCATAATGGTTCGAGCTTCGTGCTCATGCTAGTATGTAAAGTCAGCGCCGATATTTTCTTTGCGCACTGCACGCTGGCACAATGGGACTTAGGGAACAAAGCCATACCTTTTGTGATGTCAGCTCATAATCACGAACCTCGAGCATATCCTTGACATGCTCGACCCATTCTTGGAAAGATGGTCCTGCCATTTCCAGTAGCGTTCTCGTGGGTCGGTCGGTGCCATTGGCATTTGCTTGCGAAAGCTCTTGAAGGTCGCGATCAATTTCGTCAAGAGGGCGATCGGCGTAGGGATCAACTCGAGAGACGAGGTGCACATCTGCTTGGATCTTTTGGAGTTCTTCTCTGTAGCTCCGGTCGCGGTCGCGGCTCATGTCTCGCTCAAGAGCGGCTAGCTTCTCGTAAATGAGTTGCTTCTTACGCTCGCGCTTGGATTGAGCAGGTGGTGATTGTGCTCGGGGAGGCTTGTGTGCTGTTCCGGCCAAGGCCGACTGTGGAGGGTCGGCGGTTGCCATCGTGAATCGAGGTTTGTGTGTTGGCTTGTTGTTCAGGGCTGAGGAACAATCGGGGTGGCTAGTACTGGTGTAATCGTATTTGTGAAGACCGATGGGGGCGCTGGTAGCTCTCTGTTACGAAATGAGGTGCGAACAGAAGTCAGGCGCGCGTCGGATCACAAGAGTGTGCCTCTATACTTTTCCGTCTGAACATAAGAGTGTCGAAGTAAGGATGTGGGAGAAAAACAAGAATCGGGGTAGGTGGGTGTAAGAGAAGGAAGACGGAGAAGACTTCGCAACGAGAGAGGTAGAAATTGTTCTTGGTGCGCCCGAAGAGCTGAACAGAGTAGCCGACAGGACAATCCGTTTTAAAGACAAACAAGCAGAATAATGTTCCCTGCTGGTCAAAAGGTGATCAAATCGTTTACTGTTCAGACAGTGACGAAAGTGGACAGAAGAAGAAGCTGAGCAGATTTCTGATTGAATTACATGGGTAGAGGCTAACTAGTAGGACAATCGGCGGCTCCCAGGAACAGCCTCGCTGACAATAGGAACGACCACTAAGGTAATAATCGAACTGCAGCGCCCTGTGACCGAAAGAAAGTGGGGCACAGGGTGTCCTAAGCAAATCCAACAGGTGGAAGACACCAAGGTAGCCTGTACTACAGCACCAGCCGCCTGTCATTGGTGCTTTTGTGGCTGCTATTGGAGGTTTGGAGCTTCCCTGATCAGCAACCTCTTGCAATAATAAAAATACCAGTGCACGGGCCAGTCTCTCCTATCAGCCGAACCCCGGTCCTCGTATACATGACCATCACCAAATTTCCAATTGCTATGCAGTATACGAAGCATGTGTGTTGTCCACCTAAATTTTCGGGATCAATTGGGTATCGAACTGCGCTCAACTTCTATCCTTGGGTTTTCAGAAGGTTCCATGATAAAAGCCAGAGATGCCACATGTCCCTCTCGGTAGTATATAGGTCCGACCGTTCGTGGTGAATCGGAGCTGCTCACTGATGTCCCTCCCTCCAATAGTCTCTCGGCTTGCCTAATCGAGACAGACGGCCAACCAACTTTCTCGAAGACCTACTACGAGCGCGTGACGGTCACTACGCATGGTCGGGCAAAAGAATTTTCTTTTCCAAAGCTTTGTTTGTTTCCTCGAATCCTCGTCATGCCAATGGCAAATCGAAATGACTGCACACAGAAAATTGACACCGCAAGCGCTCAGGTATGCCTCCCCCAAGCAATGAGCTTTGCTAAGCTAGGTGTAATCGTAACGGTTGGTGTATATCTCTCGCCCTATTCAAGAAGTGCTCTGCAGCCTATGATATTTCCTCGTCAGTCTTGCAGATAGATTCGGCCAGCCAATACAGTTGACGGTACTGAGCTAGATTGTGGCACGGCCCAGCAGTTGTCGTCGTTGTAGGAGCATCGTACGTCCATCGTTTGGACTGCAGCGCATAATCACAAGCTGTCATGCAATATATGGCATTAGTATCTTATGGCCTTTCCGGAGAATCTTCATAGAAGAGAAGAAGAAAAGGCCCAACCATTTGTCGATGAGCAACCAACATGATACCAAGAGTCACGAGCAGTGCAGCCACTACAACAACATGTGTTAGCGATTGTCATTCCGGGTGGATGAATGGATTTGAAGCCGCTCTTTTGAGCAGTTTGTCTGAGTCTACTCTCTTGCAGCATCATTTTGGGCAATGCTTGCTCACAAGACAACTCAGAGAAGGGGAGAAATAATACTGGAAGTTGCTTACTAAATAAGCATCCACTCCATCTGCCCCGTGATTTGTGGGCTGCCGCTGAAGAGTCCCTCCAAGGGTCCCTTTTACCAACGCTCAATGTTGCGGAAGCCATTTTGCTACACAGGCATGAAATTTGATGAGAGAGTCATAGAGGGAACTTGACGTGGCTGTCAAACACCTTAAATACAAACACGAGCATGCTTGGCAAGATATTGGCTTTCCCAATAGTTCCGGATTGCTGGTGGAGGTGGCCAAGCAAGGGAGGGAGGATTTTTAGCCTGGAATGGAGCTCTCATTCGGGAGCATTGCGCGTCCCTTTTTATCTGTACTCTAATGCAAGCAGGAGAGTCAAAGTCCTTCATGTGGCCTTCAGGTATTCAGACGCAGACATGAATGAACGGCCCTTGGCGCGATCGAGTCTGGCAGACGAGTTGATCACGGATTGATTTATGGCAATTGGGGGAAAGAAGAAGAGGTACGCCCCGGTTTCCTTTTTAGTCCAACATTGACAAACATGGTATCTACCCACGTCTACCCTTGAGTGGTCTGGTACGCGACTCATTATGTGGTGTATACCCATACTCCTCCACTTCCCGAAGTCAAGTCACTCTGTTACATCGACAACCTCTGCCGATGACAGTTCTTCAGTTTTTTAAGTTGTCCAAGCGAGTGACGGGCATGCTCAGTAGTCATACTCCAAGCTCAAGAACTAACTAATATCCTGGAGCCGGAGTCTGCCGCCACATGATTGCCTCTGGATATGCCGTTCCCAGATTAATCCTAGAAACTGACCGGTCAATCTGAAAAAGGCGTCGTCTCGATTTCTTCTCCACGGCTATTCGTGAATATGGCAGCCGTTATCTGCCGTCCAAGCCGTAACTTCTTCAAGGCTTCTGTTCCAGTGGTGCTGTCGTGTTCTCCGCCTCCTTGCCGACAGACTGAGCTTGGGATCGAGCCTGTCTGCGCTTCTGCCTCCGTCGCTCACGCTTCTGCTCTTTTCTTGCCTGTGTCCTGGCCACCCTAGAGGCGGCCTTGTTTTCTGCAGATGTGGTCGATGGCAGTAGCACAGCCTTCTGGACCTCCTTCAAGACTGACTTGGGAGTGGCCTTCTTTGCCTTCTTCCTGACTGAGCCGTCCACAACCAATTCTTGTCGTTTGGCTGGTGTGCGCTTGGACTTGACCGAGGACGCAGCCTCTTTGGTGACGGACTGACCAACAGAAGCTGCCGCCGGTGTAGAGACCGGTGCGGCAACAGGTGGAGTTGGCGGTGCGGTGATGAGACCCTTCGCGGCGGGCGCGGCCTCTGGGCCCTTTGAAGCATCAGCCACAGTAGCCGCCGGGTCGGCCAAGTTGTCAAAATTCCACACAATGTTGGGGAACTCTTTGGCCGGGTCGAACCCCGAGGCAGCTGTTGAATCAGCCATAATATATTGCGTGGTTGAAGGTATAATATTGCAAGTCCAGTCGTTTGATATGCCTTCTAATGCAGTGACTGATAACGGGGAGGAAAACGTGTGGCTCGCCCAGATGCAGGGTTCTTTGCAGTGGTCAGCAGCAGACTTTCTTTAATACAAATAAAACATTGATTTAAAGATACCGATGAGGAAGACGTAGATGCACCTTTGCGCAGGCAAATCTTCAATGACTGATTTTATTAGGCCAACAGTTATGTGGGCTGTTGTGAAAATACTGTCTGCAGAAAATTTCTTGGTGTCTGCTTGTGGTCGGACTAGTCGGCCCAGCAATCCCAGTACACCTAAAAAGCAACGAGGTCATGATAAGCAACCATCGATGAGCAACACATGAACAACGGGAAATATACGTCTTTGCATACAGAGATTTGCATGCATCTATTCATCTGTATTACAGCCCGCTCCTTAATTTTTGTAGTTGGCTCATAAAACCATATCCGGTAGCCCCTCTAGTCTCGGCGGGGCCATCTGAACTCTTTCGCGGACTGTTTTCCACCTCAGCTCTGGGATCTCGTTTGCCGTTCTGCTCGAGCTCCCTCAGTAAGTCCCTGTGTTTATCTTCCACCATTTTCGCCAAGCCATCAATGAACTTGGTGCGACCCTTCTCTTCTCCTGTGCCTTTCCACACCAGATTTAGCTCCTTCAACACCTCCACCCGGAGAAGGGCCTTCTCAACCCCCGCCACGGAGTCCTTGTCGGCCAAGAGGCCAGAGATCTCGTCTCTTAGTTGTTTAAGCACTTGCTGGCCTTTTTCTTCCGTGCTATGATCTTGTCCTCCTGCATCAGGGGCGGAGACGGACAAGAAGCCAGAACTGACAGACAATTCAGATGGTGGGAACACGAATTCCATGGCATCGCCAAATGTCTTGATGACAGAGTCCAACCGCTCCCTTACACAAGTCAATGTCTTCAACTGCGTTATGTAGGCAGGGTCTTCGACTCCATCTTGGCCGCCTCCTGGAGGGACCGTCTCGGGGTGTATGGATATAGAAAGCTTTCTAGAACTCGCACCAACGGCTCCATTGGGCTTGTGTTCGGTTTGTTGCTGCAGGCCGTCAGGTACAAACTTGGCAATGTCGCTCTGCAAGCCGTCTGTCAAAGACTCGGACAAGCTCAGCGTCTCGCCGCGTAGTAATTCCACTTCATATGCTAACCGGCTTCCGCTTCGCAATATGTCGTCTGTCAGCTGCGTCAAGGTGTTGGTCAGTCTCGTCGTCTGTACGCTCAACTGCGACAGTAGGGTTTGCGCCTGAGAAGATAGCTCTGCTAGAGGGACAGCCCCATCCTGGCTGGGAGTGATTGAAGAGACATGGGCTTGCAATGGTGGGAGAGACGAGTTCAGATATTCGGCAGGATCGAAAGACGGCGAGAGGAAGCTCTGGAGGAATTGGTCTGACACATGAGCAGACTTTGGCTCGATGGGTTCCTGCGCCAGCTTCGAAGTTCGGCGGGCATGGTGTGGAAGGCCACGCGACGAGGAGCTCAAAGAGCTGTTTTGGCGTCGGCGCATTCTGAGGTGTGGCCTTTTGGCTGTCGGGGTCTCTCAGTTTCTCCCGTCTCTGCTTGGTAGCTTTGAGAGGAATGTGTGCTCAATGGAGTCCGGTACCTTTAAAGCATGGCAAAGGAGGCTGGCAAGCGTTGAATTGTTCGTTCGTCTGGTCTCTTGTCAATGTCAACGTGTGGTGGAGGTTCGAGGTCCCTTGCACTAAGCCCCTCCACCGACCGACCGTTGTGGGTCCAGATGTCCGTCCGGAGCTTGGATGGATCTTTCACTGCGGCGTTCTATACATTATGCCTCCATACTGTCAGCTAGTGTAGGTAGGTACCTGCCCAACCCAACCAAGCTTCAAGTTTCCAATCAATACTGAGTTCAGGACTTTAGCAACCCTGCAGATGCCTGGCGCCCAAGAAGTGCTAGTATGTGCAGTATTCCATCTATTTAGAATCCACACTAAATTAAATAAGGGATACTAGGTACTACAGTAAAGTCAATTAGGGCACATTGGCGGGTGTAATGTTCACATAAGTGTGCGCCCAATGCCAACTTCAATCACGTACCTGCTTTACATGTCATATGAAGTACCTAGGGAATAATTATTTGCAAAATTCTAGTAAGATGCTACGCCCCTATGTTTTCTCGATAATACGATTCTTACAGACATCTGGACTCTTCCCTGTATAAATAGTATAAAGGTACTTGGTTTCGGCTAGTGCTTATCCAGATTCATTATATGATCGACGGAACTTGCATGTAGTCCATCTCAATCACCACTTTGGATTCAATCTTGGACTATTACGTAGATTCCGTACCAGTTGCAAGACTGATTCTGACTGTCTGTCACATCTTGACTGGTTATTATTGCTGTTTGTCAAGGTGCCAGTAAAAATAAATCCAGGTGATCAATGGTGCAGTAGTGAAAATGGAATGGGTTTGTCGCCGCCTTGGGAGAATGAGCGTTGCAGGTACAAAGCTGCATGACTACGCTGGTGCTTCAACCTGGATTATTGGTGCCTACAAATTCTGGTCCTATGGATTGATTTTCAACACCCTAAGGTATGTGAAGGGCCGTTTGTTACTCCCAGGTGCAGGCAGCTTCCACGGTCTCTTAGCAGGTCAATTCAAACGGCGAGCGCTCAAGACTTTTTCTTCCTCGGTCTCTTGTCTCTGTCGACTCTTTCCATTTTAGGCACTTGCCCAGCGCGAGCGCCGATTCTGTGACAACAATCGGATAGCTTCATTACAGCATCACATTGCTTTCTGCCTGGTTAGTAACAACAACAATCCAAGGCCATTGAAGCCTTTGGCCCAAGGCATGCATCGAGTTTTTCGGCACGCAAAACGGCTGTATTTTTTCTCCCTTCAAATATCTATCCTTCTCCATCTTGAGGACAAATTCAAGCTTACCCTTGACTCCCCTACCAGGCGTCTTGATTCTTGAGGTACAAGAAGCACAACCATTGCCCCACAACTACCTTACACAAACGACGGTCGTGCATTCATTCAAGCAACTACTACACAATCACACCACAGCCAGTCGGGAAAAATTAACCCTCTGGGGCATTTTTCTTTTCGCCGACACCTTGAACAAGATCCAAATATCCTTTGCACACGGGCGACACAACTAGTATTCATCAAAAAGTAAGTATCTTGCTCCCGCCGTGAACAGCCTTGCCATTTCTGTTCTTGTACTAACCTTTGAGCAGACCTCATTGTTTTGTTGTAACTGAGCACCTGACATTCCAAATCAACGGTACGCACAACTTTTTACTTGCTGTATTCCTTCCATATCTTGGCGCATCGGCGATGAACCTTCCATCAATCCAGTTCTTTGAGTTGGTCGCTGGGCGGGTAGGGTCGTGTCTTGCAGCTAACAGTGAACTAATCTATGGGAAAAGGCAGATTGGCCATTTCATAGCAGAGCGGTCATCATCATGGAGAGGCGTCTCGGCGCGCGTGCTCGATATCGAGCAGACCATGAGGCTGCTGCAAAAACCATCATCTCATACGTCAGCAGAGTCTCCCGCATTGAGGGTGATGGAGAGTTCACATTCACCTATAACAGCCCGCTTCTTAGAACGACGCCCGCCCTGGAGATTCAACTCATACCAGAAGATTTCACTGGCTATCCAAACGATCACTTTTTCCTGGCATTCACAAGCAGCCAGGATGCGCCTCCCTGTGTCGCCAAGACACTTGAAGACTTTGTCTCCGAGTCATATGGACTCAAAGTCAAGGATGCGGTGACTTTTCTTGCTGAAAGACTTACCGCCTCTCTCGATCGAGATTCGAACAGCCGTTTAGCTGAATCTGATGAAGCCCCGGATGTTCCCATGACATCTGAAGAAAGCCCATCTCCAGGTACCGACGATGAAGACGAGGAATTTGGAGATATCGACTGGATTAATGACTCCGACGAGGACATCTTCGACCTAACTACAACCAACGTTCATTTGACCCCTGGAGCAAGCGAACACGTAGTTCTTCATGGGGGAGTATCCAATCGCATTCGCAAAGATTTCCGTGCAGTCCGCGAGGGAGGTTTCCTGATCAGCAAATTGGTCGGCTTCGACTTACACACAAGAGATAACATTGTTTCAATTTCCGCCCGCGTTGATAAGTTATGCTTGTCCGAAGAGAATTTATCTGCTTGGAACTTACAGGCGACCGATTTTCTTGTTCTTCTGATCAAGTATCAGGGATATTATACAACATTTGAGCAAGCTTTGAGCAATCCGACAACAATGCCCCCCATCGACTTCCGCCTCAGGAAGTGCTCCCAGTACAAGCCAACTCTAGAGCAAGCATACCAGGCCTTCTCTGTGCTGAATTATTCTTTGGATTCCTCCACCACACAGAGTTGCAGTGGCAAGGCACCAGAAATCAGCTTACTGAGCGTTGGAGGTTCGATCGACATTTTGATGAAGGAAGAGTTCATCCGCTTGCTGAGGTTGAGATGCGAGCAAAACTTGACGTGGGATGGCGCGAAGAAGATATTGGCCAGATCGAAAAATGGTTCCCATGTCAAGCAGAAGGATACCCCGACCAATATCATGCCGACTGAAACCAACACCGATCTCATGGAAGACGAAGATCATAACAAGCTACCAGCTTTCATTGCCAAGGAAAATGTAAAATCGGACAGCGAAGCTTCTTTGCCGCTCATCGCAGCACAGTTTGCCATGCGTCACTTCGTAAGTAGTCTGATCATACCAAGCACAACAAGCAAGCTAACCCTATCTACCCAAAGATCCGATCTACCGACTATTGCATGGTCTGCTTCGAAAAGGTTGGTGTGAATTTCGAAGCCCTCAAGCCTTATGTCTGCAGCAACCCGTTGTGCCTCTTCCAGTACATGAACATGGGGTTGGGCCCGAGTATCGACATTGAGGTCTTAAAGCACCCCAACGTGGTCGACCTGCTAATCAGTTTCTGTTGGGCTGCTTTGAACCAAGACCAAAGCAACAGAAGAAACCAGTTTGACGCTGCAAGGTCTTCGACCACCTTTCGCGGATGCCTACGAGAATACCCGGACGGTCTAAACCTACTGGTCCCAAAAATTATCTCCGAACAGTATGAGATGTCTGGGTCGCGCAGGGAGGTCAAACTCGAAGACACGAACATGAAGCTGATCGACCCAATCAGTGGTAATTACAACAGTCAGACGTCGACAATGACTCTTGATGAAGCAGCGGACATGGACCAAGTTCGCCTTGGGGAGTGGGTGGCAATCGTGGTGCCAACCAGCGGAAAGAGCATCGTTCGGCACGGTTGCATAGAGACAGCCGAAAGCCGCGATGTCGTTATCAAAGTACATGCGGAACATACGCTTCCTATTTCCAGTTGCCAGAGCTCTTCCGGTATTCCGGCTGCTAATCCTCCCTCCCTACCCGCTTTCCTGCTCTCTTATAACCAAAGTGTGGATGACCTTGAATTTATCGCAGATAAGGCCAAGTCATTAATGCTGCTTCTGGCGACGACACCATCAATTGGAGAGATGCGTGGCTACCTGAGGCAGTCACCGAAGAATCGATTAGAGAAGTGGGACAGGATGAACCCTTCGGTGTCGAGGCTCGTCCGCTGGATCGTCGCATCCAACCGGTCGTCGATCGTACAGGTCGACAACGTGGCCATAGTGGGCGATGATAGGGAAGACGCAGCTTCCCTAGCTCGTCCTAGTGAGCGAATTTCCGGCGTCGACGGGATGATCCAGTTCCGTTTTGCACAAGGATCGCCTGAGAAGGAGGTCAGCTTCGACAAGGAGTTGAAGACGGTTATAAAACCGCAGAAGACAATTCTTGGCTGGCACGGCAGCAACCTCGTGAACTGGCATAGTATTATCCGCAATGGCTTGGATTTCAAAGTCATTGCGAACGGCCGAGCCCATGGTAACGGTGTTTACTTTGCCAGGCACTTCGATTACAGTGCGAGCTACGCATCCGCCGCCAGGGTTCAACACCATGCGATCTCGTCTTCAACCATGTACTCTACTGCCTCTGCGTGGCCCAACTCAAAGCTACAAATCCAGAGCGCGATGAGCCTGAACGAAATTGTCAACAAGCCGTCCGAATTCGTGACTAGAGACGCTGGAGGAGGAATCTACGTTGTTGACAAAGAACATTGGATTCAGTGTCGTTACCTCTTCGTGAAGCCTGGAAACCACGTGTTGGAAAGCAGGACCACCAGACAAGATCAGACATCCACACCTTTCCTACAAGATGCAGCGTACACTGCACTAGGACCTAACAACCTGGGCATTTCGGTCCCCATCAAGGCTATCCCTTCCGCCCATATCAATCTGCTGAAGGCCAACTATACACTGACAAAGCAAAATGCGCTGGGCCACACCATGACTCATGGTGAGGGCGATGAGGAAGAGGACCCTGAAGACATTGAGTTTCTCTTCAAAGACTCCACATCTGATGGACGAGACCATAATGGTCTCGCTGCTCCTAAAGACGCAGCATCACTCCTCTCAGTCGACAAGACCGATTTCCGACCTGGAACCCTGGATCTCTCAAGCTTACCTCAATTGTCTCCTCCCGGATACGCCACACCCCTAGGTCAGAAGACGATTGGCCAGGAGATCAAGAAGTTGCAGCATCTTCAGGCAACTACTCCAGTACATGAATTAGGCTGGTACATTGACTTTGATCAAATTTCCAACATGTTTCACTGGATTGTCGAGCTTCACTCCTTTGACCCTGAGTTGCCCTTGGCCAAGGACATGAAGAAAGCCAATGTCACCAGTATCGTCCTCGAGATTCGCTTTGGTCGAGAATTCCCAATGTCGCCACCTTTTTTGCGCGTCATCCGCCCGCGTTTCCTACCATTTCAGTCCGGCGGCGGCGGCCATGTCACCATCGGTGGCGCCATGTGCATGCAACTCTTGACCACCAGCGGTTGGTCGCCTGCCAACAGTATGGAAAGTGTTCTCTTGCAAGTCCGTTTGGCTCTGTTAAGCGATGATCCTCGACCTGCCAAGCTGGCGCTGACTAAAGCTATGGGTGTTGGTAAGGATTATGGCATCTCCGAGGCGTACGATGCGTTCACTCGCGCTGCTTCGGCACACGGCTGGGAAGTGCCCAAGGATCTGCAAGAGACCACAACGGCCATGATGTGGAACTTGAACTTGTAGAGTCTCCCTCAATCGACACAAGAGGGCCAATTGGCGGGTCCTTGAATCTAGAATGTGCACAAAACATGGTCATGGAAGCGGCCATTGCTTTCCTTGTCGCAAATCGTGAGTGCCAAACAGCCTGGCCGACTCGGTCCGGCTTGATGGACACGTTTTGATTGATCGAACCTGGAACCGAATAGAAAGAGGAATTCAGCACAAACTCATGGTGGGAAACAAACGAAGGCGGAAGGGGAGGGAAAAGAAAAGGCGAAATAGACATGGGTGGAAGGCGATGAGAGATCACGGAATTTTGATTTTATGATAAGAGCATGAGGTTGAGAAAGCGAGGCGTCACCGCCAAAAGGGTTTGTCTTATTTTTCAACGAAGCAAGGACTCCAGCACTTTCTGGTATCATTTGGGAGCATGCGAAACAGCGAGGCGTCCACGGCGCAACATATACATTCCATAGAGAAGTAATTCATGGATAGAATTGACAGTAGCCTCATATGACAATTGACGTTGTAACAACGTCTTTGTATCGTTTTGTGATAAGTGTTGGTGGAAACATGCCCATGATTCTTTCGAAAGCTCAAATGTTGGCACATCATGGAGGTTACTCGTAATGAAAGGGGTTCCTTTCAAGAGTGCTGGCACCCATACCAGGGCCATTACTATAGTATTGAAGCTTGACGCGGCCCACATACTGAGACTGAGGATGACGTCAAGTTTCTGTTGTGGAAAATTGACAATTGTTGCACAACAAATATAGTGTAGGAAGAATCACAGCAAAAATAATCAAGGGCGAGGCCGGCAAAGAAACCCAAGTGTCCGATCTCAAAATTACGAAGAACCAGTATTTATTCCTTATCGAGTCTCTGACATGTGGTCCCTTGGTGCCAAATCAAATTTGCCAAATGTCTCTGTGCGAGCAAATGCGAAAACCTGCGACATCCGGGGGAGTGGATGTTTGGCGATCTCGCTCTTTTCCCTCCCAGAAAAACCCCAAATCTCTAGTCTTACGCCAGATTCGTTTCATAAAAGTCGTTGGAGGACTTCTCTTTTTTGTAACGTGACTTCCGCGTGTGAGAGGAGGAAAAAACAAATGTTCGGTGGAAGGAGGTCGTTTATATTGGGAGTTGAACCAATTTAGGCAGCAGCCTTCTTGTCGTCCTCACCCTCGAGGGCAGGCATGTCATCGTCATCGTCCTCATCGTCCTCATCATCCTCATCCTCGTCGTCGCCGGGAGCAGCACCGCCGCCGAGCTTGGAGAAATCAATGCCACCAAAGTCACCGCCGCCTGTAGGTTCTTGGTTAGTGTGTGCTCAAAAGAGATTGCTGCAGGGGATTCCGAATCCTGCTATTGTATGATGGTCTTGTTTTTCACGTACCCATGCCAGGCATGCCACCTAGTCAATCATGTTAGCCATAATCATTGAATATGAAAAGCAGAGCTGCAAGAAAGGCACGTACCCATGCCGCCAAACTGGCTGAAGTCCTCCTCGGGAGCCTCGTTCTGCTCGTCCTCATCAACCCACTTGTCGAAGTCGGTCTTGAGGAACTGGAGCTTCTTGGCCTCCTTGAGCAGGCGGGGCCAGTACTCCTCCTTGAGTTCCTTCTTGCGGAGCTTCAGCTCGACATTGCGCGAGGAGTGGTTGATCTTGGAGTTCTCCGGGTCAATCTCGGCGTAGAACTCAAGCTCGAGGTCGTAGTCGCGCTTCAAAGTGTCCGAGTGACCCTTGAACTTGAGGGTGGTGGCCTTCAGGTCCAGCGAGAACTTGGACTTGGGCACATCGGGGGCCGTGATGGTCAGGTAGATGAAGTTCTTCTCGGGGTCGGTGCTGGAGGAGCGCTGGGCCCAGAGAACTGGATTGGTAAAAGCAGAACCTGGTTAGCCAACTGTTGTCTTGACCTAGCTAGGCAGCCGAGGCGGCGCGGGATTGGGAGGCGGGCAGCTTTGAGCCGGTGCGAATGCGATGATCGTCTGCTTGAATCGGGCAGGCCGTAGCCGCATCGTTGGAAATCGCAAGCGCCGCGGCAAGCTACAGCTTCGCAAAGCCGCTTTCGCAAGAGACAGGGAGAGAACATACCTTCGGGGTTCGACATGGTGATTGTGTGTGGTGTATGAAGTCACGGAAAGAGAACTACTAAAAGAAGTGGCACTAGTACAAGAGTGCAACTGTAAGTGTCAGGATCGGTCGCCGACGGAGTTGACAGAAAAAGTTCAGTAAGTCGCTGATGTAGTGTGAAGGGAGAGAGAACAAGTGAGCCAAAAGAGGCGTTCAAGGGAAAATTGGTTTGGTGGTTGAGGGCTTGGGTAATGTACCGAGTTGTGCAAGTGAGGTCTGGAATAAATGCCGGGCCTTTACAGCTAAGTGCGGTGCAGTGTGTGTGTTTGTGGTTTGGTGTAGTGGAGGAAAATGGTACGTACGAGGCTACTCTCTCTCTCTTATTATTACTTACGCGGAGGGCGGGACAAGGAAGGAAGGGAAACAAAAAAAAAATTAAGTAGATTGGAGACAGAAACTCCAAAAGCTTCTATGTATTCCGTAATACGTTTTGTATGCAGGGTACACCTAGGCCTCTGTAGCAAATAGTTCTAGGCCTTTTTTAAATTCTGGTTCCTTCGTTCCTTCATCACTGGAGGGTCATGATACTACTACTACAAACATAACATGGATAGCAGGCAGGCAGGCAAGCAAGCAAGCAAGCAAGCGGGCGGGAGTGGGAGGTGGTGCTGGTGCTGGTGGGCTGGTGGGAGGGGAGGGGTCTTGTTCGGATGGAATTCCTCAGAAAGCCTAAGAACCGACACAGCCAGAACGCAACCAGCAGACCGACCGACTGACCAACAGGGCTGAGGGGGGAGCTGCAGAGTCCGCCTTCGGTTTAGACCGTTTGCATATCTCATCTTTTTGAGACCTCTCTGTCTGCATCTGGGTACGGTGCTGTATTGCATGTGCTTGGCAACACTGGATGATGATTTGCCTTTTATGATCAATCACGACGCAGAGCAACCCAAGATCCAAGGTATCAGAGCAGCGCCCTGTCATTGGTCGTCGGTTTGTCGCTATACCATCAGTAAAAATGTTGGCCAGGAATCAAACAGTGTTTCTATGTAGTACCTAGTCGAGGGCGCTAGCGGGAGACAAGACAAAATGTAACGTCCGGACTATTTTATCTGTGCATGTCCATATTAATAGACGAGATGTCATGAGAAACAATGAATGCGATTTGCGATTGCGGTCCATGGTTTTTCAAACATGTTTTCTATCTTGCTTTTCTACTCTGAGCCAGCACACTCTGACGCACAATCATCAAGGCCCATTCATGGATCAGTCTTATTCGTAACTGCGGGAGGCAGATCTCTCTCCACTCTTCTCAGGCTTGTCAGGTTAGCTCGGCAGGTTACGTTACGGCTCGGGAGCAATTCGTCGTATTGAAATGCTTTCTGCTCTCCAGCAATCCCTCTTCATCGTACTCATTGAATCGTGCAAGAAAATGGCGGGGTAGCGACTTGAGCAATTGATTGTCAGCCGTGCCTGGCCCTGAACGTGCTCCACTCATCGATGGCAGCCGTCCATTGGCTGGCTGCTGGTGGTGGCTGGCAGCCAGGCAAGTCAGGCAGGCAGTCGAGTCCCTGGGCTGTGGGGATGTGTCTCGTCCCGCAGGCAGCGCCCTTTGCTTTTAGGTACCTAAGGTCATGTACCGGCAGGTAAACGCAGCGCTTGAATCGATGTCCAGAGGCAGGCGCTAAGCGCCCAGACGTCAGACGTCAGATGCCCGCCGCATCGTATCGGATGGCAATCGCACCTCAATTGTTGCTCCTCGACTTGCTTGATACATTAGCCATATGGACGGATAACAGCACCCATCGCTGCAAGGGAGTCCTGTTGAGGAGTCTCGAGATACCAACATTCCAATACTGCATGTCACGGGCCCCGTTGTAAATAAATCAAGATGAAGAAAGCGATATCGAACATGATTTGGGGGCCAGATCCCGCCGAACAAGTAAGTGATTGATGCATCGCGACAGCCCCTCAACAGCCACGAAAAAATCAACCGATATTGATCACAGCCTGCCCTTCTAGAGAAAGAAAATCAAAGCGAATTTGCGGAGAAACGAAACTCAGCTCTCAATCGAAACGCGGAAATTGAAAGCTGCCGAAATCAAGGCCAAGAATCTCATCATCGCCGCCGACAAGCGCGCCCAGCGCAATCCATCACAGGCCGAATCAGCGTCCCGCGAAGCCCGCATGTTCGCCGGTGAGCTTGCCAGAGTACGGAAGCAAAGCCAACGCCTCGCTGCGACAAAAGCGCAGCTGGATAGCGTGGGCATGCAAGTCGAGCTCGCCTTCAATATGCAAAAGGTCCAGGGCACCCTCAACTCCAGCGTCGGCATTATGCAGGACGTCAATACACTCATCAGACTACCCGAACTTCATGCTGTCGCCCAGGCGCTGGGGAAGGAACTCATGACGGCTGGGCTCATCGAGGAGATGACTGATGAGGTCCTCCCCCACGACGACATTGAAATCTTTGACGAAGAAGCGGACGGCGTGCTCAACGAAATATTGAAAAGCCGCACAGAGAAGACCGGAACGCTTCCAAACGAGTCGATCCCGTCTGTTCCTGTCGGCCAGGAGCCTGTCGAGGTCGAGTTGGACGACTCTGCCTCGGAGCGCGAAAATGCCATGTATAGGGAACGTCTCGAGGCTCTGAGGAGCTAAGTAGACAACTTGACTAGCTATGTGTTTCTAGATTCGCAACCTGGTCCGGAGCGGTTGTTTCAGGCGTTTGGAGTCTTCATTGTGGAATCATCATCTGTCTTTGGGCAGGGCATAAACTTTTTGCTACCGGTTTTGGAAAGACGACTTACAATACTCAGCATGCACGCAGCCAGTTTTTTACATATGTCCATGAATATCGTATATTTAGCGGGATTTTCCCCCCTGCTACACTATGTTCGATCACGAACAGTACTGCGACGTTGGTCAAGAAAGATAGTCTTCCTGTGAGAATTCGAGATACGACGCCACGAGGGGCGCAACAAATATCGTCGAGCGATGCCTACCAGTCTTGCAATTATCAAATTCACCCTCTACTCCGCATCCATGACAAGACAGGACTGTCAACTTGTACTGTTTTTATACACAAAATAGCATCACGAAGTGCCGTGGTAGTGGGGTCAATGTGCGGCCAAGGTCGTATGTACCTACCCAAATTTGGTGAACGGACCATTTGGCCGTATTGGCAGGGATGGAGCAAATTTCCGCAATTGCTCGACTTTCCATTTTGTACGGACCATTTCTCATCCTACGAGTCGGGCTGATCATCTGAGTTGCTGTCTTTGAAATTGACTTGTCAAAGCACTCAATTCTCCAGACGAACGCCATCGTTCCTTGTTACACTCGATCCAATTCAACCTCGCGCTCGAGTCGAAGATGGGTCTATCTAAATCGCTGAAGACGAGTGTGTGCCTCTCATTCGGCGCTGTAGGTCATGCGGTCGCAGCATCAAATGCTTCTTATGCTCTTGGAAGCCCGCAAGTAGTGTTACCACAAAGCACTGTTGAAGGATTTCTAGACTCGCATAACAACTTTGTATACCTTGGGATTCCTTACGCGCAGACAACTGGAGGTCAGAATCGGTACGCATCTCGTATATGCTCCCATATGACTCAATTAACCCCCAGCGATCAGGTGGAAGAAGCCTCAAGATCTTATCTTCTCCAAGAACAATGGATCATTAGTCGTCAATGCCACCTCCTACGGTCCCACCTGTCCTCAGGCCATCTCTAACGACTACTATAGTCGGCAAGATGAGGATTGTCTGAATGTAAACGTTTGGGCCCCTTCGAATGCATCGAATTTGCCGGTAAGTGGACAGTTCTCCTCAAAACGATATCGAACGTGAGATTAGCGAATTGATTCATCAAAGGTTTTTGTATACATGTATGGAGGTGCCATGGTGACTGGGTCCAGCAGCAATCCTCAACTGCAAGGCAACAATTTTGCACGCAAGGGCGTTGTGTACGTGAGCTTTAACACACGTGAGAGCATTTGGGCGTCACCAAACTCAGCAGAGCTCAGTGGCAAGAATGAGACACAGAACTTTAGCATATTGGATGTCGAAAAAGCTCTCGACTGGATCCACGACAATATTGCTGGTAAGCTTTGAACACTGGTTCCAAAGTCAAGAGCGATCGCTAACATTTGGCAGCTTTCGGCGGCGACCCTAACCATATTGTTTTTGGTGGTCACTCGTCAGGTGGCGTCCAGGTTGATCACTACCTCGTAAGTGAATGCTGATTTCAAGTACCACTTTTGGGGATATTTCATGTGAGATGGTTAGCTTTGTGGTGCCTTCACTAAGGACATCAGTAGCAAGTGCTGAATTAAGAGCTTCGCAACCCATCTGAAAGATTTTGAAGGAAATGTATTGACTCAAAATCTTGTAGTGGAACCATCCAGACACTTGGCTCAAGGGCGCAGTGCAGATGAGTGCAAATGCCATCTCCGGCCCGGCCTACGCCCCCGTCAATGTAGGACTTGATGTTGTCGCTGCAGAAGTAGGCTGCAGCACTGGTTCAGGTCAACTCGATTGTCTTCGCGATGTTGATATATACGACTTCCAGACCACGTACTTCAACTCAACCTCGAACACGTGGTTCACGCCTGTCATTGATGAGATCACTCGCTTTTCCGATTATACTGCTCGCTTCAACGCTGGCAGATACGCATCACACGTTCCATTGCTGACTGGTAATTCCAATGGCGAGGGAACCATCTTTTCCTTGGTGTACTCGGCCGAAAATGGCGATTTTGATACTTGGATCAATACTTTTGACGCGGACAGCGCTCATATCCCAGATGAGATCCTGATTGAAGGCTACAATACGACAAACTTCACCAGTGAGTCCCTGAAGAGTGGCAGTCAGTACGGCGATGCTCGCTTCAACTGCCCTGTGGACTATTTCGTCGACATGCGCAGCCAGAAGCAGGCTACGTGGGAGTACCGTTTCTTCGGGCAATACGACAATGTTGTTGGCGTCTCGGGCACCGCGCCAACTCATGGAACAGAGGTTCCCTTTTTCTTGGGTGGCAATGAGTGTTTTGAGAAGTTGTCCAATGTCACGGAAGCACAGCAAGCTCTGGCTGATTCTATCAATGACTGGTTTGTTGAGTGGATAAAAAACCCCTCGGCCGGTCCAGGCTGGGACCAAGTGAAGCGAGTCAATGGAACTTTGGCCAAGCTCGGTGTTCCTGGAGACGAGGTGTCCTTGGTCCAAGGTACAACATCGGAGCACAACAGCCGATGCCAGTTGGTCTACAAGCCGTACTTTCCTGACTATCCTGTAGTACAGAGCCCTGTATAGATTAGCTAACTGGCCAAAATCGATGTGATGAATAACTGGAATGAAACTTTGAGTAGACAGTGGAGAGTCCCAGCATGGGCGTACCATCTTCTGAATTTTCCCCCGGAGCTATACCCATTCATCGTCAGACTCCGACTCCCAGCCTAATTCAGCACTGCCTGCAGCATGACCGAGATCCGTGTTTCTTTTCGTCACGATAAACTTTGGCTTGCCTACCAAACGATGGCGCTTCCACGATAACGTCCGATGACGATGCGCCCTGGCGCGCAACCAGCATATTGTAAAGTGGTGGTTAATAACATCCACGTAGTCCCAACCCCCATACCCGGCGCGTGCAAGCTCATTAGCCCATCGATCTTCTCTGTACTGTGTAAAGTAATCCTTGTTACTCTCCGTTTTGTATTTGCTTAAATATTGACGTGGCCAGATTCGCCATCCAACACTGCACGATAGATCTACGGTCCAACGCGGGTAAGAGCATGCTTCCTCAGCCCGGAGGGCGAGCAAAACATGATCGGCCATTGTCCACCACGCTTTCCAGAATGCATGAGGTGGCATCTGAATAGGACGACTAAGTTAGCAACTTGATATCCTTTGGCAGATGAACACAGAAGTCGAACACATGGCTCTAAAAGCATCTGTAAACACAATACCCAGGACATACAGAATTCGATTGAGTAATTATTTTTGCATGTCCGTATGAAGTAGGTGAGAGTGAGAGGGGTCCTCATTGTGATCAAAATTGCAACAGGCCTTGAAAAATCCACACTTTACTTACATAACGAAGTACTCTCTGCAACTGCTTATACCAATACATGGTCAGATGGAGTTGTTCGGCCAAAGGCCTATCTTCGGCGCGAATCTCGGCAATCTCTCCCTTGTTTTGACGCATCTCTTCCGCCAAATCTGTCGTTTCATCCTCAGCGTCCCAGGAGATGCGCCCATAAGTTGCGCAACAGGTGTGTCTGCCCCCCAAACGGTCAAACACTTCGAGCCGGCAGATTTCTCGGTAAGAGCGTTGTCTCTCAATGGTGGGCAGCTTCCAAGCCGTCAGCCAATCTCGCAGGCCGATCCACTTGAGACGATCGCGACGATGGCAGTTAGAGTGGTTCAAGGAATATCCAAGTGGTTGGCAGCGCCACAGCAGGAAGGGTGCGATGCAGCCCTTGGTTGAACAAAAGCATTTGCACCCGTCTGATACCACGGGGGCATCGCAAGACTCGAGGATGGCTGAGCGCAAGGTTCTTGTGGCTCTCGACCTTGCTGACCTTGCGATGGGATATGCTGCGGCCAAGTAGAATTGCAGATGAGGCCAGAATAATCGCTGTGTCTCACTCGCTGGAAAGTCTGCGTTGGCACCCTTTTCGATAAACCACAGGATTAGTCCAAGCCAATTCTGGAAATTTTGCTGGTACAAGTCCGCCACGAAATCTTGTGAGAGAAACTATGTTAGCCCCCTTGATTGCGTGTCTTCTCTTTGAATAAGCGAACAAAATATCACTTTGGTTCATAACTTACGACGGCATATCTCGATAAGAGGTGTCCGGCCATACTCGTAGCCTGCGTCCACATCTGCCCACCCAATGTCATACAGAATCTGGTGGATACGAACACACTCATCGCCAATCGTGAAAGCAAGAATATAGTGTGGTAAAGCCATCAATGCGTCTCCGAGTTTCGGCGGAATCTGCATATGCCGAGAGAGTACTTCCAAAAGTTGCGGTCTGCCAAACCAGGAAGAATCGCCATAGAAAACCATTTCGTCGATTCGATTTTCTAGCAGATATGACGATGCCAGTGTCCGCAGCTCGGATCCCCGGCGCCAGACTTCCTCGGCGTACAACCGAAACACTTCGTCATCAATCTTTGCAAGTGCGGATATGAGCCATTCGTGGCCAGCGGAAGAGTTCAAAGGGCGGTTAGAGAATAATATTGGAGCGTCTGTAGACAGGAGAATCTTGGCGGACTCAACATCGCCGAGTCTAGCTGCCATGTGCAAGCCACGGGTAACATCAAACCCCTGTTCAGCGAGGAACTGGAGGCCTTCTGGCCATCCGAGAGCGAGTTCGGGCCCCCAGAACTCCGAGGACCATTGTACTACTCCCTTGAACTGTTGCGCAAGCTTCATCGTGTCTGGAAGTGATCTGCGGATGATGGCCATGGAGAATTCTGGGTAACCCGCAGCTACAATAATGTCAGTCAATTCGAGTACACAGGTCAAGAGTATGGCTGATATGGTGTCAAACCTTCTGCTACTTCCGGGTTGGCAAGTAAAAGTTTCAAAAACCTTGGATCAGTATCATTGTCAGAGTGAGAATGAGTCGTCTCTAGTAGATTGTCGAAGCTGACGAATTCTCGACAAATGACTGGACTGAGATCATATAGTCTGAACTGATAGAACAAGAATGCTGTTGACACCATTAGTGTACCGGGTGGCGCTTTCAACCAGGTACTCATATCAGTCGTTGCGCCAATGTCAACATCCGACACGCGGGCCAACTGCAAGAGCTCGATAATTTCTTTGGTAAAATGGCTTCGTTCCGGCCCTAGCAGCACCAACAGCCAGAAGATCTCCTTATTTGGCGTTAGCAGCCCCTGAAGAATTGCTAGATACTAGGTAGTTAGAGAAACTTACGAAGAGCAATGTCCGTCCTTTTTCATCGGTATCCGACCCGGATGCTAAGCCGAGCGCAATGGATCGGCGGACGCCTTGGACCAGGTATGACATGCACTCGGTGATGTTGGCCATTCTGTTTCGCGAGAGGGGCGACCATTGCATCGTGTCGGACATGAGAGATTCCTTGCGTATTGCCGAGGCTCTTTGTCGCAGAATCCGCTCGATGCCGTCGAACCAGGGGAACAAATGGCTTTCGGACCGCTTGACCACGACGCGGAATTTCAACGACGGCGAGAGGGAAAAAGCCCGACGGCTGGTGATAAAATCAAGTGTAAGTTCCAGCGCACCGTTCAGAAATGGACTTAGGTTCGCCTTGACTTGGTAATTCCAGGTGCGGACGGGTCCGTGTAACGGACATTGACGCGTCTGTCCATTTTCGTTTGAAACTTTCACCAATTTGAATCTGGACAGTCGTCTTCTTTTGCAGGTGCATTTCAAAAGATCATATGAGCTGCTGAACGAATTGGGATCTGAGGGCAGAGGGCCAGTCGGTGATGATGTAGTATGGCTGCGGCGCTCGCTACTTGTCTTGTTATGAGGACGAGAGAGTGCACTGGCTAGCTCGTTGCGCAGTTCTTGGTGCTGGCTCAATAATTGCATCATGAGTTCGTTGCCTGCTTGCATTTTGGAGGATAGGCCGACCGAGGGATCTGAGATACTATCTTGAATCAAACTCAATAGTTGTGTAGAGTTTGTGCTCTCTTGTCTCAGGATGCCAAGATCATCTTGCATATCAGTGACCTGATTAGCCGTAGAAGCAAAGCTTTGGCTTGTATCCGTAAGACTTCGAGATAACGATGCTATCGAGTTGTCCAATTCACTTTCCCTACGAATTTGTGATGTTTGTATGTTTTGTAGGAAAGCGTTTGTCATGTCGACGCGGGTAGCAATGAGAGATGTTGTCCTCATGATCTGGGAGTTCTGGTCTCTGTTTTCACCGTGTTAACACAGATTCGAAATCAGTATTTACCAGATCTACTGACATCAATGATGATTGTGCTATTGAGCCAGAGTATTTCATTTCCCGATCCAGTTCTCGACTCAAGGTGCTGTTCAGTCTTTCAATAACTTCGAGGTTCACCTTGATTTCTCTCAGAGTTTTCGCGGTCATGAGTTTCGCCCACGAGCGCTGGAATCTTTTATGAAGACCATGTTGATCCTTGAGTGAGTCGAGCTCGGTTGCTAAAGGCCGAATGATTTTCTCCAGACGTTTGATTGCTTCTGCTGCATCCGTCGCAAATGGTGCGAGGTGTACCCTTTGTTCATCAGAAAGTTGATAAGTAAGGGGTGACTTTGGATCAGTGAGCCTATTGAGACTCGAGATTTCCCTTTCGACCTGGTGAGTCAGATCAGATTAGTTTGTTGTAATTTGCGCCATCAAAGCCTCCCAACTATAAATACCAAAGAGGTTTGTTATTGTGTGAGTCTGTTGGAAGAGAGAACAGGACTACAAAGAAGACTAGGGACTAGAGTCCTTTGGCAAAGGAGAAGAACATGCAAACAAGAAGACTAAACCACGTATCTGTGAGTGCTTACATGATTGAGTAGGTCTTCTATCCCAGCCGGCGCATCTTTCACTTGCTGCCATATCTTCCGAACCTTCAATGCCCCCTGGACAGCGTAGCCCACGAACTGAGCACTGGCCGCCGCGGCCCCGAGTGCAGATAGAGGATCCATAATGAAGAAATGTGAATAGCATTTCGAAAAATCAGATTAACCAAAAATGCAGTCTATGAGAAACATCATGAGGTGCCAAAGAATCGGGTTTGCTTCGATTGAACAAAGTCAAGAGATCAGGATATCATGGTCACGTCTAGAAACAATATTATTTACAGTTGGAAGTAGGCAGACGAGGATCTTCGAGGGACCCTAGGCAGACTTGCATCTGAGGGGGCGATTGTGCTCCCTCCCGATCCATCGCAGCGTCAAGGGGGTCGGCCCGGCGGCTCAGCGCGTAGGGCAGGTAGCGAGCGGTTGGACGAGAGTCGAGGCTGTACTGTAGTACAACTATTCGAATCTGGTCATCTGCATGCTGTTCAAGGCACACACACAGTACACAGCCACTTACATTATGCCAACCACATAAGTGTGATTTGGATCCCACCCAGAAGCCGATAGCATCGGTATAAATGTGGCCAGCGCGTGAGAACGTTCGGGCCGCTGTGCTATAGTATAAGCACAGGTATATAATTACGCTATGCCAAAGGGATTCTTAGTTCTCTCAAGTTTGGACTACAGACAATACTAGACAGGACAAGCTTGGGTTCCGAACTATGTAGTTTCGAAATAACTTGAGTATCTTTCAGGACTCGTAATATAGTTACAAACATTGATAACGCCAAAAAGATTGCAAAGCTCTGCCATGCTACAAATTTCGAGATTGTGAACCGCCAACTGCTTGCTTGGTAGTATACATTATGCAGTGCAGATTAGCGGATCGAGCTCGCACTAAGGCAGGACCTTCGCACTAATGCGCGGCCAAACCCAATCACCTCCAAATGTTACGCGCCCGTACCCAGCGCTCAGAGCATTGACGACATTGCAAGCAAAAGACGCGGTACCACTCTAGCATAGAGAAGACAAAGAGCGCCAACAACACAACAAACACATACATTCCAAGAGAGAGAAGAGGAAGAAAAAATGGATCAACCACAGGCCAACCCCCTCCTCTCGCCTCCCGAGCTCTCACCCATGGAGCAGGAGGTGCTGGAGGAGTACGAGCGACTAGCAGAGAACATGAAAAAGGTCAGTTCTCCCATCCTGCTGGAGATCCCAGGTCCATTGTTGCTAGGATGTATATACTGAACAAGAGGCAACCAAAACAGCTCGCTTCTATCCTCGACACCATGGCCAACCAGCCCACGACCGAGATCCTCGACGGCCTGCGCGAGCTCGAGCGCAAGACGAGTCTCGTCTTTACCCTGCTCAAGGCCTCGGTCTATAGCATTGTGCTGCAGCAGGAGATTGCCTGGGGCGATCAGGGACACTGAAGGACTGACATTGTCACCATGAATACACATACCCACACGCATAATACATCAACAACTGTGAAAGAAACACTGCGTCTCCGCTCTTCGCGGCGCATCATCTCTACATACCGTCAGGCATTATATGGTTTTCAGAGGGACGAGTTAAACTCATGGCGGATGCTGGTGTGGGAAACTATGCTGCAGAATACAAGGCGACCCAACGCATATGCCGATACCTGGAGAGAGGGAAAGAGACGTATAATTCTCTGAAAGCAGAACTAGGAGTGCTATAGATGAGGTCTGGCAGATTCATCCACCAGCCAGCATACGGCTGCAGTTGTGGTGGCCGAAATGACCAAGCCCCTGTTTATATTGGCTGGGGGCCATGGCTGGACGGAGTATGAATATTGCATCACTACGGCACAACATCTGTTTCGCAAACACCAAACCAAACGGCCAGCCGAGATCAAGTAGGGTGCAGTGGATAATGGATTGGGCCGTGGCCACGATGCTTGAGGACTTTCCAATTGGGCCATTAATGCAGCCTCAAATCTGAAATTACTTATACATACACCGCATTGCTGTGGTGTCTCCTACACATGCTTGGATGAGTTCTTATATCTACAGCTTTTGATACAAGTGGTGATTTAATTTATAACACATTGCCGCCGTAGTATACTTTTCGTACGTCGACAAGTTTCTTGCCCCTTCCAATTGCGATCTCGTTGGGGTCTTTCTGGTTCATCAGGGCTTGGAACGTGGCCTTGACCGAGTTCATGGGATTTCTCGATCGCGGCATGGTACCGGCAATGTCGTGGATGCCACAGGCGCGGAACATCTCAAAGAGACGGGCAGGCACTCGGAGACCGAATCCTGCAAAGAGCATTAGCATAAAAACCCAAGTGGCGTTGCGAATGAACGGTGAGACATACCTGGTGGGCGGGCCTGTAGCTTCACAATAGTTGCGCCAACCTTGGCCTCAACTTCACCGTGGATTGTTCTGTCCTCGTACCGACGAATAGGCTGCATGTTCCTAATAGCAAGCAGCTTGGCCTTTTGAACAGCGACACCATTCTCTACCGACTTGGCGACACCGAGTCCCAGACGTCCATTCTTGTTGCCTGCAATTGCCAGAACCCAGATGCTTCGAACCTTTCCAAGACGAGTTTGGTTGTGGACAAATCGCGTCACAAGAATCTTGGTGGTGAGGTCGATCATCTGCCTAACCGTCATACCGGTCTGTTTCTTGAGATCCTGCCAGGTACCGTCGTCATCCAGACCTTGGTCCTCTGGGTCGATGGGGTTGCTATAAACACCACTTATTCCGGGGATGTTCTTGCCTATGCCTGGTGCTATTGCCGAGTTCGAGGGCTTGTTTCCATCATTGAGCATAGACCGTTCGGCCATGTGTTCATGGGCCCTGACAACTTCAGGGACGGCCTCGAGCTCCCGCTGCTTTTTGATGGCCTCCTTGACCTTGCTCAGGTGATATTGCTTCGATGCTGGCGACTTTGCTGCCCACTCCTCCTCGGTAAATTTGAGCCGGGCCAACAACGGCTTGAGATGTTCATCCTGGCTTTGAAAGAGTTCAAGCATATGTTCCTCGTCGGTCAACCATCTCGGGTTCTGCGCTGGCTGTACGGCTTTCTTGGGTTGCCTGTCGATGGTGGGCACGAGGCGGCTGAAATCGTCGAGATATGGCAGCCTGTAGGGATCCCTCCTGATACGACCTTGAATCGAAAGATCTGTCGGGTCTATCGATGCCTCACCGGCCTCGAGGGCCTCCATCTGCTCCGGCGAGTAATGCTTCTTCAGAATCTCGAGCTCCTCGGGGGTGTAGGGTGTGAATTGCTCCTTGGCAAACTTCTCGTGCGCAGCCTCGTTTGCGGCATGGCGAGTCTTGAAGTCGCTGGGCGCAGCGGAATCCTCAATCAGACCCATATCAACGGCATTTATGCTGGCGAAACGCGGTTTCCTCCTCTTTTCCAGACGCGCCGAGCTATGGAAGGAGGCGGCATAGCATTGGGGTGCCGATGCTGCTGCAGACGGCTTGACTGCGGCGGCAAAGCGCCGCGACAGCAGGCATCGTGCTGAAGTAGCGACACTCATCGCATCGCTGGAGCCCAAGGGTTGCTCTGGTCAATTGGCTCCAAAAGACTGCTGCTTGCTGTTGGCTCGAGTCCAGGTGGATAGCTCGTCTAATAATTGACTGGCTTGCATGGGATAGCTTCAATAATTTTTCCAGCATCAATGGCACTGCGCGGAATTACTATTCAGCCGCCAGCAGCTGGTGGGCACCTCCCGCCGTGGGACTTGATATTGGAGTTGGCGCGTTCCCCAATCTGACCCAGCCAGTCAACCGCTCCAGTGGACTGTGGGACGACTTTTGAGATCCGCCGCCGCCAAACTCAGTGGAAGCTCCAGGGGCCTGGCGGTTTGAGCAGGGATCCTTTCTCATATCTTCCAACTCCGGGATTCAACATCGTAGGAGCACTTTGAGTTGGGTCTCGTCGCTGTGTAGTTCTTGACGAATGTTGCAGCAATACTCAAAACTATGAATTCTGTCTTGAATCTCTTTTTTTGTTTTCAAGATAACCACTTGACGATCATGCATCGCGCTGCTGCTGAATGATCTTTTATTTTTGGCGCCTGCCCATCAACCATCGTCCAATCATGTCGCATGGTTGCAATCAGTCGACTTTGCTGCATCTCTGAAACGCCAGAGTTTCGCATGGATCTTGCCGCGACGACCTCAGGAACGTCCCAAGCGGGAATGGTCGCCGTTTTGAGCCTCCTCGACATCCACGTCTGTGTGGTTTCGGGTTCCAAGGGGTGTGACTTTTCTACCCAAGCCAAACCATTGTCATCGACGTCTTGGAGTTTCTCCTCTCTCCTCTCTCTCTCGCTTGTGTCTTCTTGTGTCGTACTTTTAGAATATATCCTTTCTCTTCGTGACTGGTGCACCCGATACTGACCTTGTCCCGTCGCGCTCATTTCTATACAACGCCTTTAATCCAACTGTCATATTGCTGCATTTCACTTGATACCCGCCGAATCGCATAGGAACGTCAGGAACGTCGCAAGCGCTCTTCTCCACGTCTGGCACTGCTCTAAAACCAACAAATCTAATAACACGACGACCAACCCACCACCGACATCATGGCTGCTTTGGTTAGAGATGCAAATGGAAACGATATCAATGGCGGTGGACAGTTTGGCTGGTTTCTCAAAATTGGTGCCACCCCAGAGGCCGTTGCTGTCTTGAACGACCAGCCGTACCTCTTTGCCGAACTACTCGTGGTGCTTGTTGTCCTCGGATTGCAAATCACCCTCCATTGGTACATCCACTACGCAACAATGAAGCCGGAACAGAAAAAGAAGAAGAAGAAGGACGACAAGAAGGGCCCGGCGAAACCAGCAGCAGCAAGATAATGGTGTATATCAATCGTGAATCGCACCATGTTGGCGTGCTGCATCGGCCACAGATTGCATCGAGAGGAATGCCATTGTTGAGGCGACTTGTGGAATTGGCTGGATTATGTTGGTATGCAAGGATACGAGTCGTGACCCTGTTGGCAGCCATTCGACCAAATACAACATTTTCAAACGATGGACGACATCAGTATATTTCATTTGGCAGGGTTGGGGTTCTTTTTGCAGGTCGAAACAACATAACGTCGTCGCTACTAGATCTGTATGATTATATTTCAAGACTTGACAACTCACTCCCGGTTATTCTTGGTTTCTAGTCAATAGAAGTCGATTTGCTTTTGCCATAAAGCTCTAACACCTCGATTGATTGGCTAAGTGAGAGGAGCTGCTGGATATGCTGCAGTCTCATAAGTCGCCTCGAACTCCTGGCTCAATTCGTAGTGTTCGCATTCCGTATCATCCCATTGTTCATCTCCGTCTTCTTCGGTGTATTCAATATGTGACCGAGGGGCTAAATTGTGCGTTTCGTGAGATTTCCGCTGTTCATATGGAGTGAATGCGACTCTAGATGTGTCGTCAAAGTTTAGTTCGGTGTCTACTTGATACGCAGGTCGATGTATGATGCCATCGTCTATCATCGTATCACCATTCTGGGCATGATGTTGCAGTGGCTCGAATATTCCATAGATGACTGGACCGTTTTCGGGTTCCAATTGATTTTCGTGATTGAAATAGGTGGCCGAATTCGCTGGCAAGACTCGATCACCGTAACGGCTATTACTTGCCCAACTGAACGTGTCAGGCGAAGCGTAGCAATCTGACTGGTTCCACTCTTGATGTTCAACTACATCCATTGAATCTTCTGTTTCGTTTTCATCGCTTTGGTTGATGGCATACTCAAAATATAGAGACTCAGGGTGTTGTAGTTCGAGTTGCCTAGATGATCGATTCACCCTTGATAGAGCGTGCCGCATGCCTGTATTGCCGTCCAACGATGTACGTAACAAGGTCCATAGCCTTTGTCGTATAGAATATCTAGTGTCATTGTGATGGCTATCGAGCGGTCTTTCGTGATCACTCGACCGCTCTGCAGAAATTTTGACAATCTTGTCGCGTAAGGATGGTCTCCATGTACTGGCGTCTGTGATAATATCGGCTATGGCCGGGAAGTGGTTGGCGTACTTCGCGACCGTCTAGCGAGTCTCAGCAAAAATCAACCCGACATTGAAATTAATGGACTGACCTGTATGTAACTTGCATTGCAAACGCAAGGTGCTAGTTCCAGCAAGGTTGGAGAGATTGGATCGCCGACGCGAATGCCCGAAAATCTCCTCTTGACGCCAATGAGCTTATGTAGTGAGGCCAATGCTAGTTGGACAACAGTGTGGCGATATTCTGCACTTGAATTTTCGTCTTTCGTTATGTCTTCGTTGATTGCAAAAGGCTCGCTCGGATCATTGCCCGCTGACCGATCTTCTGTATGCAAGTCACTCCAACTATCGTCCTGTTGATACAACCAGTTCTTATCGGGATCCAGATATTCTTCAGGATCTTGGTTCGTGCTGTTGTCAAATACAATTACCTCCTGACTTTGTGCAAAGGTCCAGTCATAGTCCAAGGAGCAGGTCAAGCCATGTACTGTGCTTGTTTGGACAGATGGTGGCGATAGTAATGCAAAGGATTTATCCGGCTGCTCAATCTCAAAGAACAGGTTTGGGTCGTCTTCACTATCGGTCTCATAGTGTACTGCTGTGCAACTTATTGACAGTCCAAGCTGATCCCACAACTACCTGATCTTAATGTCGGTACACCCAACAAGCAGTGGTTCTAACTTACCGTCGCCAGACAGATCATGTTGGCACAGTACTCAAGGAAATTACTTTCCGGCAAAACCGTATGCATTGCTCGATCACCAACTTGCACTTTGAGCTGGAGATAGAAGATACTCGGCGGTAAGAACCATAGTCTTTCGGCTTGGACACACTCGTAGAGGCCATGACAATCCAATTCCAAGTTGGCATGATTGGAGATGAATAGATGAGACGACACAGACAAGCGGAGACCTAGATTTGGCGCAAGTAGCTGAAACCCGTCTAGCTCGACATATTCTGACATGGTCTCTGTTTTTGGAGAAGGCGATTCCTGAGTATTGATGGTGTCTCCGAGTGTCGAGATTGAGCGCAGCTCTGTGAGAGGACTGGTGACTGTCGTTGTTTCCACTTGTCGTCAGCGGAGATGTAAATTTCTAGTCATACCTACACTGTAGAACATCATGTGAAGAAACGACAAAAGAAAAATAAGAGTTTGATCCGATTTTGTGCGTAGGTGGATGGATAGGATGAATCCTGAGCCAATTGATTGCCAATGAACAGGAGGTCACACTCAAACCTAGGCCACCTTAAGGCGCCGAGTCGTGCCTTCCATGAACCTGGCTTTCCACCTGCCGGCTTTGAAAGAACCAACTTTAGAACTCTAATCGAGGCGACAAAAAGAGAATCAACGCAGAGATAGTAGGTACATTAGCAGGCACTGCTTGACGGCACGGCGCCTGCACACCAAACTCGGAGTGGCAGTGTCGAGAGTATCAAGTGACACAAAGCAGCAAAATTGTCATGACGAATTGTATTTTACACGGAAGCGCTTCTCTCTAGATAGAAACACTCATATACAGGGCATATTAAACCTCGAGATATGGTCCTTTATGGTGTAGGATCCAAGGGCTTCTCCGCTTCAAGCGATGTACTGGGAGACGGGACGGGATGCAATTCGCTTGCATCAATCTTCCTCCTCGGTCTCTTCAGTTCCTCCAATGTCACGCCATCCACCAGCTTTGTGATACCCACGACGGGCGGCTCTCCCTTCTTCACAAACTCCCACTGGCCTAGAAAGATATCAGCGATCAAGACGGGTTGCAGACACCAAAACACCGCTGCTTACCAGGTAGCTTGTTTCCAGCCAGACGGAATGCGTCACGAACAACCTGTTCGTGCACAAGACCCTTCAGTTCCAGAACGATCTGGTTGATGGCAACTCTGGTAGCCCAGTGGTCAAAGGAACCCTTTCCTTTACCCATACGCATCTGTAGTATTTCATTTAGCGACGCGCCGCAGACATCTGCCCAGAACACTCGAGACACACCTCGTTACCGCTGACAAACACGCCCACGTCACAATTGACTCTCTTGTATAGTCTGTACTTGACTCCACGAAGACGGGCCTTGATTGTGTCCTCTGCAATCTTCAATTGCTGTGCACTGATTCGTCGGTGGTGGTCGGTCATGCGCAGGCCGTAGTCGCCCCATACCACGGTTGTTCCCTTTGTCGAGCCGCCGGTCGGTACTCTGGGTCGTCCCTTCATCATCTTCTTCTTGCGCTCCAGTCTGGGCTCCAGCCAGTTGGCCTTTGCGGTTGTCGCAGAGAAAGGCCGGACATTGCTAAAGATTGGCGATGCGCTCTGTCTAGACGCGGCTGCTAGGCATGGGCCAAGCGAGGGCCTCGTCGCGGAGATCGTGAGACCTCTGAAAGCCCCGGCAAGGCTCATTGAGGTCGTGGAGGCCATTGTGGTTGAATTGCGTCGAGCCTAGCAGAGGTGTCCCTTTCTAGACTGTCTCTTCCTCCAGAGCTCGAAATTTCGACAATTGAAGCTGTCGCCAGGATTTAGCGTCTGTACCCAGATACCCCGGTCAATTGATTGAAAGCCATGTACCTATGTATCTTTCAACTGGGGTGGGTCCCGACGAGGCAGGTACTTGGGTACAACTGCCTGCTGCTTTGACTGCCTAAATTCTGGAGCTACGACGCGTGCACTGGCCATAGTCAGGGAAACCACTTAAAGCTCAAGCGCGTCATCGCGTCTTTCTTTGAGTATTGGATCTTGCTGAGTCCGACCTCATTCTTTCAAGACTGTGGCTCGTTCTGTGGCAATCCTTTGGGTGGGCGAACCAAGACTGTTTCGCCTTTTCAATCGTTAATTGATTGAGCTATCACGTCTACCATTTAGCTCTTTCACCCAACAGAATGCCAGATATCCGCTCTTTCTTTGGCCCCAAGGGAGGCGGCCCCCCAGCTGCTCCCAAGCCAGCTCCAAAGAAGACAGAAGATGATTCCACACGACGTCGCGGCAAGGGACGCAAGGTCATTGAAGATGATAGTGACGACGAAGTTGTAGAAACAAAGTAGGGTCTTCTACTTTGAGTAACCCAATACGTAGCTTACTAACAATCGTCTTAGGCCCAAGAAGCCTGCAACCCGTTCCAGTCCTAGGAAGAAGGCAGCGTGAGTTGTATTGTGCCTTTTCAGAACCACAAATGTCTGACTCTTATCTAGTGAAAAGGCGGACGACGGAACAGCAATCACTACCAGCGAGTACTTTTCGAAATCCAAGGCCAAGCCTGCACCTACTTCCGAGTCCAAATCAAAGTCTGCTACCAAGCTGGAGGTTCGTTCGAGCCCGAGAACTTCGAAAAAGTCCGAAGCACCTGTCAAGGCAGAGCCGGTTGCTGCAAAAAATGGAGGAGCAGCAGCAAATAAGCGCTCATCCGCCGCACACAAGAAGTATGACCTCGATAATGACGACGATGCATTCATGGATGACGATGAAGAAGACGACGACATATTTGCAGCAGATGCCAAGGGCAGGAACAAGAGAAAGAACGATGACTATGTTGAAGAAGAGAGCGAGGATGAGATTCTACCAAAGCCAAAGCGCATTGCTTCGAGAGGCAAGAAGCCTATCGTGGTTGACGAGGATGATGACGAAGACGAACCTGTCGTTTCCAAACCCACAAAAGCCAAGATGGCATCTGCTAGCAAGAAAAGAAAGACCCCAGAGGCTGAATCTGAGGACGACGAGGACGATGAACCAGTTTCCAAGAAGAAGCCGGCAGCCAAGAAACCCAGAGCACCTGCAAAGTCGAAAAAGGCTGATGAATCGGAAGATGCAGCCATTCAAGCTATTCTTGACGACATTCCTACCGTCAGACCTCCGACACCTCCAGCCAAGGACCCGAATGCACCAAAGTTCGACTGGAGAAAAGCTCAGCCTGGTGGTGGCAATTCTGGGCCACCTCCTAATCCTGTTGCTGAAATGCCAGAAGGCGAGGAAGATTGTCTTACGGGCCTCACTTTTGTTTTTACTGGGCAACTCCAAACCATTGCTCGTGAAGAAGCCCAAGCCTTGGTGAAGCGCTATGGTGGAAAGATCACGGGAGCTCCGAGCAGCAAGACCAGTTACGTTGTTTTGGGCGACGATGCGGGTCCAAGCAAGCTGGCCAAGATCCAATCTCATAATATCAAGACCATTGATGAGAATGGTCTCTTTGAGCTGATCCGCCGTCTTCCAGCTGGAGGCGGAACTGGCAAGGGTGCTGAAAAACTACGCGAAAAGCGCAAGGCCGAAGAAGAGAAGATCAGACAGCAAGCAGTTGAAATGGAAAAGGAGGAGAAAGCTCGAAAAGCTGAGGCTGAGAAGGCACGTAAACTTGCCGCTGCTCGAGGCGCAACTGGCCCGGCCCCTGCTGCCACACAACCTGCAGCCCAGCTATGGACAGTCAAGTACGCACCTACGCAAGCGAATCACATCTGTGGCAACAAGGCTGCAGTAGAAAAGATTCAGAATTGGCTAAGGAATTGGACCAAATCCCGCAGATACGACTTCCAGAAGCGAGGTGCGGACGGAATGGGCGGCTACCGTGCTGTTATCTTGTCTGGCCCACCTGGTATCGGCAAAACAACTGCCGCCCATCTTGCTGCGAAGCTCGAGGGTTACGATGTTCTGGAGCAGAATGCCAGTGACACTCGTAGCAAGAAGATGGTCGAAAATGGTCTCGGCGAGGTGATGAACAACACATCTCTAGCCGGATACTTTGCTGGGGATGGCAAAAAGGTGGATCTTGGCAAGAAGAAAATTGTCTTGATCATGGATGAGGTCGATGGTATGTCCGGAGGTGACCGCGGCGGTGTTGGTGCTCTGGCCAAATTCGCCAAGAAGACCGAGGTTCCCCTGATCCTCATCTGCAACGAGCGCAAGCTGCCAAAGATGAAGCCTTTCGATTTTGTTGCCTTCGATGTCAAGTTCCAGAGACCGACAATTGACCAGATCCGCTCGCGCATGATGACTGTCTGTCACAGAGAAGGCCTGAAGCTATCGCCTCAAGTCTTGGAAGCACTAATTGAGGGCAGCAACAGGGACATCAGACAAACAATCAACATGCTCTCAACAATCAAGCTAGATCAAACCTCGATGGACTATGACCAGAGCAAGAACATGTCCAAGGCCTGGGAGAAGTCGATTGTTTTGAAGCCGTGGGACATTTGCCAAAAGATGCTTGGTGGCGGACTGTTCTCCCCAGCCAGCAAAGCCACCCTCAACGACAAGATCGAACTCTACTTCAATGACCACGAATTCAGCTACCTCATGATACAAGAGAATTATCTTCGGTCGAAACCCGCAGTATTGAACGGCCAAGGGTACAACAAACGAGAGCAAAATCTCAAGGCATTGGAGCTTGCATCACAGGCTGCTGATAGCATCAGTGACGGTGATCTGGTGGACCGCATGATTCATGGCCCACAGCAGCACTGGAGCTTGATGCCCACGCATGCTGTCTTCAGCACAGTCCGGCCATCAAGTTTCGTGGCAGGACAGTTGATGGGTTCTAATTTCACGTCATGGCTTGGCAATAACAGCAAGTATGGAAAGCTTGGGAGATATGTCCGCGAAATCCACTCACACATGCGGTTACGGTCTTCGGGTGATGCCAATGAGGTTCGCCAACAATATCTACCCTTGCTTTGGTCGCAAACAGTCAAGCGGTTGGCTGCTGAAGGCAAAGATTCAGTGGATGAAGTTATCGATCTCATGGACAGCTACTTCTTGACTCGCGAAGACTTTGACTCCATCAAGGAGTTGGGAGTCGGGTACATGGACGAAGAGCTTGTTTCAATCGAAACACAGACAAAGTCGACCTTCACTAGGCTGTAAGTTGTTTTTTCTGACTCTGCTACCAAGACATTTAGACTGACTCCGTCCAGGTACAATCAAAAAGCCCACCCAATTCCCTTCATGAAGGCTAGCAATGTTGGCGCTGCCCCCAAGAAAGCAGCCAAAGAAGTACCAGATTTGGAGGAAGCAATTGAAGAGGAGGATGAAGGTGATGCCCTTGAAGTTGCCGATGCCGTCGAGGATGATGAAGATGATATCAAGGGTGACAAATATATCAAGCAACCCAAGGCGAAGGCGAAGAAACCTGCCAAGAAAGCCAAGGCTACAGATGGTGATGAAGACGCAGATGAAGAGAAGCCAAAAGCCAAGGGTCGCGCAAAAGCGCCCGCAAAGGGCAAGGCCAAGAAATAATGTTATTTACAGAGTACACATAGTGGAGTCTCCAGATAATACTTAATCGGCCTTGATCTTCCGAGCTTTCTAGATTACAATATAATTAAGAAGAATCAATTCTATGAGATTTACACGCTCGCTTTGATATGTTCTTATGAGAAGTTGCCATGCTTTTATATACACCCAACAATATGCTGGCAATAGTGGCTTCTTATTCCCCAAATTGCCCTCTCATCTGTTAATCCAAAGCATTATGATGAAATCGTCCTAGGTGACTTGATCCATTGTCAATTCCTTCTATATGGTTTCTTTTGAACCCAATGATTCAGCATTATGCTCTCCGTTTAGGTAAGTCTGTTCAGACGTTTAGACATATGACCGTTGTAAGTCCTCAAGAAGCAATGTTCGATGGGCCTCACTATTGCTGGTGGATGTCTTTGATCAATAGATCTCAGTCATCCTTCTCTTGTATACGGTTAACAAGACCAGTCAAGAGTCATACGCCACTTGTTGATTTATGCACTGCCCCAAAAGGTAACTAGGAGGATGTGCCGTGAGCATGTTCTCGTCGTCGATCCCAACCATGTGAGAACCCACCCGTCATATAGTCGACGATATCCTGTCCGTCTCGGGCCTCGTCACCGCCGTCCAACACCTCAGACGACGATCTCAGAGCGATTCATCGTCATCCTGGTGCCTTCTAGCCCCGTAAGCCTAAGCCCACACGACAGCAAGCTGCGGAATCTTGCGGAACCTGATCCATCGAATTTTCAATCCAAGAGGGGCCCAACAGGTGTTTTCCTATTCCATCACGCAAACACCCCTCCCATCCCACAACATCTTCCACCATTTCACCATTCCAATCCACATCTTGAAATAGTATTTTCCAAGTGTTTTTATTGTTTTGCAACACATTTCCACACACACACCCGATCTCCGGATCGAACACACTGCCATCATGGACGACTTGAAGGGCCCGCCCAAGGACGGCAAGAAACACTCGCGTGTTTCTAAGTTGACCACCTATGCGCGCCAGGTCTTCACAAACCTCTCTGGTAAGTTTTAGGTTGTCTTCCCTCTTGTCAAGAGAATCATCGCGACTAATCAATTCCATCTCTGTTACAGGCGCCGGATCAAACTCGAACGCGCCCATTTCTCAGACACAGTCTGTTCCCGAGGGACGAGATGACACTCCCAACAAGACATCTGCCGCCTCATGTCATGAGGCCCAGGGAGTCATCACGGAAAAGGAAATTTCCAATGCTCTTCACATCATGCGCGGACCAGTCGATGGTGTTGAAGTTGGCCAAAGTCTTACTAATCTGCTGCAAAATGGAATTAAGGAGCAGTACCTAGAGCAGGACAAGAAGCCCGATGATGACGTTGATGAGAACAACAAGTCCCCGAGGTAAGAATTAATCCACTCGAGAACGTGTTGCTTTTCCTGAGATCACGTAACTGTATGCTGACATGAAACTTCAGACTCGAGGGTCAAACTCAGGACTCACTGGAGTCCCCTACCACTGTACCCAAGCAGCGTCCCTCTTCCTACGCTTTCGGCTCGTCCATTTCTCCCCCAATGCCCAAGACCATCAAGATTTTCGATATTCGCCGATCCCTTTCTGAGCACAACGATTCGGGTTTCCCCAGATCTCTTTACGACTGTGCCAACAGCGCACCCGGTGACCTTGAGCCGAAGCAAAACCCGAGTGATGACGATAAGGAGACGATGCCCAGTGGACGAATGTCACCTGGAACTTTCCTGAAGTTGGCTTCTGGTAGCAAGCGATGGGTTGATCGCCCTACCGAATCAAACACAGAAGTTGTTGTGAGTTCATTGCCTTCACTCGCAAGGACATTTTCTTTTTGTGCAAGAGACCTAACATCGATATCTTCCAGGCCAAGGATCAGCCGGAGCGTGAGTTACGTAGGCGTCCCAAGTCTCCTGAAGTCACCGATGTGCCTCCCTCCGAGCCGCGTGAGACGCGCCGCCCAAAGGGGCTCATGATCCAAAGATGCGAGGAGGATGGCGGACCCATGACGCCCGTCTACGATCTTGCCGAGATCTCCCCCATGCAGTGGGTGTCTCCTGGCATTGACGCCGATCGCGTCTCCCGTCTGAATCCTATTTTCGTGGATCAGTATTCACGAATGGATCCTGTCGCTGGCGAGAAGCTCAAGCGACTCAAGCAAGGCCTCATTCCAGAGACTGGAATCCCAAATACGGCTGCGACAGTGAAGAAGTACGATACCGTAAGTGATAAATTGGCAGTCTCTCATTTGTTTTCATGAGATCCTGCTCATGAATAACCTTGCTAATGTATGTGATCATGACAGGACGTTATCGTTGATATTCATGGCGTCATGGAGAAGAAGCGTGGCCTCACTGCCGAGGCTGATGCAGAGACAGACGAGCTGTATGCATCCAATCGCGAGCGCGAGAAGCGCATTATTGAGCTCAGGGAGAAGAAGCAGCTGGCCACTTATGCCGCTTGGCACCTCCAGATGAAGCGCGAGGATGAGGAACAGCAGCAGAAGGCCGAGAAGCTTTCCAAACAGACCAAGCAACAACAAAAATCGGCCAGACTGAAAGTCATCACGTCACGAGTCGGCAGCCATCTTAACCATCAACTGAAGGAGGTTAATTATCAATACGACCGCACCATGGAGGCACTCGAGTGGCAGCGTACTCTGATGGATCACCACAACCACACCATCTTGGAGCTCGAGCACGAGATTCGCGAGACGTGCAACCAGGTGGGCAAGGACGATATCGATGGAGTCTACAAGGAGCTTCTGGACCCGGCCCAGATTTTAGTCTTGCACCAGCCTTCGGCCAAGGAGATGAGAGACTCCAACGCTCCGAGCGAATCTGGCTCTGGTCGTCCTCAGCCCAAGTCGCAGGTGGTCATGGCTCATCCGACCTCGTCTCTCGAGCTCCAGCAACCAGAGGCCCGCCGGAACCTACAGCCCAATATTCAAGACATGGAGAATATGGGCTCAGGATCTGCCTCAGCCTCTGCCTCTACCTCAGGCAATGCTGTTCAAGTGCAACCCAATCATCCTCATCTCGTTCTACATGAAGATGAGGGAATCAGCCTGTCTCTTGATGATGACAACGGCGATCCATATCTCCACTACGGTTACGAAGACATGTCTGATCACGGCTACGTCTCTGGTGGTGATACACCTGTTGGCGGTGTCTCTGGTGCTAATGTCTCTGGCGCTGGTGTCTCTGGTGCTAATGTTTTTGGTGCCAATGATGACCAACAGGAAGCCGCCGTTGCAGAAACTCGCCCCGACAAGGGCAAAGGTAAGGCGGTGGTCCAAGAGGCAGAGGAGACGCAAGAGCCTCCTCGCGTGGCTGAGAGATCCCTTCCTCAGTTCATTCCCTATGCTGGTCCAAGCAACTGGCAGACAAAGTTGGGAATCACCCCAAAGCAATCCATCTTTGGTCCTTTCACGGACACAGGCAATGTTCAGGAGCGACGGGAGGGCCCAAAGCCTGATCCCCCCATCGGACGATATATGTTCAAACTCCGTGGAATCGGTGGATTCAGGAACTTTATGTATATGCGTCCATTCAAGGTGCGCAAGGGTCGTAAAATTCCGCCAGGATTGAAGACGCAGTCGGCCGCGGCCTACGAGAAGACCCAGTACTTCTCGGAGGAGGATTGTTGGATGTCCGACGACATTTGGTACAATCTCCTCTGTGGCATTGAACGTGAGAGACCATATTTGCCCCACGACCTGACGTCTGAAGAGATCGAAGCGCTTGAGTTGGCCTCGACTGAATTCTGGGAGGCCTCGTCTGGAAAGCTTGGAGATCTCTACTCGCCCAACGCATTCCTGTATCAGAAGCGCAGAATCGAGGCAGCACAACGTGCCTTTATTGATGAGGCCAATCGCATCAAGGCGCGTCGAGAGACTCAGGCCCAGCAGACTGAGGAGCACGACAGCTACTGCTGCTGCGATAACTGCATCCTCCAGAATGTGGGCAGCGGCCTCGGGGCATCGACCACGTCGACCACCACCCAGACACGGCAGAGTCTCCGGGCTCGCACTCTTGACACTCTTTACCGAGGCGTCGACTCGACGACCAACGCCACTTCTCCCGCCGCCCCCCGACGGAGGACCGTGGTCATGTTCCCGCCCCAGCAGCCCGCAGCTCAGACGGGACAGCAGGCCGACAGCAGCGCTCCCGCCTACGTCCAGCACTTTGTCGCCCCCGAGACAAGTTACTACGACACGGGTGCCCTCGACACCCACTGGGAGGAGGAGGAAGACGAGGGAGAGACTGGTGCTACTCAAGCCGCCACTACTGACGCCTTGGCCACGGCCAGCGTTGAGCATGTCGACCCGAGCCAGGATGAAGACGACATGCAGTTTTTCCTCGAAGACTACATTGGTTTTGACGACGACGACGATGAGGAGGACGGTGATGATGATTTCTAGGTTGTCTGACTTGTACCTTGGCAATGACCAAGATGAGATCAAAGCAGCCACTTTTGATTCTGATACGACTGGCATCAGTGCCGTTGTAATGCTATGGTAATTAATTCACGGAAAAGGGAGAAAAAAATTGGAGAAGAACAGCTGAAAGGATTTGTAAAACCAACCTTGGAAGTAGTTCAGACTAGATAGTATACCCGAATGCGTTGTCGAGGTGTCACCAAAAAAGAAGTAGATAGTTCCTGCCGGCGTGCAGATGAGATAGGTAGTAAATAAATCAGATGTAGTCTGTATTCTGTCTTTCAAGAAATAAATTGTGTTGTGAATCTAATCTATGACCTTCAAGTGCTCGCCCATCATGTACAGTTCGTTTTCCCGACAAGGTTTGGGCATCAGCTTCTCCAAAGAAAGAGAAGCAGATTTCGACCAACTATAATCGTCGTTGAGGGGGCGTTTCAAAATTTGCCTCTAGGTTGTCAGTTCTCTGATGTTTTATCATCTTGACATTTCTGTATCCTCTACTCGAAGCCAGCGAGCCTCAGTATTCATGCCCTCATCTTCCAGAACCCTTTGCCCATTATCCGCGGCTCGTTCCCATATCCGAGCAACGTCTGTGGTTTCTATAATGCTCATCTTGCGCACTGCGAGGTGCTGCGGAGGAACGCGCAAGACTGGGGCCCGAAACGCCACTACATAGATGATCAAGGCAGCGACCTTTAGCGCCAGCGCGTCACTGTTCCTCATAAACCTAGCGTTGAAGAGGAATACTCCGCAGATGAACTGGGTGATATTCATCTTGCCTCCCTTCGTGGCCAAAGGTCGGGCAGCAGCGGTTGTGGACTGACCTGTCATGTGTATTGGGGTTTCTCTCACCGAGGTGGGAAGGACAGGAAATTTATCAAAGCAGCTCCTTTTGTGCAACTAACATGATTTAACTATCAAGATCGGGTACTTGGCTTTGTTGTGGCATCAATTGTTCATCTAAGTGGCAACGTCTTTGTTATCAGAGCTATGCTGGTTGCTATACTGCCATCAAGCCTCGGGTCTCGGTACACCAAAACGGACAATACGGTTCTCCACAAGCCTCAAGAATGGTTCTTGCTCTCATGAGGCTCAGGTAGGCTTTTGAATATTGGGCCCATCAAGTAGGACAAGGTCCCGAATTTCTCCGCTGGGATCGTCCACAAGCCTACAAAGTCTCCCGCTGACTGTGGAACTTCGAAAACACTATCCGCCTTGAGGTCCTTCCGTGCCTCTGGGATTCTCTCAAGCATGTGTGCATGATGAGACCTCTTTCGATTCGCTAATCTCTTCACCTGATCTTCATGCATCATTGAGATCTCGCGATGGTTGCTTGTGAGAAACTATGGTCCATGTCGTCAGCCATGCAGTCATCAGCACGTATCAGTTTTGACCTACAGCAATAGAAACAAAAGCCTCGGAAATCCGCTCAACATCCAGGCGAATCATTCTCTCATCCAAGTGCAGAGTCTGAACCAAAGGCCTCTCGCCACGAGTTCCAAGAGTCTGTACGTTTCCAGACTCGTGTAGAAAACTCAGACTTGACGGCTCGTCACTCATAGACTTGAAGGTGGCCTCGATTGCTATCACAGGATCAGAAATTCCATCCCGGGTTTCACCTTTGATGAATATCTTCTCTGCCACGCCATGGGTCACGGTAGGGAGATTGAGGATCAGTTGTTGACTCCGCTCTTTGAACTTTGATGCGTACTGAACTCCAACTGCATCAAATCGATGGTTACATAGCCAGACAATGGTATCAAGCGTCTCGTAGGGATTCTCTCGGTGTTGGGTGCGTACAGCATCATCCATAAGTTGTCCCTGTGGCATTCTACCCACCTTTCTTCCTCTGGATGTTGTGATTGCAAGACCCAACGTAGGGCCGACTCTTCCGATTCGATTGAACCTGTTGATGACTTGACGCCACGTGACTATTTCTCTGATCTCCTCGCCTGGTTCGAGTTCAAGAGTCGCATAATGCTCCAACCACTGACCAAGGACAGTCGTGCCCCTCTTGCCTGGATAATCCAATCGAAGGCCGGAGATGCCAGGGGCGTCTCGATCAGACTTCCTCACGTGAGAGGAAATTTGTATGCGATAGACTCCGGCGAGCTTGGCTTGTGTGAAAGAGTAACCGCCGCGCCATTCCAATTCCAATGAGAGGTCCGCTGGTAGATCTGCATGCGAAGAGATTGGTACCGAGGCTCGGGAGACGATTGAAGCCTGCTGGCTGGAATGCGCGGTCCGTGTGCATCTTGCCACAATGTCACTGATCTCGCCAGCCGGGTACCTGAGCTTGATGAAGAAGCCAGAAATGATGGTTCCTGCCGGCGCAACTGTTGTTTTCATGGAGGTTGTCTCTAAAATCTGCTTGTCGCCTAAAAGCTCAAACTTCTTACTTCGGCCAAAGTTGGTTCGAAACATAACGAGCTGGACCACGCCAAACTGTCCCGAGTACCCTATTGTGAAATCTTCGATCCTCTCGCCATCTTGGCCCGCAATCATGAAAGTTTGCACAATGCAAGGGACGACTTGTGAGCCAAGTCTGTAACACTTTTGCCCAAACACACGTTCACTTCCGTCGTTGTACACGAAGGAAAGGCCAAGTATTACCTGTGGATATTCTCCCATGTAGACATTCACCATGGCAAGAGATCTCAATAGCTCTCCATTGGAGCCTCCGAAGCCGGCATAAAGGCAAAGGTTGAAATGTGGTGACACACCCGATTCGTGGATTTCCCACCGAGGACATTTTTCAGGCGGCAAAGTCGGAGACCATATTTCGGCTATTGCTGGATGGTCTGGCTGAGGAATATTCGAAGAATTTGAACCGGTTTGATTCAATTGCAGAGAGACCAATTTCCATGCCTTGAGTCGGGTTAACCTCATTGTCGTTTGGTTTTGTTTGCATGAAAAATACTCACATCAAGTCCAACGAGAAACTTTGCGTCGCATATACTTTCATTGAACTCAATTTCAGCCACGCCGCTCTTTACATCCATGGTTGCAAAGTCGCCAAATTCTTGGGTATAGTCACGCTGACTGCCCTTCATATCAAAGCACAGCCCGACAATTCCGTCGATGACAAGTCGCACCCTCAAGGCTTTCAAAACATCATTCTTGTCAAAATCAACCTTTTGCTCATGGGCCGTGCTGACATAGCCCACTCTACCGAGCTCCTCTTTGTCATTGTTGAGGGGACCGCTCTCGTTGATGATGCGCAAGCCGCTGATGAAAGACGTCTCCACATGGGTGATGACTGTTACTGCAAGGGTAACCTTTTCGACAGCTGACGCCTTGGTCCAATCAAGGACTTGTTTTTCAAAGATGTGGCATCCCGCATCGAGTTCCTTGTTCGTCCCGGACGTTCTCCAGGTTGCACTCTCGGGTGTCGGTATCGTGTACCCATATGACACTTTACCAGATGCCATAGCAGACCAACTGCCGGAAATTACATCGCTGTCATCCTGGAATGGGAGTTTTGCAATGCTTGACTCGTTCTTCTGACGTAGTCGGAGCTGAGGAATAACATGATCCAACGTGTTCCACTACAATAACCAAAGTCAGCAAATTATCTAAGAGACACTGGCGTTCTGGGCCAGCTGGTTTGAAGTCTTGTTTCCAGGTACTTGAGTCTAGATGATGTTTGATGAATGCAGTATTATGGCAATTAGTTCTCGTCTAAATATTCACTTACTATTCGCTGCCGGTTGCGGAAGCCGTGATCATCTGACTTTAGCTTTTGCATCGTATAGATATACAATTGATGCCAATCAACGGACTGTGGAGGTAGGGCGTGTTGCCGATTGGCAAACACAAAGGCTAGCTCGCCCTCTCCTTCAAAGCGACTCGCCCAGAAGGCCTGTCCCAGAAGCGAAGGCTGGGATGCCACAGCGACTGACCGGGAAGCCAGGCGCAGGTTATGAACCGATGCAGATGCGAGATGCCTTAGAATGAGCATGACAATCTCATTCGGGAGGATGGCAAAGGCATCCTGCATCTTTACAGCGTCTGTCGGTCTTAGAGCTGGATATGAGGGATGATTGGAATCGGCCAGCTGTTTGCTGAATTGCTCATCAGGACTTGAAAGCGCACGATGCGGATGGCGAGAATGGTGGAAATCCAATCCATAATCATGACCTGGCAACAAGCGCCTGCTGCCGTCGGTTGGTGTGTTGTAGAAGATGGCGAAGAGGTGATGAGCGACCTGTGACGGCTCAGGTTCTTCACCTTCAGCGGGGCGAATACGGTAAAGAAGAAGCTGCCAGCAGAACTCGTGGAATGGGAAAGTCCAGTAGGAACGAACCCTCTGTTCAAGCTCATGTGCCTCAAGGAGCATTCCAGGCCTGGCGACATCAGAATGGTAGTCCGCGTCGGCGCATACCTCGTTATGATAATTGAGAAAACCTGATCCAGTGATGAATGGGTCTTGGTAGCCTTGCTTCGTCCTGACTAGATGGAGTTGATCGTTATGGTAAGCCGCTTTCTTGTGTGATATTTTTCGTCACGGGTTACGCAGAGCGTTGTAACTGATCTAGAGAAAGCTTACCTGCGCGGACTTTTTGGTCCCATCTTAGGGGGTTTGAATCATCGACAGGAGTCCCGTCATGTTGACCAATGTAGACACCGCAGAGGGAGCAGGAAGTGGACTGATCCATCTTCTACGTGATATACCGTTGCACTGGGGATCAAGAGGAAGTTGTGGTATTAGACCCGGGCAGCAGTCAAGCACATTACTTGAATATCCCAGAGAGCATATGACAAAATTGCAAAGGTATTTACTATTTGTCCTGCAAACGATGGCGGCAGGAAAACAAACACTTGAATTTCATGTTCTGCTGTATGTATTGTCGCTGCCTGGTGGGTCCACATTTATTCTGTGTATATCCGGTCACATACACTAATGTCTACATACTCCATGTCCAAAACTTACTTATGTATCGAATGTACCTAGGCAGTACATATGTACATGGGTACCTCCATCTGGGGTGCTTCAGTCTTTATGATCCCAATGCATCTGGTTAGGTGATTGACGTGAATTGAACGTGGTCCTGTGGCAGTCAGTTCGTGCAGCTGGCTGTCATAAGGTTAATACGATGGACAAGTATGATGAACAGGGTCTTTTCTTGGTGGATATATTCTCCTCTTCATTGTGCCTTGTGACAAGTTTTTGAACAATATGATATAGTAAAATATTGGTCCAAAAAGGATTAGATTTATTCATGCTCCCCCTATGGTATATTACAATAACGCCGTGCCCGGAATTTCCAGCCATTTTCGCCGGCTCCTTATTCCTCACTTTCCTCAAATCAGGCCAGGAATGATTGCAAATGTATGCACCTTGATGCGCAGAAATCCCCCCAACGCCAAACATGCAAATAATTGAACAATTGGAATGAAAAGAATGCACTCATGCTCTTTACATCTCCATGAGCTCCACTGGCGGTCTTGCAGTATGTGCCAGGATCGGCTTCTCCGTGCCGAGAGGGCTGACGTCCATATCTATCGGCGAATCCGTCATGTCATCAACGGCAATGCAGGGAAGTGCAGGGCTGCCCTTGGTAGGCTCATCTGGCCGGAAAATAAGAGTGCTGCTGCGACTCCTGGTTGTCGCCGAGGCGCCCTCAATCGGTGAGATGGGAGAGTCAATGGATGGCACATTGCGGTGGTGCAGCTTGGCCAGCGCATCAGCCAGGTCCTCAGCGTGGACCAGCTTGTTGGGCGCATCCTCGAGGCGCATCTCCCAGCCACAGGGTGGCGACGGGGGAGGGCTGATGAAGAAGAGCTTACCAGCATCGGGAAGCGCCAGGTGCTGGTCTTGGTTCAGGTTGAGTGGCGTGTGCTGGCCAAAGTAGACACGGCAGCGCTCGCCCATGATGGCCTCGCCATCCCAAATCGATCGCACCTTGATCGCCGCCTGCTCATCGGCAAAGGAGCACACGATGCGCCGGAAGGACTTGAGTGGCGACCAAGAGTTTACAGGGGCAGTCTGGCAGATGAGGTCCTTGATAGTTTGAAGATTGTCAGGTCGAAAGATCTCGAGATCGTTAAGGTTGGTGATCAGGAGAGTGTTTGTCGGTGTGACGGGTTGTGAGAGTGGTGGCAAGTTGGAGAGATCGAGCTTGAGCGAAGCACGCGAGGATGCGCGGCTCGAACGGCTGGAAACGGGCCGCGAGGGCAGAGAGGTCGTCGGGGATGTCGACATGTCTGTTGAGTGTGTGTGTGTGTGTAGGTTGTGGGAAATAAAGAGTCGTTTTCGATTCAAGTCGAAGGCAGGGGTTTGTTGACCGCTGCAGTTACAAGATCTTGTAAAGTCTGATTGCCGAAGAAGCTTGAGAGTACTGATTCTTGTCGACGGAGATAGTCGTATTAATGAGTAAGGACTATATGCCTTGTTTCGAGTCTTCTCTGTAGAGATGAGTTGTTTTTCGGTGTTGTCTGAAAGAGAATTCGAATGCAAGTCTGGTGGTGTGCTCGACGTCTATATGTAATGGAAGAGCAGTGTGGCTGCGCGGAGGGAGACAAGCAGATGGAAGCAACCAGAGTCCAGCGCTAAGCCGTGCCAATGCACGATTTGGATCCAGTGCATGTGTGCTGCAAGCCACCCAAGCTGGGCCAGGGCAAATCGAAACCAAACAGGCGCCGCCGCTAAGCCAAACAGATAGGCCTCGAGCAGACCAGGGGGAGGCTGTGGGCAGTCACTTCGGCATGCCACCGCAACTGAAATCCCCACCTGAGTTCTTGTTTCCTGTGGTGCACCCCCACCCCACAGTACAGGTAGTTTAGGTGGATTGCTGCGACCGCTAGTGTACCCTCTGTCGTATCGTACCTTGCAGTCGCAGTGCTATGAGATTGCCACGATTTGGCCATGGCCCTCCTCGATCAACACAGGTCCAGCCTCCATGGAATATCTGATACTGCCAGGGATCCATCTGTCTATACTACACAGTATACAGAGGTAAATTTCAAAAGTTTAAGTCATGGTCCGTGCATCTTCTCATGTGCGCCGATACCCAAGCTGTCACTGGAGCACTGTACGATTTACTTCGGTTTGCTTCTATACCATACTTGACTGTGCCTACCCGATTGATTAGTTGCACAATAGGCCATATACAGGAGGTCAAATAAGGTGAACTAAGTATGCTTCTGGAATTTATATGCTTTATTCTATTATCTTGGCTCTTTAAATCCGAATATTAACGAAAAATTTCTTAGGGTTAGGGTTAGATCAGAAGTACTGCGTACTGTGTGTCGTTGTACTAAAAGCCGTTATCCTACTGTAGAGTGTGCACGGACCATGACTTAAACTTTTGAAATTTACCTCTGTACGTGTAAACTACATTACACGTGTATCTTGGTTTGACATGCAGGCATACCAGAACGCTAAAGTTCATGTATCCACGCTACATCTTGCGGGGATAGATAGAGGCGTTGAGGCTTTGTCAACCATGATCAGTCCTCTCGCAAAGCCATCCGACTCTTACGCAGCTGCGGGTACTCTACGATCTATGTGTGCACCATGATCCTCGTTTTTTTTCCCCCCCCTTCCCGTCTGTGTGAACAGTCCACCAGATATACGAGATTAAACTATTGTATCGATTGTAGAAGATCCCTATACCATGCATGTGTTTAGAGGACACGAGCACTAAATGACGTTGTGGCAATACGTACTACTTGCAAATTCAGTGATTAAGAAACAGAAAATTCTGTAATTGCGGACAGACTCATCAGCATGTCCGGCGCACTCGGTTGTCAAGGTAATCAAACTTCACTGCCGGCTGACGTCCTCACAAGTGGCACTAACTAGCAATTCAATCTCCATGCTCACACGGGGGCCCGGCTTTATTCCAACGATTAACTCTAAAGGCCCTGCCTTGGCCAATGTCACTTGCCACCAGTGGCAGGCGCAGCGACAAAGTTTTTTTGCTGCGAATTTGGTCATCCGCCTGGCTTGGCTCATTCCGTTTGATGTCACGACCAAGCCATTTCAGTCCTTGCTATCCGAGAGAATGCGAGCACATTGCTTGGAATGCGAGCCCTGCTGACGGTAGTCCGATTGCTGCGGTTCAGTGATCATATCGTGACGGATTATGAAAATATGGAATTGCCGGATTTCATCGACACGAATCAGGGACCAGCCACAAATTGTTTCGTGGTACTGAAGGTAAGGTAGGTACCGGTGGTGGGGTTTCCGGGTGCCCCGCGCCAACGATCCCGGCTTGGTAATTACCTGTACGTGCTCCCAACTGTACCTACAACTGGCAACTGGCTACCTCCGACGACTCTAAACGCCATGGACAGCGTGTAGGTTTCAAGACTGAATCACGGCAGCCAAAAAGCAAAGGATGGAGACAACCCACGAATGACAATATGCGAATTTCAAGGTTACTTACTTAGTTGCATCTCAAGAGTTTCCTCTTTTTTAAGTGGATAGCATTTCTCCTCATTAACCGCTTCACTCAACAAATCCCTCGTCGGCGAATTACTACCACGTTTTTTTGCTCGTACTCTTGACTCGCATGTGCACAGCCTCGTTGGCCTCTCTTTGCCCCCCCACAGGCCCGGATCGCCCTCGCTACTGTACGACACTGGATCTCTCCGAGACAGCAGACAGACACCACACACACACACATACACTTCACCTAGACCTATCTGACCAACTGGGCCGGAACCACTGGTCGGCATTCCATCTGAAGAGATCCAGACCAATCCATACCAGCTCTCGCATTATCAGCGCTGCAACGACAAGTAAATGCCTCCCTTGTCTCCCTAGGAATGAGATTGCACCTGAGTGGCGGCTGAAGTAGTTTTTGGCATGACTCTTCTCTTTTCCCCTTCAACACAGCCTTCTTCCAAGCCTGAGGTCGCTTGCGAATCAATAACCTACGGCAATCCCAAAGGCAATAGTGCGCACAAGTGGTTACATGTACCCTTCCTTCCGTCCTAGCTTACCTTGGGGAATTGGGTGCGAATTTTGCAAACGAATGTGCCAGCTCCACTCGTTTTAGAGAAGCAGCGCCTCAAACCTTGACAAGACATCCCAAGTCTTCTGTGACGGATAACCACTGCCACTCGATGCAGTAGTGAAGATGATACTCCGGAACAAGATGCAGCCAGTCTTGATGAATCAGTACACATGTGCAGTTGCGGATGCTTCTCATCATACTAACCCCCTGGCATAAAGAAGCATACACACTCATTATTATGCTGTCTATTCGCCCTATGCACCTGTGCTCCGTATTATTACCAGCCCAAAAGCCAACTGTCGGCCACGCAATCCGTCTCCATACGATAAGCCTAACCTATAGGGCTCTGCACACTGTTAGGTCGCCTTCCCCATTCGGCAATCCGCAGCCAATAGGTCGTTGTGTGCTCGGCTCGCCGTTGCGGGGATATTGCTTACTAGTTTGGCCATTTTTCCATCCCCCCTGCTCCAACAAGCTGGGCAAAGATCTGCCCTGCTCCTCTGGCAACTGGTGGTTCATATGCCTTGCTGTCAGCCATGAATCCTTTAGGGAGGCTGGATCATGTTGCTGGGCAGCGGACCGCAAAGGGTGATGCTGTCAGCCTATACTAACAAACATTGATCACTCGATATACTAGCCACTGCCCAAGACGGTGACTTCAAGTTGACTTTGCGGTCCAAGTTTCCATGTCTTAATTATGGCTGCAGGTTCTCTCTGCCTCTACTGTGTACATATGATCGTCGCCTGCACACTTTGATCCACTTGTTGTCGATCACCGTTTTCTACAACGCTTTAAAAGACGGTCAAGGGGATCACAAGATCCAACCTGTACCAGGAAAACATGGCATTTTTTAATCACCCGTCCAAAAACATATGATATCATTTCTAATTAGATATTGAAAGAGATTATGCGCACACGGGAGGATACACGGGAGGGGGAAAAAAGGGTTGCTACAAGCTAACTGCCTTCAAGCGAACGTAGCACTGCGTGGGCTCCCTCGCAAACCTCTGCACGGCCTCGTATCCGCCCAATGCCCCTGGCGTCGACAGCAGCTCAAATTCCCAGAAAATCAGACCAAAGTGAATTCTGAGGGCCTGTAGCGCAAGCCTCTTGCCAAAGCAACCGCGCAGCCCCAGGCCAAAGGCCAAGCTGGGACCGGCCTGAGAGTTGTACACTTCGGCGCCCGTGTCGGGCTCCCTCTGGAGCCAGCGCTCGGGACGAAACGCACTGATGCTCTCATCGTCCCAGGCTCCCGTGAGAGAAGACTTTGTCATTGTCCGCCGAGCCCCAGGGCTGCGCATGTCGTCCTGGACGGGCATGTTGGGCTCCAGGTACCCCGGCCCGTTGGCCATGAGAAAGACATTGGTGCCCCTGGGAATGTGGCGACCCAGCACGGTGCTGTCCTGCTGGGCCTGGCGCACGACAAAGGCAATAGTATTGGCATGGCGCAGCACCTCGTCCACCACGGCATCGAGGTAAGGAACCGGCGCCTTGGTGATCTCGGCATAGGTCGGGCGGCGCTGCTCCCGCGCCGCCAGGGGCAGGGCAGCGCGGAGCTCGTCGCGGAGGCGCGCCTGGGCGGCCGGGTGGTCCGTCATGAGCTTGATCCCCCAGGCCATGGCCGTCGCCGTCGTGTCGTGCCCCGCCATCATGAAGCCAAAGAACTCGTCGGCAATCGCCCGCTTGCGGTACTCGGGCTCGCGGCCCTCCTTGGCCGCCACGTCGCGCTCGCGCAGCAGGACCGAGTGCAACGCGCTCTTGGGTTTGGTGTCACCCTCGCTGATGAGCTGCACATACTCATCTACATTGTTTCGAATGTATTGATCTTTGACGGCTTCGGCTTTCCTCATGTAAGGAAACTTGCGCATGACCCACGAGGTTAGTACTGGAGCTGGAGACAGCTCCAGTACTAACCGAGTTTGACAGCGTGAGAATGGCAGAGAAGATTTCTGGAACACTTCCTTCTGGAAATCCCACCGGCTCATCTACGTGATCTGGGATCCTAGGCTTCCATCTCTCCAAGGCCTGGATACGTTGTATGGTGTTGCTCTCAGACTCTTCCAGACCAAAAGAAGAGGCAAAGATGGAGTCGAGTGCCTCAAAGGTTATGTCGTGATGAGCCGAGAAGGGATGACCATTTGCCAGCTTGCTCTTGAGGTGCCACAACTTGAGCAGTGTATTCACTGATTTGTACACATCGGGCGCGCTGATCTCGCTGATAAAGGTGGGTGCCATCAAGTGGTTGATGAGGTTGCGGCTATTCTTGAACCGCGCGTCGGTGGAGATGAACTGGATATGCTGCTCTGGCAGGATCCCGCCAATGAGCTCCTCAAAGAACTCGCTACGGTCAAACTCCTTGCCCCGGCGCAGCAGGATATCCTGACTTTCAAAGGGGTCCGTCACGATCACCCAGGGGAGCCCGCCGGGCTTGATGAAGGCCTGCACAATCGGGCTCTGGTGGCGTGTTGTGAGCGATGTGAGCCAACACTATAAAATGTGCAGCCATAGTGTCAGTGTCATCTTGTCAATGATTTGGGCCGATTGGATCTACTCCAACCATGATGACTGGAAGTGATCCCTTACAAAGATGCGCTTGGTACGCATGACATATCCCATCATCTCCGGGACATCACCAAATAGTTTTGCAGCCGCATCGCGATTATATGGAATGCCGGGGAGCGGTTTAGGTCGAAGAAAATTGAATGTCGCGAACAAAGCTACAACAATGACGCCTAGGACCAAAGTCCCTCTAACCGTAAGGACCGCGTCCATCCTGTGCTTTACGACTGGAGGTTCATGAGAAATTGCGGTTCTGAAATCTGTGAGTTACAGTTGAGAATATAAAGAGATTACCACAGTGACGGATAAATACTTGGGCCATTGATGAGCGAGTGAGATTGATGGTGGCAAGCCAAGTATTCTGGCAGTGATCAACACACGAGACCACAATGCATATCAGAAATTTCCGCAATGGTTTGCTATAGTCACAACAGGATTGGGCACACGAGTGAATTGCTACTCCACAAACTGACATTGCTCAGTTGGAGAAGCCCCTCTGTGATGAATCGGCGGAGTGCGGTTTCTCTTATTTTTGAGCGTATAGATCGAATATTACGGGATACCTACTCGGGGAAGAATCCTCATCTTGGAGTGTAAGACGGCTTAGAACCTGTAGCGCTCACCATATCACCCGCCTGCATGAGACCCTGGTCGGACACGCATATCATCTCGATTATTGCCCATCTACGAGCGTACGTTGGAAGTAGTGTCGCATAGTCTTTCTCTGCCGCATATGCACAATGCAGGTGTACGTTGTACACCATCCAAACATAAGTTGTCACCGGCTGCTGTGAGTTGCAAGCTGACAGGAAATTTTCATAGCAGATTTTGGCCATTTGCACAACCTGATGAACGCCAATGTGTGTTTCATTCCAGATTCCACCGCCAGGAGCAAGTTTCGAACTGGATCTGAGAACGAGACCAGGCAGCGTACAATTTCGATAATCATGCAATGTGACCGAGGACTTCCCCCGGCCCTTAATCTGCGGGCCTACGGGTGTGGTCCTTCCTTGGCCGCGAACCCATCGGCAGACCCTCGGGGCCTGGTAATAGCTGCCAACGCCACGGACCGAGGACCTAGGCAGTAATTCGTGTGTAATTGATTTATAATGATCCAGCAACAAGATCGAAATTCTTTGATGCATAGCGGTACTTGGCGGTAGTGGCCGTCAGAGCTGCGAGATGATCGTATTACCTTTACAAGTATACGAACGTCGAAAAGGTGCTCCTTATAACGTGCAGCATGATGTTCTTCTCCAGATAGAACACAAAAAGTATCGCTTGCTCACTTGGAATGGAGAGATCAAGATCATTGCCAGCTCGATGATCGTAGAGGCAAACACTCAGTGGTCTTTGCCGTCAAACTCTAGCCCACAGCTCGGTCTCTTTTTCCCGAGACCAAATAAAGTAGAGACAAGATAGATTGTCTCTTCGTTGGATGTACTATTAAACTTACATATATTGGTACAGGTAGAGGGTCTCTATACAAGCAAAGTCCAAGCCACTTCCATGGCCGGAATCTAAAAGTGTCGTTTACCGGAGCTCAACGCCTAATTTCTCGACTAGAGCCTGAGTGACCTTGTCGTGCATCTCGTTGGTCTCTTGGTTGGTCAAGGTACGCTCGAGGCTGCGATAGTTGATCCTATAACACAAGCTGCGCCTGCCAGTCTTTGGGTGAGTGAAATCATCGATACGCTTGACGTCTTCTACAGTGTCACCGCAGATGCTGCGGACGATTTCCATGACGTCGTTCTCGTGAAAGTCATGAGCGTTAGCCTTGACATTACCGCCGGCAGATGAAGTTGACTTGAGCCAGAATGACACGTCCTTGGGGCAGCCGGGGTATTTGGAGAAGGGCACGAAGCGCCTCAGTGATTCGAGGTTGTCTGAGACGCCAGTGAATTGGTTCAAGAAACGATTGTCCTGCGACCAGAAGAGCCGGATGTCAGGAATCTGGAACAGCAGCATTGCTATCCGCTCCAAACCAATGCCAAACGCCCATCCAAGCTGGCTGGGCACGCCAGCGTTGATATAGAGGTCTTGCTTCACGACACCACAACCCAAAACCTCGAGCCAGTCGCCAGCATAGTATACCTCAAGCTCCCAAGAGGGACTTGTGAAAGGAAAGTATGCTTCCACCCATCTGACTCTCAGAGGCTCATCCACAAAGTTGGGGTCGGCCTTCTTGGCAGCCTGGGCGGCACGGCTAAAGATCTCGACGACCATGAGCTCTAACGAGCGCTTCAGATGAGCACCAATGGCCTCGGCCTCGTCGGGTGAATGATGTCCAGACTGCAGGGGGTTGCGCTCGGGATGGTAGGGCGGGTTGGGGTCCTCGACCTTCATGCTGTGCTTCGGCAATTTTTCTACATCCGACCAAATGAGCTGGGAGATGTCTCCGGATGCACTAGCGGCAGAGCCGCGATCCCAGCTCCGGGCGCCTTCCATCTGGTGGAACACAGGATAGTGGCTCCTGTCAACCTCATCTCGACGATAGACATCGGCGCTGATGAGGTAGCCGGGCGACAGGTTTGCGCGAAAGACATCGGCCTGATGCGCCGAGGTGTGTGTTCGAAGCAGTGTAGACTCGTTGATGTAGTACGTGTCCGACTTTGCGCGACCAGGGTGGTCGGACGGGAAACCGAGAGAATCAAAGTTTTGGAGAGTACTAACAACTGGATCGAAGGTATTGTGGTATTTGTAGGTTGGGGAAGGGAAGACAGATTCGATAATTTGGCGGGTTATGTAGACCGGGTGGTCTTTCTGAAGGTGCAGGCGTCGGGGCACATTGGACAAGATATTTGGTGGCGTGTTGAACCACTTGTCTGTTTTATATTCCTTTCCATTAATCTCTATAGACGAAGAGTTCGTCTTGGGTTGTTGTGGTGTTGCTCGGGGGGAAGCTGGAGGTGTGTTAGTGGCCTTCTTTTGAAGCTTGCTTGGATCACGCCTCTTGAGCATGGCATTGGCACTGACCAGAAGACAAGCCACGCTGAGCTATCCTCTGCCCCAGTGCACCACTCCAGCATGTCTGATTTTGCAGAGAAACCCTTCTCGCACAGCCATAGGCCGCATTGAGTCGAGTCGACCACATTTCGAGGGCACGTCGGCGAACTCGAGCGCGGTGGTATGTCGTCGTTGTTCTACCTCGTCGCAGGACGACCAAAAAGTTTTTGAGGCTTGCAGCGTAATGGCATGTTACTGCATCAACTGGGCCCAGGAGCTCGGAGCCGCGTCGCGCGTCGGGTGAACCAAGGACCCTGACGACATCGGACTAGACCCCTTCTGCGGCCAATCATGGGGCCCTGCATTGTCGCATTTGCAAGCTGAATACCACTAAAATGCCACCACTGGCCGTCACTGGAGTCACCACTGACGACACTGACCAGTGACAGTCAATGCACTAAAAAGCCTGCACTATGACGCGCGGGGGTTGATCCCATGGCCCCCGTCGTTTCTCTCTCCAAATACAAGCCCATCGGCCGAAGGATAAAGTGGATCAAATGCTCTCTCTTGTCTTTTACCTCTGGCCGCTTATCTCCCGAACCGCTACCGCAGCTGATTCGGGAGAACCGCACGAAAAACTACGACCGGTTCTCCCGAGGAATCGTGCTCACCTCTAATTGCGATTACATAGTCTCGAGTTCTCTCTTTCTCAATTGCTACATTATTCCCTTGGCACTATACTCCTAGATTCCTCGATTGCTCACTTGTACCTCATTTGTGCTATTATTACTGCTTATACCTACTCTGTACAAGTTTTACCTTCGATTACTTCGAGGACCAGCTAGGAGCGCAAGACCCGAGGAATTGACGTGGAAAAAAACACCTAGAAATAATGTTCCACCAGGGCAACCAATACTAGAAGTTCGAATTGCTAGCCGAGAGCCGCGGCACCTATCGCGAGCCTCTTTGCCCGTCCTCCTTATTCTCTCCTCCCCGCGAAGGGCATGCAACCGACCGTCTGCATGACCAACAAGATGGCTGTCGCAACACAAGAACAGCCGGCCGCCGGGCCCGCCTCCGAGAACCTCGCGGCCGTGAAGCCGAAACGTCAGAAGAAGCCTCTCCCCAAGCAAATACACTATCCTTTCTGGTTTGGTGGTTCGGCAAGCAGTTTCGCCGCCTGCGTGACACATCCTCTTGATTTGGGTACGTCATTATTCCCTGCAATAATGCTAACATGATACCATGTCCCGTGAATACTCTGCTGACTGAAGTCTCCACCGTGTAGTCAAGGTTCGTCTTCAATTGCGCTCCGGAAATGCCCCCAGCACCATGGTCGGCACCTTTGGCTATATTGTTCGAAACGAGGGCATACTGGGACTGTACTCTGGGCTCTCTGCCTCACTCCTGCGGCAGATGACGTACAGCACGGTGCGCTTCGGCGTCTACGAGGACCTGAAGCGGCGGTTCACCCCCGAGGGCGAGAAGCCCTCGCTGCCGCTTCTGATTGGGCTGTCGTGCTTCTCGGGCTTTTTGGGAGGCATCTCAGGCAACGCCGCTGATGTGACCAATGTGCGCATGCAGCAGGACCGCGCCCTCGCCCCCGAGCAGCGCCGCCACTACAAGCACGGCCTCGACGGCATGCTGCGAATGCTGCGCGAGGAAGGCCCCAAGTCGTGGTTCCGTGGCGTCTGGCCCAACAGCGTGCGCGCCGCTCTCATGAACGCCAGCCAGCTTGCTTCCTACGACACCATCAAGGCCGCCCTGCTGCAGTATACCCCCCTCGGCGACACCACCACCACCCACTTCACCGCCAGCTTCATGGCCGGCTTCGTCGCCACCACCGTCTGCAGCCCCGTCGACGTGATCAAGAGCCGCGTCATGAGCGCCAGTGGTAAAGGTCAAAGCATGGTTGCGCTGCTGCGCGACATCACGGCGCAAGAAGGCGTCAAGTGGATGTTCAAGGGCTGGGTGCCGAGCTTCTTAAGGTTGGGACCGTAAGTCAAACAACCTCAAACCTTGTACCTGATTTTACATGCAGGGAAAAACAAAAAAGACATGGCAGCTAACTGTGTTCCACCTCTCAGACAAACTATTTGTACATTCTTGTTCCTAGAAGCGCATCGCTCGACTTATAGAAAATTCATGGGAATCCCGGATGCTTGAGGCATACATATCCAAGGTAGGGATTACGCGATTGTAGACGTGGAGGAAAACTGAGAGGCACGTCACAAACAGGATCACCGCAAGGTTCATGTCAAGAGGGCGTGTTGGCTTTACATATATACCCGTTTTCAGGGTCATTGGCGTTGGTGGTCTAGATCCTTTTCATCTTCTTCAGCACATGCATTGCATTAGTCGCGGGCGTTTTTGCGGTCTTTTGGTCAGATCAGGCATCAATAAAATCAGATTATGGCTGCATGGATGCATTGTTGTTTCTATTCATGCGATGCAAAGGTATCCTGGTCCTCCAAGGAGAAAGAGACCGGCGTGCTTCAAGACGAGTACTTGATATGTAAGTGTCCGCACACGAAAGTATCTGTTTTCTCGATTGTCGTAGGCCAAGTCGAAATGATCTAGCCATCCTGCACCCTGGACAGCGCGTCTATAGTATGCAAACAGCAAAGCAAAATATCCGCTCCTGGACCATGCTCCAGATTCCTAGTATCGCGTATAGAATGAAGGCTCGCAGTAGATAACCAGCGTGTCTCCTATCGTTTCCAATATATTAGGTGCGTCTCGCACAGCAAACATGCTCGCCTTGGTATTGCCTTCCAAATGCTCTCCCGTGAGGAAAGCCGCTTTTTGAAGGAAGTTGCGCATTCATTGTGCGGGTATGGTTTTGCAATTGTTGTGCTTTTTTGAAATCAATGCCAAAACGCCCTCTGTATGCCATGATGAGTAAGCGCCGGCTCGGCTCATCAAATTTTCAGCTGTATCCCCGTTCAACTGCTGGATAGTGATGCTGTGATGCTTGCGGCTCTTAGCTCCAACCGCTTCCACCGGAATTGCCGTAAGGAGTGGTGCCATATGCTGTTTGAGCACCGCCCCAGGCACTCTGATTGCCACCTCCATATGGGGTGGTATAACCTTCGCTTTGCCACGGTGGAGGGCCGCCCATGTCGCCGCCAGGACTCTGGGGACCATCATACTGTTGTCCATCCAGGCCTTCGGAGTCGCCAAGTCCCTGCATGATTCGGGCAAGCTTTTCTTGTAGTTCTTGAATTCCCTCCTTGATAATGCCATCTGGATCCAGGTTACTAACGCCCTCGACCTCGAAATAGAATTTCTCAGGGAGAGCATCGTAGTCAAATGGCTCGCCCTCTTGCGGGGGATCCTCCCAGTCGGCATACTTGCTCTTGGGCCTGTGTTGCACGTTAGACAAGAGATATACCAGGGCGTTTTTACTACGGGTCGTGCTCACCATTCAGCTGCGGGATCGGCCTCGTACCAGAGGTCGAGATGGTGAAGCTTGTTGTGAGGATCGTATTCAAAGCCGACCGCAGAAGTAGCCATCCACTTGGCATGCTCCTTTGCAATGCCCTTTCTGGCAATGCACTCAATGTGCAACTCTTGACCTTTACGCAATTTGCAAATCAACGGACCGAGGCCATCGGGGTCGGTGATGACAGGGGTTCCAACCGTCTGATTGACGCGCTCGGGGCTGATCTCAAACTGATTGGCGTGCACTTTCATAATTTCGTCGCCAGTACACTTAGCATGGAGAGTCAGAACAACGCTGCACTTGTCGCAGTGTCCGTCGCATTCGCAGTCCCGAGGCATCATCATATCCTTGATGTCTCTGGAGTCGAGGGGAATCAAACCGAGTCGGTGCGCAATGAATTCGTCGGCTAAGACTGAAGTATTGACGTGGAATTCGACCAGGTCGATGGCGACGGTAGGAACTTCGGCCATGATGATGCGGCGCAGGGCATTTGCAAAGGCAAGATCGGTATTCGATAGCTCAAAGTTGACGTGCGTGCTGTCTGCCTGTTTGATATCGTCAGATCCCGCCCGACTGACAACAAAGACGATATCCGGACTGAATGGATACCTCAGAGATCTTGACAGAGGGACCAGAAGTGTCCATGTCCATGTCCATCGCATCGTAATCCATGGCGCCGAGGCTTTGTCGTGGAAAGAACCACGGGATTGAGAGGGGTTGAGATTCGCGCGTCCGAGATGAAGAATGCGCCGGAAATTTTGGGTGTTGGCGTCGGGAAAAGAGTACAATTTGAGAATACACCGCGCGTGGTGAAGGAAGTTGTCGCGGCTGGAATGTGAAATTCCTCGAGGCTGACAGAATGCTTGGGGGGAGCTAGAAGGTCCAGACAAGCCGGGGTGGGTTCAACATCGAAAGCTACAGAGAGGTAGGTACGTACTACGGAACGCCTCGATGTAGCACTGTAGCGATAGAAGCACACTGGTTAATAAAACTGGCTGCAGCTGGTCAAGATAGCCACAACAAGCGCGGGACGATGTGGCGGAAAGATGCGAGGCTGCGATCTCGCTGTGGCGCTGCATCAAATGACTAGCTTGGCCAGTTACATGTAGTACATGCATGTCGGGTATCTCAGCCAAGCTAGACCTCGAGACTCGCAAACAACACGAAACAGCTTATGTTAATTGTGCTATTGAAATTTGATGTACCTAGATACAGATTTATTGAGATATATTTGATTATCAGTTAATATCTTGATAAAATGTGTTCATTTCTTTTATCCAAAGTCAGTTCTACAGAGTTGTACAGAGGACCGATGTAAGTCCGCCATAGCTCCTCGGTGGATTCCGTCCGATAGGACCCGAGCTTCCAAAAATTTGAAGAAGGTCCCAGATTGTAAGAGCGTTTTGCAGCCGCCCGATAATAATAACCACTTCCGCATCTTCCCTCCAGCAAGCACGCGACTCTTTTCCTATTCCTCGCAACACCCACTGCGCCCAACTATTTCACACATACACCATGTTTAGACAAGTGCTATCTACATCCACCAGAGCTCTGCGCTCCAGCACAAGAGCATATGCACCAAGCGCAGCCGTCCGGACACAGTTCGCGCCCGCCCCGATAAACTTTGCTAGGTCACAGCTCCAGAGCTCGAGATGGTACAGCGACTCGACAGAGGCCAAGAAGGAGGGGGAGGAGGCCAAGCCCGCGACAGAAGCTGAGGCTCCTGCATCTCCCGAGGAGGAGCTCAAGAAAAAGCTGGAAGCAAAGGAGAAGGAAGTCATTGACTGGAAGGTCCGTGTTTGCCGAGCATGAAAACACAGCAACCAGCAGACTGACTCTTTTGACTACAGGACAAGTACCTTCGCTCAGTTGCAGACTTCCGAAACCTCCAGGAAAGAGCTACACGAGACCAAAAGTCCGCACGCAACTTTGCCATTCAGCAATTCGCAAAGGACCTTGTCGACAGCGTGGACAACCTTGACCGTGCCTTGACCATGGGCCAAGAGAAGATGAAGGCCCTGGAGGGAAGCGACAAGAAGAACGATGACCTTGCCAGCTTCTACGAGGGCGTCAAGATGACCGAGGGTCTCATGCTCCAGACCCTCACAAAGCACGGCTTGGAGAGATTCGACCCTGCAAACGAGAAGTTCAACCCCAACGAGCACGAAGCAACTTTCATGACGCCCCAGCCCGATAAGGAGGACGGCACTGTCTTCTTCGTCCAGCAGAAGGGTTTCAAGCTCAACGGCCGTGTCCTCAGAGCAGCCAAGGTTGGCGTCGTCAAGAACGCCTAGATATGAACGGTATGACTTTCGAATTGTTGTGTGAATAGCCTTGTACTATTATTACGAAAAAGAATAAGCGCTTTGGGCAGGCGTTGGGCAACGTGTACAAAAAAAGATCTTGCTCCTCTCATGATGGATTGTTGCATTTATCCTCATTGGCATGGTTGCGTGGAGTTGCAATCAAAAAAGCAGTGTTGATCTAGACATTGGGTCAAGGGTCAGATGTACAAAAAACCATATCAAGGGCTCATGGTAGAGCTCTAGGAATTATCTAATCAAGACAATATAGTCAAACCGCAGATGGTCCAGGGTTTCCCAGGATTGGTATCTGTATGCAAAATCCTCCAATGTTCCCCAAAGATTCCCTAAACGTTATGTTATAAAGAAACGGAAATGAAAAAGATGACAGACAGACCTCTCAAAACCGACAGCCAAGTCACTTGCTATCGGGGTACTGGCCAAGACTGGTATTTATGCTTCCACGTCAATTGGCTCATTAATTGAATCCCTCTTGTGAGCAGTCGTCCTCTGGAAAAAGCAACGCGCGCACAAAGAGAACTTGGGTGTGCAAACGAGATCGGTCCCCACCCCCCACCTCAGTCCACACAACCTTGAACCTTGGGCTCCATTGCTTAATGATCGCCCATATCTCAACCTTGACTGAATGGCAGCTTTTGCACTCTCGTTTACACTGCTTCATCTCTCAGTCAAGTGGACATTGTTGGTCATCACATTGATTTTGCACGCACTTATTCGTCAACGATGTCTACGACTGCCCCAGTGGTTGTTGAACGCTTCGCTTCAGCGAACGGTGACTTCTACGCTGAGTCATCCGGAAACAATCGGCATCGCCGTGCTACCACGTCGGAGCTGAAGGAGCACTTTGCAAGCTCCGGCAGCAGCAAGGACAAGCCGGCACATTGGTACGAAGCGCAGCTGATCCACTACGGCCTGCAGCCATCCAAGACCAAGTCGGTCGCCTTCAAGCGGCTGTTCGATGCTTCCAACACGGGAAACTTGAGCGTTCCGGCTCACATCACCAAGTTGGAAGCCGACCTTAAGAAGGAATGGACCAAGAGGGATAGGGAGGCCAAGAAGGAGGCCAAGGGCCAGATGGTCGGCGTCACCAAGACCACCGAGAAGGCCACGGCTGTGAAGAAGACTACTGCGGGCACAAAGCGAAAGGCGTCCGAGACCTTGGATGTTACAGTCAGTGTCGGTGGCATCGACTTCAAGATGTCCGCAAGTAACTCATCTGCCTCTCAGAGCACCACGGCCAAGAAGACCAAGACGGCTACGGCCAGCGCTGCAAAGACCACAAAGGCTGCTGCTGCTACTTCCAAACCCGTCAAGGAGAGCCCAAAGGCAAAGCCTACTCCCAAGACGACCAAGACAACTGCTGCACCCCCCAAGACGACCAAGGCGACTCCTGCGCCCAAGGAGAAGAAACCCGTGTCAAAAGCTACACCAAAGGAGAAGAAGACGCCGGCAAAAGCCGCGCCCAAAGCAAAAACTGCCCCAAAAACTGCTGCGAACTCTTCGCAGCCGTCTGCAAACTGGGATGCTGCTGCTACTTCTGCTTCGAGCCCAGCACAATCCCGACCCAAGCAAACAGCTCGCCGAGGCGGTCTATCGCAAGGCTCCGGTCGTGGTGGTACTGCCTCCGCTGCTGCCGCTACCGATCCTCCACGACCACGAACCAAACAGACAGCTCGACGAGGCGGAGGTTTCCCAGCTTATGGTGGCCACGGTCATTCCTTTGCCTCGCAGAATTATGAACCTTATGGCTATGGTGACTATGACAGCGAGGATGATAATGACGATAATGATGACGACGACGAGCCGCCGCCTCCCTATTCCGAGTACGGCCGTGACGGCTCCCTAGGTTCCAGCGACGACGATGACGGACCTTTAGCCAAGCTAGGCCTCCTCAACGGCCGCTATGAGATCGAGTCCGCCGACGTCAGCGAGCAGTGGCCACGACTGGGCGACGACCTGAGCCTCGTGCTCACGCTGGCAGGCGACCAGCTCTGGGGCCAATTCGAGCTGGGCGTCTACGAGGGCGTGCTGCGCTTCGACGTCCGGCCGTATGAATCGTCGTACGAGGCCCTGCCATACAGTTGGCGCGGCCGCGAGACTGGCGAGGGCGAGATTATCTACGGTGACTCCAACCAGGGCTGGATCAAGTTCTTGGGCGGTGGCCGCATCAAGGGCTACCTCGACCATATGAGCATTCACTTTTCCGGACGACGCATCCCTGGCCAGAGCACTCGGAGCGAGGTTGACATTGGCACCATGAGAGACCAGTGGAACAACGAATATAGCGAGAGGGAGTATGAAAGGGCGAACCGTGCCAGATGGGGCGGTAGTTCTTGGTAATGAGCAGGTGCATTTGGACAACTTTGATCGAACTACATTGTCAACGATTAAAATCACATTCACTTGTTCTGACTGTATCGGTATATCAGTCAGCCAAATCTCTTGCTCGATCATCTGGGTAAGAGTTAGGCAAGAGGGCCAGGGGTAATGTTGTCTCTAATAAGGGATATAGTGTTAGTGGCAACTCTGGTATATGGTATGTATTCATTGCCATGAGATTGGCCAGAAAGGCAGGCAGGAATAGGCACATGACCTCAGTCTAGGAAGCATACCAACGACCAACAAATATAACATAAACCAAACTTGCCATGTCTTGATGAAGCGCAGCGATCTGTTCTGAAGCCATCTTTTCGAATACCTTTACAGTAATCTTGATAGCCTCTGTGAGGTGCAGGGTTTACCCATTCTGATATCTGCAGGAATTGATCCCGATCTTTGCTGCAATCGGCTCCATTGGGCAGCATAAATCATGGAGGCTTGGAAGAGGGGTCTCTACCGCTCAAAGCATGGATGCCGGGAAGATTTCCCCAGCCATGTCAAGGAACGTCAATTTGAAGCGCGAAACAAATCGAATGAATCCTCCTGAGATGGGCATTGGGCTTGCTGACAACGATACAATTCTTGACATCGACCGGGGCAGCATGACAAGCATGATGGACGTCCAGTCTTGCAGAAATCCCCCCAGTTTTCATACAGAGTAGTTGAATCATCAAATTACCAAAAACGATACAGAAAAAAAGTCAAACAGGGGTCACTGTCTTATTGAGACAAGACAAGAACTAGTTTGTTTTTGTTTTTCTGGTACTACTAAGAGATGTACAGCAGTCTTGTCCCATTTTGGGAAGCACATATTGCTTATTCTTGCTGCAGAAGTGCTTCTGGAAATGTTAATTTAGCACGCAACGTGTTTCGGCAAATACAGAACGCCCGTTATTGCTCGCGGGAACCATCAAAATCTAATGACCCTGGACATTTTTTCTATGATGAACTCTGTTTGTTACTGACCGCTTTCGGGAGTCCGAGACTCCATCGGTCAACTGGCTTTTCCTTGCAAGGTAGCACAAGCAAATCATCAAACAGTCTTGTGTTTGTGTGATATGTCAGAATCGTTTGGATATTTATTAACAGTCCCATCAATCTTGGGTCTAGACCAAATACAATGAATTACAGATACTTCGACTTCCCAGGGTTGAGACTTGAGAAAAACATCTGGAAACATTGTCCGTGCTGTCCCAAGAAGCATTGATACCTTTCACGTTTGAATCTCCCCATGTGGGCAGACGGGAGCTAGAGAAAGACTGGATGCGGCCTCCCGCGAGGACTGGCGTGGCTCAACGTGGGTTTCCGTCCGTTGACCCCCTTTTATCATCGAGAAAAGTTCGCGTGTTGCATGATCAGGTAGTACAATCAGTATTCGCCTTTTTTTCTATTGAGGGTATTGGCGCTTTGAGTGGTTCACTCTTCCACCTGCATGTCATGGCAGGTTCAGGAGGAAAAAGCAAGAAAAACAAGATTCGAAAAAGAAAGGGTGGGCATGCGGCGTTCTAGACCTCTGCAGGAAGAAGCAATACCCGAATAACGATATTGACATGACAAATTGCGGACAATGGTGAGAACAAACCAAGGCAAAGATTGACAAGTTTACGTAGCAATTTGCAAACAGCAAAAGAAACTCTCCATGTATGTGTCTCGGCAGGCAGTTGGTTAAAAAGTGCATATTCTATGACGTGCTTTTGGCGGCTCATCCTGCCCTAGGTCGAGGAAGAAACCCAAGATGTCAGGATGTCTGACCAAGTCCGTTTGACGGGCAAGGATGAGTCCGATAGAGAAGCATGCAAGGCATAATGATACACCACGAACCTGGTGCTGATCACTTAGAGTCAATATATGTCAAGGATAGGATAACCTACAATGCCTGCTCCTGGAGCGGAGTACCAAGGCTAGAATACACCCAAGGTACTGGTCTCGATAGTGCTGTCGGAGCCTGAGATGGAGACAAAATAGAGCTACTCACTTTCTTGTCGCATCGAGTCCGACAGTAACGGGAGGTGGGAGAGAAAAGAAAAAACAACAATCCTCAGCTGCATAATAGAGAAATAGTAAACTGAAACCTCCGTTATGGTATCCGCAACGGGTATACGTCTTGTGTGAAGTCGATCCCCCGAAAGAGGATCTCCGAGAAAGACGTGGAAGTTATGTCAGTTGATCAAGGAAAGCTGAGGCTCTCTTGAGTCAAATTTTCCCACCTCTCCCAAGAGTGAAAAGCCGCAAAGGACCTCGAGCAAGTGGGTGTAAGTAAGCCCACTTACCGGGCCGACGAACGCACGTGGCTCGTTCCCAAAAAAAAAAAAAAAAAAAAGACGGGACTATGTCGGCTTATACAAGATCAATGTCTGAGCATCAACTAGATTCGACTGACACTCAGGTAGCACAGACATGCGGCCTCGAGGTTCCACGAGTTTCTGGGCAAATCATTGCAGCTGAAGCTATAGACGTGAAAACGAGGAGGCACGTACTGCAAGTTACAACAGTCGCACATGGTGCCAAGATATGGCTACTTTAGATAGAGATCTGATTTCCCAGCAAAGATAGGTCCAGAGAAGTATGCCAACCTGGTGGCTACTTGCTAGTAGCTAGATAGGTAAGTAGGTAACATTGAAGTGGTTGGGTGCAGTAGTCTGCAGTAGCCCGAAGCAAATCATATTACGTCGAACTGCTCACTAAGTTCTTAGTAGTCGAAAATCCTGTACTATGTAGAGCAATTGAAGCGCCCACCACTTTGTCCACCGTGCTGGGCGTTATTGCCTACATGGGCTTTCACTCATTAGACAGGTACAGCCTTCCCATCCCCCAATTACAAGTCCCAGAAACGCGGCCAGCGTTTGATCCGCGCGGAAAAGGATTTCAGGCACATGGCGGACTAGACTCCATGAAGAACAAGTCAAGTTGCCAGGCGGGTATCGACTTTTCACCGGCGGGTAATGAATGATAAAGTAGTACATAGACCTAGGTGTCTAGTGTCACTAAATAAGTTATGGAAGTGGATACAGAAGTCATCGGGGAAATGTGGACGATGATGATGATGGGGATGTTGTTGATGATGGATCAAGTGAATGGATCCATGGGATCTACGGAAAACTATCCCATGGAATGGATGAAGCGGGGCCGCGCTACCCTTTTCCTCCTTTGTCGGAATGGCAAGCCAAGATTGGTGAGATCGACTTATAGGCAGGGTTCCCCGGTTCTAGTCTTGTGCCTTACCAGAGTCCAGATGTCGGAGGCAGAAGAAGAAGAAACCCCCGTCCAAAATTCAAAATTTGAGCCCAGCAAGCCAAAACTATTCCATAGACGGTTCTCATAGCGACAACCATGATATCGCGGCAGAAGTGAGCTGTGTGTGTGTATAATTGACTGATTAGTGATACAAGCCATGAACGCCCATACAAACACCAGGTTGCATTAATATGGGCAGTGACGGACGGGCGGATGGTGGACACTAGACACTAATGAAAGACAACTCTCGAGGAAAGAACTACATACCCTCTGCCAATCACAGACCTCCCATTTCTCTCACCCGTGACGAAACAAGAAAGACCGTCAAAATATCATGACCAACGATGGGAATGTCTTCTACCATGTCCTGTTTCCACAACCACACTCTTCTTGCACAACTCGGCGTTTGGAACTTTCGGAACTTTGGACTGTGGGACCCCGCCGAGAGCCAGAGCCTCCCCCCTATTACTGCAGATGGCTATTGCCGTTGTAAGTTCCGCTTTCAATGCCCCTACCTGGGTGTTCGTATCCAACACTTCACCTCGTTACCTAGTACCTACAATGTTCTCACCTGGCTCACACGACACTTCTGGGCTCTAGCACACACTTTTTCAACCAACCAACCATTCATTCACCTCATCCCTGGTCTCAGGACAGCGGCCCTGGTCTTTCAGTTCGGGTTTTCTCACGGGAGCTAATCGACTAGTAGTAGACCGGCGAAGTCGCCTGAAACTCACTGCTTCGCAACAAGTGGAGACTATGAGAAAATAAGCTCAACTTTCCAATGTTCTTTCCTCTATTAGCTCCCCGGATAGTAGTAGTAGTAGTAGTATCCTGATATGCCCACGATACCGACCCCGACCCAACAGCCCGCCAACCCGCCCAGTGTATCGGAAATGCTGGAGGTGTCACCAAAAGGCGGGCTCCAGGAGCGCCGGTCCACGACCCCAATCGACCAAACACTGGCAGCCTTACCAGTCCTGTTTGCGCCGGCCCTGCTGACTCTTTTTGTCCATTCCCGAAAGTGAGGATGCTAGCTAGTATACGACGACTTGGTTCATCCCCTCGAGCCCGACGGAACCAGTCGTCCACTATTGGTGAGGGTCCTAGACTCCAAGTTGATCTGATCTACTGCCAGATCATCCTCCATACATCCAATGGATCTTGGGCTTCACCTATGCCTTGTGGCAGTCTGTGCCCCGTGCCTTGTGGCTTCTTTCTTCTGTGCTCTACCTACTTTAGGTAACTTAACCTGATCCCTGGTCCCTGATGCTGCCGCGCTAGACCGGACATTAAAGACTTCGCGGGCCAGCCAGATTGGCTCGACTGGGTGAGTTTTTGGGATGGAATGGAGCCTTCACTATTTGGTCCATGGTATTAGACGCCGTTTCTCTTGTGTCCAACGTCAATGGCCCACTTTGTATACCAATCCGCCCCCTTCACCTGGCTTCTCTCTGGGCCTCTTACTGCCATTGCTGTGCTGTGCAGTGCTGGGCTGTACTGGGCTGGGCTGTACTGGGCTGTATCGTGCCCTCATGGCGCAAATTCTGCTGTTGCTATCCGCTCTTGGTCGAGTCCAGAAAAAGAAAAGCCGTCTGCATCGTCGAATGCAAGTGCCTCTTGGGTGCACGCCCACCAACCAGCTCAGAATGTAGACCACTTACATATGTCTCCTGCCTCTCTTCCAACAAGATGCCACCCACTATCGTCTTTTCGTCGTTGTGCAAGTCTTGCGGGTTGCAGTTCTATTCTTTTATTTTCAGCTTCTCCTTCTTCATCCCTGTTCTTTTCTCCCATTCCCGCGTATTATACTTCCCGTTGCCGTTTCTCTTCTCATCCATCCCGTCCACTTGTCTCACTCGAACGCCATCCCGATAACTTCGTCGTCGACTTACCCCTGCACCCGCCTGCTTGACGCCACCCTGCTGCCCGGACGAGTGCCGTGTCGACCACCTGGGAAAACTTTCTCTCTTCGAATTGCCCAACGGTGCATGTGCATTTCTGTGCTGTTTTCTGGGCAGACACCTCCGTCGGTTTACGGATTCCTGTTGACTCGATCAACTTGATTTTCTAAAGTCCTTTTTTTTTTCTTTTCTTCCCAAAAAGGAGTCCTCAAGACCAGGACAATAGACAACCGGATTTGTCTAACGTTGGGCTGGCAACTTCCTCATGGGTTATAACCTCACCTTATAAGACGCCATTCTGTGAGCATACCTATTTGGACGCATATTACAATGGCAGGCACTCCGAGCAATTATCATGGTAGTATCATTGCCTTGGAGGGCTCAGGTGATACCGTCTCGACGCAATTGCGCCTTCTTCCCAGCAGTCCCAAGATATTGGTTCTTCCCCCATTCCAGCATTTTATGAGCCAAGATGAGGAAGACCTGCCCTTTGATGCACAGTCGTGTATTCTGAAGACCCACGAAGCCTGTTGCGCGAGGATAGAAAAGGCCCACGCGTTTCTACGCGACTCAACGGCGGATGACAAGCGACTTGTCTTCATGAATGGCGGAACGGCAAGCGCGCGGATGAACTGCATTGCTTCAATCAGCAAACATGGTCTTAAAGGTGATATCTCCAAGGCTGAAAACACCTTTGAAGAGCTGGTTCGTCACGGTGTTGGAAAATTACGGGAAAACAACCACAAGTCTATGAGCAAATCTCATTCCCCCAAAACCGCCCCTTCGCCAAATCGAAAGACTGCCACGCCACAAGAAGAATATGTTGATCGCATGTCGGCAGCCATAAGAGCTGCGGATGCATTATATCTCGAGACGGCCTCGCTCCAGCCCAACACCGACCTTGATCTTTCAACGAGTCACCAAAGAAGCAAAAGCGTCCCAATCCATCCTAAGGCTCAAGACTCGGCGGAAACTACTCCCATGTACACGTTTGTAGCCCGAGACCTTTGCGACGAGCCAGTCTCAGCAGTGAATAATACTACCAAGGGCACATATGGTGATAGCCTCGTCCCGCAACCGCTCAACCTAGAAGCGTTCAGACCGCGTGCAATCCTTGACAATAGCATATTGCATCGTATGGTGGACCAGAACTCGCCGAGATGGGCAAAGAAGCCATACAGGAGGTCTTTTACACCTTCGACTCCCGCCATCGATGACGTCTTCACTCCTCGGAGCACTACCTTCGGCTCGTTGCCCAACACACCTACAGTGGTCTTTGGAGAGGCTCGTCTGGTCGATGTCCGCACGTCACCCAAGCAAAACAAGAACCAGCAACATAGGAGGAGCCAGTCGGTCAATCACGGCCAAAGTGTGTCATCCCGAAATACTGATTGTTACTCTGTGGCATCGACTTTACTGTCACAATCTGATGGCGACTCGGATTTCGGTACGGCTTTGTCCTATCATCGTCGCAAACTTCCGCTCCGGACCGAGGACCACGCTGAGCGCTTAACCAACAACACATCTACCATGTCCAACAGAGCCAATCTCCGTCGCCCGCCGCCTCTTGCCCTGGATTCAACTACTTTTGCTTCGGCAAAAGAACGAGGGATATATGTTGACAAGGGCACGAGTCCTAGCCCTCGACTTAGCGCTGACAAGACGCCCCAGCGAGATCGAGCGTCATATATCGACCGTGGTGTAGACGCTGCGGATGAGTTATCTCTGCTGTCCCCAGCCGTCCGGTCCGAGGAAGAAAATACCTTTGAGGCAGCTCTCCCGCTATATGAAGACCTGGTTATTCATTTCAATGACGAAACGAGTGATGCGCCTCTTCGGCAGATTTTTGCAGAGCTTTTGAGTCAACTTTGTCCTACCTCTACTTCCGAAACAGAGGTGCCGAAGGAGAATGCTAATAGTACGGCGACGGCGCCGATGTCTAATAACAATCCTGTTATCGCAGTGGAGCTCTGCAACCCAGATTCGGCATTGAGCCCAGCTTATTCAACGGATGGCTATGATCATCCCTTGTTTGAAACACACGGCAGTTATCTGGCGCTGCTGAGCCCTGGTAGGCCGAAGACAGGCCGGAGACCAAGTAAGAGGGGTGTAGTTGATGCGCCTCCAACGCCTGCACGGACACCACCCTTTGCTTCGACTGCTCCTCATAAAAGTTTTCACGAAATCAAAACCAGCAAGGACAGTACGGCAGTGGGTGTTCAGAATTCGCTCAGATCAATCTTGAACATATATTTCTCGCCCGACGAGCCCGGATACAAGCAGTTCATCTTTCCACTGCTACCAGAACTCAGCAGCATGTGGAAGCCCGTGTTCCGGGAAACGGAACAAACACAGGAAAAGAAAGAAAAGCGCAATGTTGACTTGATTCTTGCGATTGGAGCCCAGAAAGGGGTACAAAGGGATTTTCTCTCGGCCGTCACTGGGTCACTGGAGAATCTTGCGACCAAGCCGAGTGGAGTTACTCGAAGTGGACGACTTGATCTGAAGTACGAGGAAACACATCCCATCTTTATCCAATCTACGTTGGCTGACCAGCAATAGGTACCTGATTGCAAAGGCAATGCAGTCTTATACTTGTCTCCCCTTGGCGAAACAAACCCGAGACAATCCATTTACCAACCCCAAATTCCTCGCCACCCTCATTGTTCCTCACCTAGAAACATATCTTGCTGCGCACACCGAGACCCTCTTCTTGATTCTCGAGTATCCGGCTGAGCATCTTGCCACTGTTCTTGCTCTCCAGAAACTTGTAGGAGTAGATCTCCTTAAAGTTGCAGGAATCGTCAGTGCGGATTCTTTAGAAGCCCAAGCAGTGTCCAAGTCCCCATCACCCATTAGTCACAGTGTTGACTTGGGGAGACCATCCCTTTCCAGCATCTACTCGACCCGACCGATACCAGAAATTCCTTCCTTCTCAAAAGCCAACTTCATTCTGGCTTCTTCTGCCACAAATTCTGAAATCGCCACACTCGTTTCCACCATCTGGAAGATTCTCGTTGATATTTCACCTTACTACATTCCCGAGCTCTCACACAGGCCCGCCAGCTCCCGTGAGAATAGGATCTCGTATGTCAATCTGGTCAATCCAGCGACAACATCTCTATCGGCACTCTCTTCCGACGAAAGTGTTCCCTTTACACGTGCTAGAGCCATGGTACAGCCGCAAGAAGTCTCATCATCGGGTATCGTTGTCAACTCCATCGATGTCGCAGATCCCACACCCAAGAAGGCGATCAAGCGCTCATCGCTCTCGATAAGGAGCTCCAAGAGTAAGAGGCTGACGCACAGTCCGCGGACGAGGCTTCAAAAACTCATCGCCTCCGAGAGAGGGCCGGGCACAACCACCACCATGGACGGCGAAGGCGCCCGCCTGACTTCATCGCCAGTCTCGTCCAAGCACAACTCGTCCTACTTTGACGTGTCCGAGGACGAGGACGGATGGCTGTACCAGCACGAGCGCAAATATGTGCCCATGTTCATCAGAAAGCCCGACATTCGGAAGGGAAACAGCCGCAAGGCTCTCAAGTTCCTGGGTCTTGCATAATGCAACCATTTCCCTTTTCTTTTCTCCTTTTACTTCTGTGTACTGTCTAATCAACCACCTGGAGCAATCGCTCGACATCTGTTCTCCTATTTCTAGAATCCAATCTTTTCCTTGTTAGTTTCCATCTTCTGGGGTATTGGGAAGTTCCGGTGTTCCATTGGATCACTAAAAGCTGGCATTTCGGTACGGGTATGACGCGACGATCGCGAGGGGGGCTCTTTTCAAAAGCAGGGATCTTAGCTTGGGTGTTTATTAATGTGTCTGTGTATATAATCGATAATGATTGTCACAATAGCAGCCGTACCAAGACTGGCTTGGACCCAGCTTGAATCAGTACCGATTCTAGTCTACAACTGAAAAGCTTCTACTCCACTTATGAACTGAAAAGAACAAATATGTGTTATTGTTCATACATGCACAACATACCACATTGGTCCTTTCCAACCCATTATTCATGCGCACCCTGGCATACATGGGTACTTATACACTAAATCAGACTACCTCCCATGTCGCTAATCCAATGGAAAAGAAAGAAAAGAAAAAGAAGAGACGAATGTTCTCCGACGCCGCCAATCTAATATTCTACCAGTCTCAACTTCTTGCCTACATCCCGCCGCCGGGCCTTTTCAGAGGCCTTTACCTCCCCATTGTCTAGAGCCTCGCCTCGGGCCTTGAGGGCTTGTAACAACATGCCTGCATCAAAGAAACCATCTGTTCAAATAACCGTTAGCACTCTTTATTCCAACATATGGAATCACGTTGAAAGGAGAAAAAAGGGCAAACCTACAGCCCCCAAGCTCGTCATCCTCACTCGTGGCCATACTATCCTCAGTAGGCGACCGCGTGCCAGCCGCAGACCGAGCCTCGCGGCGAATGGCCTCGGTGCCCGTAATCATGCGGCCACGGGCCTTGAGGCGGCTACCCGTCTTTACCTTGGCATGGTCAATCTCGCGGGCGCGCGTCTGCTTGGTCGAGGTAGCGCGGCGGTTGGTGATGCGCAGCACGCGGCGGATCTCGAGCAGGTAGCTCTCGAGGGCGTCGACAAAGCGCTTGGTCTGCCGGTGCTTGCTCGCCACCGAAATGGAGATACCGTCGTCCTTGATGATGTAGCCAATGCCGAAGCCGTCTCCAGACGTGGGTCCAAAGCCAAAGTGCCGCAGGGATGGGTTGCCGCAGTTGGAAGTTGAAAGAATCGTCGTGTTAAGCTTGTCCCAACCCGGGTCTGTAAAGAGAGAAGGCACTGGATGGTCTCGCGATCTCGAGCCTGTGCTATCACCGCGATTCCTGGTTCTTGTATCGTCTTCCGCGGATAGCACAGACTCGTTGCCCGGGCTTCCCACGGGAGAGGACCAGTCTCTGTCTGATCCCGAGTCTATCTGACTGGAGTAGTCGCTGAACGGCCCACCATTCTGCTCGTCGATATACTTTTGCCAGACACAAAATAGTGCATAAAGATGTCTGTCGCAGCCCTTGGCCATAGCACAGTCCTTGGTGTTCTCAACATGCTTTTGGGTGGCCTTGCGCAGGGCTTCCACCTTTACCTCGGCAGGATGATCTGCCCAAAATGTTTGTACAAAGTTGACAGAATCTTCCGTCACTGATCGAATGGCTTCGGTACGCCCGTGGAGGAACATCTTGGTCATGGAGGGCTCATAAGTACACTCGACTCGTCCGTAAAGGCCATAGTAGGCAGCCTGGAAGGCCATTTGGACAAAGGCATCAGGTGAGAATCCCATGGATGTGATGAAGTTCTTGCCATATCCGCTAAAGTCCAGGCACTCAAACTCGTTTTGTACGATGAGATCCGCTAACCTCGTCTCGGCAAACCGCACTGCAATGCTGAGTTCTGGGAGCATGTCCCATTCGAGCTTGTGGGGCGTGGTGTTGACATCTCCAAAGCTTTCAGGGTCTCGCTTGGAAGGGTCTGGACTGGTCGTCTTCCACAAACTTGGTGCTTTGCCATTGATAGTCCTTGCAAAACGCAAGATGGTATCTGTATATACGTCGCTGGCAAATCGTAGCACAGTGTGGCCGTCAACGCCAGTATGTTCGAAATTGATGCCAGCGCTCCCGTTCTTGCAAACGATGATCTGCAGCTTGTCGTACCACCTGTTGATGCAGGTGCCGATCTGAACGCCCTTTTCCACCTGACTGGTTCCGCATAGCATATTCTGGCAGAGTTTGGCCGCTGTGTCGGGCTCCGTGTAATCGAGACAAATCATAAACAAGGCCGAGTCAACAATCCCCAAGCAGTCTGCGTTATTGGATCCCTCTTCTCGAGTAAGAGTATCTCTCAGCCCAGACCAGATCTTTCGGTTTTCGGTACTCAAAATGCCCAAGGCGCCTTTCGCAGCATCTTGGATGGGTGTTTGTGCGGCGTCATCAATAATGGTCTGAAGGTTGATGCTCAAATCTTTTTCAGTCATGATGAGGTCATTCTGGTCGTCCAGCACATCGAACCAGTAGAATTGACCATGGCAAAGAACAACTAGATGTTTCGAGTCCGTGTCTTGCTCAATCTGGCAACCGTGTTCTGTCGGCACTCTTGATGTTCCAAAGAGTCTCGAATATTGGTACATATCAAGTGGTTTCCCTCTGAGAGTGTCTGGTGGTAATTCTTCTAATCGAACTGCTCTCACGAATTCCAATGCTGATACAACAAGGGATGCGGCCCGTGTGACTTGGTTATTTCGTGCTGGTGTCGGATCATCCTCCAAAAGGAAGAAGGGGTTCAAGTTCAAAACGACCGGGTTGTCGAAATTGAGGTACGAGTCGTACCCTGTGAACAAGTGAGTCTCTGCATCATTGATATTTGATCCACAATAGTCCGGGATGACTTACAGAATTGCTCTATATAGCTTGTCTTGCCGACGGCATACTTCTGCAGCTTCTCCTGCAAGCCGGGCCCATCGTGCTTTAGGAACTCTTGGACGGCATGTTTGGTCTCGGCGTGCTCCCTCGCGCCTTGGAGGGGCTTAAGTGCGGCAAGATATTTCTCGCACGTGTGTTCCAGATCAGGAATGGGTAACTTGGGAAGAGAGTCCTGGCCGGCATATGTGATGCCCTCGGACTTTGGTGAATCTTCCATGGCCGACAGTGTAGGTCTTTGGTTCTGAGATAAAGATTCTGTATATTTGCCGTTGGGTAGATCTGGCAAAGAACGTGGTATCGAGGATGGTTTACTGCTAGCTAAAGTCTCACCAAGAGACTTTGGCATAGCAAATATACGGACTTGAGTGGGCATGATGTGTTAGTGCTATGGATAGCCTCGGCTCTCATGTGTATAATGGGGAGACGGAGGTGCTAATGTTCAAACCGCGCAGAGCTGTGCGGTAGAAGTAGTGACAGTCTTGCAGACAATAAGATGGCATCCCACTAGAGTTGCGATTTTCAACGGCGTCGGGTATGAATGGATGAATGAGATGGGCCAATGGATCTGAGTGACAAAAAGGCAACACAAAATAACCATGTGCCTGGTCAAGATCAGGGGATTGTGCAGGGTATAAAAGCCGCCCGGGGCTTCTTAGTGAGAGATCGTGGATATCTTAATGACGATGGGGCGGGTCCACTACTGCGAACACTTGAACTCTGAAGTGAAATAAGGAAGAGGAGGGAGCTGAGTTCCGTCTGATTCTGTACCTAGGCGAATAGGTAGACAAGCAACAAGAAAAGAAGATTTCTAGTAGTGTGTGGGTCGTGAAGGGACCGTACAGCACCGCATAGCCAGACAGGCAGATGGACGGATATAGTTTCAGCAGCAAGAATGGCGTGTGGGCAACATGATTGGTCATGGGGGGTGTCTTGGGGCCGGGGATGGAAAGGTCATCCGCAGACCCGACGATAGATAATCTGGCCATGCAGGCAGTGCAGTGCCAATCTGCCGAGAGCTGGATAAAGATATCAGGGACGAGGCAAAGGAGAAAAAGTCTAGACGTACCGTGACTGCGTTAGTTTCTGATACAGTGAGACGACCAACGTGTTCGGGCCAAAGCATTGCGAGGTGATGTCGCAATGTATATTGTAGTAGTGCGTATGTAGCAATCAAGGGACGGAAGAATTGATAGACAGACAAATAGATAAAACCCCGTTGATGGTTGCGTCCCGTCTGATATGAGAAGGCAGCAGGGTGAGCGTATGTGTCGTGTACTTCTGTCTATCCTTTAGAGCTTGTCTCTTCCTCTCTGTATGTGTGTGTCAAATCACCCAGTCGGTTAGGCTTTCAAATCAATATCCGAAACCGTTCGGGAATGGATGGTGTTATGACGGCGAGTATCCCAAAAAAGTGAGGGAATAGAGCTAAGCAGACCAGGACCAGAGCATAACCAGAGTACAGTAGAGGGAAGCGACCTCCTCTCTGGTGATTCACATGTGAGGCTTGGCTTTTTCCGGCTACCTCTTAGTATATCGAAGCGGCACAGACCAGCAGCAAGCCCAGTTTGAGTGAATGCACGCGCTGACGTGGAGCGCAGCCCACCTGAGGTGCAGGTAAAGGTATTCGACACTCCAAGGCTATATCCTGTCCTGTCTTATCCAGAGCCTTGGATCCGGCCAAGCATGTGCTGGCGAGACAGATCAAAGGTTAGGTAGGTAGGTACGTAGCAGTTCCAATCAAGGTCAGAGGATCCACCTGGCGTGACTTCGAGGGCATACGGAAGTTTGGTGCCAATCCAAACCCCACGCACGCTTTGATCAAGGGTAAGTTGGAACGGAAAAGAGTCAAGAGTTGGCGTGGGTGGTCCGACGGTTTACCTAGGTAAGGTTGACTGACAGACAGACTTCTGGCCGATCGATGTCTTGAGGCTTCGGGCAGATGGATGTCTCGTGGTTGGCTGCCGGGAATACGGGGGCGGGTTCCTGGATATTGGTTGTAGATTTTTGCTTTGCTTTGTGCTGGGCTTGGGCTCGGGCGCAGGGTACTGGGTACTGGCTACTACTTGGGTTTGGCAACCGCCTGCAGAAGCGAAACGGTGCGCGCGGATCGAGAAAAATAGAAGAAGCCAACCCAACTCAGCCGACCAAAGTGGGAACAGGAAGCGCGCGAACGGGTGGGATTATATAATGAATAATGGTATTCAAACCTCCTCTTTTGCTTTCTTTCCACGCTTCGGCATACTCTTTCTGCAACAATCATCGTCCTCCCAATTGGCGAGTGAGTTGTTGAAGGGTGTCCATGTCTACACTAGAGCATGTCTCGTTTTCCAGCTAGGGGTGCGTCATTGCCTGGGCACCTGGCTGCTACCGTAGATGATAATAGGTGGTAGGTCATAGGTGAGTGAGAGCCCTGTCGACATCAGTGTCCCTCTGCCCCTCTTAGGTACGTACCCATAAAGTGCTAGTAGGGACACGGGATCCGGGGTAACTCAACCCACCCAAAGTGACCGCATTAGAGTGTCTAACCCCCAAGGTCCACCTGAATCAATGGATGGATGGAAAGATTGGATGGACGGATGGAACTGCTGATGACGAGGGGAATTTGACATGTGGGACGCTCTTTTTTTTTGGGCATTGCATCGCCAAGACTTCCGTTGCAAAACCATGTACAAATCGATGTATGTCTACATATAATCGATCAGTAATATACATACGCATGTGCCGCAATATGCGGGGTGCCAAGTCAGCGGGCAAGACACAATTGCATTAAGCTACAGGTACCTACATATCTAAAGTAGGTAAATATCGGCTTGCCTCTCACATCAACTTCTTTTTGAGCATGATCTTGCCTTGAATCAACAGTCGCCGCAGCGCTAGTACCATGGAATATCATTATCTTTGGTCAAAAAGGCCCGCGACAACGGGAACTGTATAGGTATGATACAAATCTTACACCTGGTACAGCTTCGTAGATCTCTAGCACGCCTACATACCGGCTGGGAAAAAAAAATACTGACCTAACCTATGGTCGATTTCGCCGCCGCGGCTCATGATCGGTGTCAGCTGCTGGAAACTCTCACAACGGGGCACACGAGTCTGCCGCCTTCAAAATCGAGTCATGTTCTTAAGTCAGCATGAAAAATGCACCAGAATGTCAATTCCAGCCACAGAATCCGTTCTACGCCATCCGCTGTGCATAAATCACCACAAATTCATCGGAGCCAGCAGTGTGTAAGCAAAAGGCCCGTGATGGAATACAGTATCTTGAGCACCCACAGAGCTTATGGCGTTGTCGAGACGGATAGAGGACTCGATTTTCGGACGGGAAATATTATATTTGCCTTTAGCCAAAGTATATCGAATACCATTGAAAATACTTAGTCCCAAGAGTCTATTCAGCGGTCAAAATTTTTTAATAATATCATAGCACAGTTATCAATTCCAAAATTAGATTATATTTCAAAAGTGTTTGATTCTAGACATTATATTCTCAAATCCTTATAAGCAGCCAGCTTCAAAATGCATCGCTCAGTGCTGGGCTGTTTTGGTTGACCATGCACATACCGGTATTCTCACACTTCCAACTACTCTTGACATGTTGCAAATGCATTCGCGACTTCGAATCAGAGTCGTTTGATGGCATTTTCGGGATGGAAAATATGAATCTTGCAGGTGAGAGGCAGCCACTATTCAGACATCCTCTCTAATGTATTTTCCCAAGTCTCCTTCTCGGATAAGCCAGAACTTCATGTTTGTCAGACTGGACGACAGTAAACTGCCTCTAAACCAATTCTGCCAAATCTGCTGTATGATATTTTCATCTTGGGTACGTGGAGTGGCGTCGTGTCTTTGATATCGTTCCAAGATTTCACGTCGATCGACCTCATCGTCCAGACTGAGCCTCCCTATCGTGCTCATCACCACATCGTTGGGTTCATTATGTCTAGCTCTGCTCAGCCTCCGTCTTGTCGCATAATCCATCGCACCAGGAACCAGAGGAGCCTCGCCACCCATAAGAGCGTGCGTCAACTCATCGCCTTCGGTGACACAGACCAGTACCCGTCCGTTTGGCGGCTTGATGCGATCCACCACATGGAACAAAGTCCCGAAAACTTGTTGCGATCCACTCTCGCCGTGTCTCAATGCACGAAACGCAACAGCCACCTTTTTGACACGCTTGGTTTCCTCACGATCGAGAAAGTAAGTCATGGGACTGTTGAACCCTGCCGATGTGCATGGTTCTAGCTCGCCAAGCAGGAACAGAGCATCCTGCTCAAAGTTGAAGTAAATCCGTGGTTCAGTCCACTGCGGAGTGACAATCCCTAGTGGTTCCTCATGGCCATGCAATGGCGGTACTATGTCGAGATCTGCCAGGACAGTCGGCACTTTCCAGCCAAAAGCCAGCTCATAGTGCGCCAGCGCCACGGTTCGGGCTTCGTGATTGACGTGAAGTAGTGCTGGAACAAGACGACACGAGGGTCGCGCAGTGAGCTCAGATTCAGCTTCCGAAGCCGTTTCGTGATCCTGACAAGTTATCAAAATGATCCGCGGCAGGAGGAGGTGGCTCCATATCTGTAAACGCAGCTCTGCCGGTAGCTGGGGAAACTGAGGAAAGGAATCAGGAGTAGATGAGGCAGGCGGCACTAGACCATCGCTGTGCACCTGAAATCTCAACCAAAATCTGGAGTTGACAGGTCCGGCTGCCATGATTTGCTGGGGTTTATCGAGGCTCCGTGTGGTGGCAGACGCATGCGGCTTTGTGAGTGGAGCTTTGCGCTGTTTGGGACTCTCCGGGGAGTAGCCGGCTCTCCCTCGATTTCACGATTCGACTTTCGGACGAGGTGCAGCTCATGTCATGACCTTGGCGTACAGTGTAATCTGGAGGGGAGAAATCTTGACATGACCACCCAACAAAAGAATGCAGATGGTGGTTACGATTGATAAGGTGGGTTGAGTTCCCTCCCTGGCGTGGATGGAAATCCAATCCAAGAGCGAGGAACGAATGTCGGGGGTTCGAAGGAAATGCTCCGGTTGGTTAGGTGGAACCTGCCGTCATTAAAAGACAATGGCAGCTTTTGGTCTTACAGTGGGGTCCCAGAAATACTCGGTCCACCCCATTTCCCAGCCACCCGATTATACATACATACACGACTTCGCTTATACAAAACTCTATCAATTTCTATGGTAAAAACAAAAAAACACTATATATCGCGTCCTCTCACTATGCAGATTAAAATCTAGTATACCATTTACGCGCTAGCTTTACGGCGGTAAGCCGTTTCTTTATAAAGTTAATTAATTTAATAATATAACTGCTTAGAATTGCCTCCTACGCCGCATGCAAACAAATGGTGAAATATTTTATATTTGCTATGTTTTTCTTAAGGTCCTAGAGCTTTAGGAATATTTTGCGAAGGTTCTTTTTAAATGCTATTCATATCCATTCGATAAGGTTAAGATCTAGGCTGTGTGGTGGCCAGCCCTCGTAAACAGCCACACCGTATTAGAGGAATTATTGCTTTATAGAATCCGATTTATAAATAAAGGTATTATCCTGCTAAAATATTTGCTAATCTTTATATTACGGTAAAAAACCTTCCTTTAAGCATTTTTAATAACTTTATAAAGTAAATTTACGTTGCCCTCCTTTAAAACCGGGCGTTAAGTCCCGGGTTATTATTATTAATAGGCTGCGCTTGCTTATATTTATACCACGTATTTTCTCGGCTTAAATCGACCTTTAAATTATAATGGAAATATTAGCTTTAATATAGTTTTTAAGGTTTACGAATTCTTTTTTAAATTTTTTGCTCGGGTAACGAAAAACCTACGCGGTTAGGCTCGAAAAGGAGTTTTAGCAAAAGGATTCGTCGGAATAAATTATTTATGCTATTAGCTATAGCGCGTTAATAATTTTATATATACGTACCGCTTTTACCTCGTTTAAGTTTTATAATCCTTAATATATAAAGGTATATTTAGCCCTAGCGTTTTTTTTAGATAATAGGATTTTTTTTAGGACCTTTATTTCCGGAGTTTTTTTTTTTAAAGTTGCCGTCGTACCGTAAATTTGGATATATTAAAGGGTAGATTTTAGATTATATTTTTTTACGACGCGTTACGGTTCCTTTTGCAAATTATAAGCATGCTACGTCGCTAACGGTCCGTAAAACCTTTACGCTTTTTATTAGGTTTTTTTAAAAAAAATTTATAAAGTTTAAGCTGGTTTTTCTAGCGTTAAATAAAAGAGCGGCTAATACGAAAGCGACGCGCGATTTCGCGTTAAAATATTTTATTATAGTATAGCCCTAACGCGAAAGCCTTTTTCTTCGGGGAAAAATCTATACCGGGCTTCTAATCCCGTAAAATGGGATTTAAAATTTCGTCCAGTTTATCGGCCATTTTAAACGTGTTGTGGTAAAAAAGAAAAGAAGGTGTAAGTCGCGTATACCACGCGTAACGCGACTTTTTAAGTGGGTGGACCGAGTAAAATTGATACCCCACTATATCTTAGTCATCTGGCGGACAGGGGTCGGTTCAAATGTTAATGATTAGTTGCCTATTATCAGACATTTCATGATTGAATTTCCTCCGTCTTGCAACACCTTGTTCATTGCCAAACACACAAACCGTAACTTTGGGTGGAATATCTCGAGCATTACAACTTGCAAAGAAAAAAAAAACAAATCAACCGGGTGCCAAGCTCATGATGTGTTGTTATTTACTTTATACTTCGGCAAAGGCCGTCCGCGCCGGCCGTAAGAGCTAACGTTAATTCATTCTTCCTCCCTCCTCACGTCCTCCTGCCGTGTGGTCTCGACTCTCCACGCTCAGGGCCTGATAAGATCGGTGATCCGCCATGGATTGCCATGCAAAACGAAAAGCTTGGGGCGCCACAAACCTCCCCAAGCCTTTGGGAAGGGAAGACCGAGTGTCTCGAGGATGACATGCGCCACAAAGAGAACCATATTTAACACCTGCTGAAGATAAAAGGTCGGTATACTCCAACCGACCAGCAACGCAAAGCCAGCATTTATCTTGGTTGATCGCCGTAGCCTCACACGGCCTAGCACGTGGGAGAGATACCCCGGCCTGGCACCTGGGCCTCGCTGGCGGTACCATACAGACCACTGTGGATAGAACCACCATTTGATAAGCAGGCCGTCATCATAGAGGAAGAATCCTGCCACAGTTGCCATCCATAGGGCAAGTACTGGCCAGATTGAACTGTTTGTTTGGCTCAAGATGCACCGTCCTCCGATCGCCGCCGTAGCCAACAAGTTGAGCTGAACCAAAGCGACACACGTCACCGGCAGCCTAGGCTCGCAGCCAATGCGCCGTGCTACACTTTCCATGAAAGCATTGTAATCTACCAAAGTTCTGAGGTTTGGACTGACATGATAGTATTCACTCGCGGCTTTCGAATCACGCTGTGCCTGGTCGGCATAGTCAAGAGGCAAGGCTCTGCTACCACGTAGTAGCAAAGCGATGTAACGGGACAGCATCTCAGCCACGGCAGGAATGCCTCCCTGATGAGGCCGGGCATATCCTACAAAGAAGAGGCGCTGCCCTAGACCTTTAGGGAAGCAATGCAAAAACCAAGACCGGGGATTCGAGCTCAAGTCGTTGATCTTCAGCCAACCGAATTCGGAATGATAACCGGTGCAGAGGACAATGGCATCAAAGTCTCGCTGCACTTTACGTCCATTCTTGAGAGTAAACTCGCATGTTTGCCCCCGACTTGACACATTTGGGCTGACCAACACATCGATATACCCGTCATGTATCGCCTCGCACAGCCGCTGATTCTTCGTCACGTACGTGGCCTGGTCATTCATGATCCAGTCTGCCTCGGTTGCTTCCAAGGACATTTGTCTCAGAGCTTTGTTGAGTATTGGCGTATGCCACAGAATCCTCCTCCAGACGCCGTATGCGTATGCGTTTTGACCCGCACTCATGCGGTTCGTTGTAGCTGCTTCGAGAAAACCATTGGCGGGAAAGTTTTGTGATTTGTTGGCTTCAATTTGGCCCATCTCGCTAGCCTTGGTGAGGTATCGAGGGCCAACACAAACAGCTCTCCTGAGCCAGAGAGTCACATTTGGCGACAATTCACCGAGTTCGGCAGATATGTCGGAACCACTTTCACCACCGCCAACGACGAGCACACGCAGGTTGTTGTTCGCCACTTCGCGTTTGAATGTCTCATCGTAATGACTGGAATGTATGATTCTCCCGCTGAAAGCAGCAAGTCCGCTTGGGGCATCCTTTGGTACTTGGTTGGCTCCAGTCGCAACGATAAGAGCATCTGCCTCGACCAATGACGAGACGTCATCAGGAATGGACTTTTGAAGTGTTTCAATATTCCAGGTGATCCCATTCAACCTTGCGCCTACAACTTTGGTGTCGTATTTGATGAAACGCTCGAGCCCGAAATGACTAGTATACTTGTGCAGATAATGCAAGTACTCCTCGCCTGTCGAATAGCGTAGCCTTGTGGGATCGGGAAAGTCAGAAAATGCCATTGCCCAGTTGGAAATTGTGAGGTGCAAGTTTGGATAAACGGCCGAGCTGGCAAAGGCGCCACCGAGAGTTGACGACTTTTCAAACAAAATCGCCTCATGTCCAGCTTCCCTCATTTCTTTCAATGCTGCTAGTCCACATGGACCAGCTCCAACGATCACGACACGCTTCATTTCGATGGCAGACAATCTCAAACACAACAGCAGTGAGGTTCATTTGAAACTGACAAGATATGCAACACGAGGATACTAGACTTTATATAATGTTTGTTGTCCTGGCCAACTTGTGTCATATTGAGTGTGCGCCATGCTCGCTTATGTCTGATAGGACCAGGCTGCCTGGATCAGGTATGCATTTTTCCCTACGCGAATGTCAATATTCCGTTTTCTGAGTCCGCTTTCGTGGGCACCACATCTTGAGCCACGCCAAGACCTTGATTCATGCGGGTAAGCTGCTTGTCCTTCTCAGCTCCCCTACGCCATATCAGTTATCACAATGGTTATCTACAACATGACTCAGATTTTAGTGCCCTTTCAGAGTCTCCCAATCACAGTAAACGTTTTTTGTCGAATACCAATACTTGTAGTCGTGGTTATTGTGACTAAAAAAACATATACTCGTGCAGCAAAACACTTTGTCGACATCTCGTATTCTTATTCTCTGGGGTTTGGCCATCTTGAATCTTTCGGACAAGCGAGCGGGGGGTCACTGCTTTGGGCTTGTTTCCACTTAATCACGGGGCATGGATATCTTGGCCGATCTTTGACTGTATCTGGTATTGTCGGATGCTCTTATTGGTTTCCAACGCCATGTTATGATGCATCGTGTTATGGTTATGCGTTGGTGCTTACAAGTGCATGGCCCCCTTGCCTCGCTCTGAGAAGACCATCGCGGTCAACATAACAAACCCAAGCGCCTGTTGGGGGGCATACTATCACTGCAGGGATCATCGATAAGTCCAGCGAAGATGGCGCCAGCCATGGCTGATCACAAGATTCCAAAGAGGCTTGGTGATACAGACATCGATCAGGCTGTGAGAAGCGTGGCTTCGGCTAACATGCCGACCGAACCTTTGAGATGTTCTGTTCAGAATTCCATTCTCAAAACGCAGCACTTTTACATATCTCCTTATGTAGCAAAAGAAAACATACCAGGCAACACGGACGGAATCCACCATGTCAGCACTCACTCCCAAGGAGGCTGCCCTTCAGCTGCGCAAAGTCTTACAACTTTTGACCACAGCTATCAACGACATTGCATCCCGTTGGGAGAGCGAGTCTCGGGACGAAAATGCTGTTGAGATACGGTACAATGGTACGACACAACATACAGCCCAGGATCCTGTCAAGGTAGCGCTGGCAGCTATGGGCCACGTCGAGAGCTTAATCACGGAACCTCACAGACTCGTCGTGGACATGTCCACCTCGTATCTGATATCACGGGCTCTGCACATTGTGGCCGATCACGATATTGCCGGGATCATTGCCGCGGCCAACGGGGCCGATGGGGTTCATGTCGAGGAGCTCGCACGGCTGGCTGGTATGGAGCAAGACAAGCTTTGTAAGTTGGGTGGAATAGCCTTTGGTCGTGCAAAGACTGTAAAAGCTTTCTCGACTCATCATGGGATCCGCAAATAGGCCGTATCATGAGAGCTCTCGTGTCTCATCATGTTTTCCAGGAAGTGGAAGAGAGACGATTTGCGAATAACCACGTCTCGGAAACTCTCGCGGGCGACCCCGCGTTCAGAGCGCATATTATGATGAAGTAAATCCCATACAGATCTGCGAGTTGAAAGTAGTCTATTGACATTGCTGGAAATCCAGGGGACGGGTTCACTATGCGGCCAGCGACCATCTACCGAGCATAGTCAAAGTCAAGGGTTCTGAAGTGCAGCATGATTCCGAGGCCAGGAAGACTGCCTTTCAAAAAGCTGTGAGAACCGATTTGTCCTTGTTTGACTGGATGAATCAGGAAGTGCCGGCTCATGACACGGATTGGCGGCCGCGACTCAAGAACAACGAGATATCAATTATCAGCTATTCTGACAAGGACGCCATTCCGGGTAGCCCTGTGAAAACGGTGGCTCGGCCGGAAAAGTTGCTCTTCCATCAGGCCATGGCAGGGCTGGACAGAGGACAGGGACACTTTTATCTCGGCGCATATCCTTGGCGTGATCTCGGTACTGGAACAGTCGTCGATGTCGGAGGCGGAATTGGTACGCACTGCAAATTCTTCTCTTGCCCATTTCTCTAGCAATAGTCCTTGTCTGAAAAAAATATAGCAAGAAGCTTTTGTTGAAAGCATCAGCTGACCTATCTTCGGATTGAACAGGCTCGTTTTGCATGCAGCTCCACGATATCTACCCAGCTCTCCAGCTGGTTGTCCAGGACCGCGAGCCGGTGATCAAGCAGGCGATATCGGTTTGGCAGTCCAAGTACCCCGAAGCTCTGAACTCGGGCCAAGTCAAGCTCTCAGTCCATGACTTCTTCATGCCTAACCCCGTTCAGGGCGCTGATGTATATTGGCTGAGATATATCTTGTACGTTCTCCAACCAACATGGCTGCCTCATCTCATCTTTTGGGAGCAAGCGGAAACAAACAACTTTTCAGACTCAACGTCCTGACACGTCCTAGACACGACTGGCCAGACAATCAAGTCGCCACCATTCTCGGCAATATTGCCAAATCCATGACTGCCTCATCCAGGCTGCTGATTGCAGACATCATCGTAACCACGACGGTCCGCACCAGTCTCGACGGCGATGCCTCGACGGCCGTCGCAGCGCCCCCTCCACTGTTAGCCAACTACGGCCAGGCCGCTGCGCATGCTCACCTCATGGATCTCAACATGATGATGATGGTCAATGGGCGGGAGAGGACGCCGGCAGAGCTTGCGATGCTGGTTCAAGCCACTGGGCTGGAGATTGTGCGGATCTGGCAGGGCTGTGCGGCTGATGCCTTGGGAGTCGTCGAGTGTCGTCTCGCAGTCTAGAAACGACAGACACGAGATTCTCTTGGACTTATTATTTGATGGGAATATTGGTATACACATTTCCTGACCAGAGAGCATGAAAGAAGACTATAATCAATGTGTGGACAAAGCAGTAAGCGGTTGGTAATTGGTACTGTTTACAAATGCATAATTCTGGTGACATATTCATAGAAACAAGGAGAAAAAAAAAACACCTCTCTAGTGACCCTCGAAATAACTACAAGAATACACACGCAAAGAAATTTGCTCAAGGCGAGATTGCCCAAACAGCTGTAAACACAAACGGATAGGGCATTAGCCAATTCTAAAAACCCAAGTCTCATCGTTGCTGACGGGGGACCTGCAAAAACTCCATGGCACAGCATCACGTAACCATCACCTGGCATTCTCGGTCTCATATCGTTCGTTGTCTTCGTGACTTTGGTCAGTATGCGTCTCTGATTGACGTTTGCTGGCAATCTCAGATTACTAGCATCCGTGAAGCCATTACAATCCACCGGGAAGAACCTTGAGACCAGTCTTCTCTAGTCATCACCGTCACACCGCCGAGGGTACAACGAGGAATACAAGTCATCATTATCCGTCCCTACCAATTGCCAAACCATGTCAACCCTACGCAACCCTGTATTTGCCAATGACACCGGTGAAATCAGAAATGAAACAACGAATGCAGGTGTGTATGCGGGTATCGTGAGAAGAATCCAAGTCGTTTAGCAGCAACCACCGCTGGATGAGGAAGAAACGCTGTGACCAGGACCAACTTGGACACCAGGCTTGGTGTTTGTCGTAGCCTGCGATCCCATGCGCTCCTTGATCTGGCGGGCCATGGTCAAGAAAGCCTGCTCGACGTTGGAGGCGTTCTTGGCCGAGGTCTCCAGGAAGGGGATGCCAAGGCTGTCGGCAAACTCCTGTAAACAGTGTAAGCATTCGAATATTGAGCTAGAGGTGCTAAGATGCATGAATATGCAGCAAGTTGAAGTTCTTACCTTTGCCACAGTGTACTCGACAACCTTCTTGTCGGACATATCGCTCTTGTTACCAACAAGGAGCTTGTTGACGCCCTCGGTGGCGTAGCGGTCAATCTCCTGAAGCCACTGCTTGACGTTGTTGAAAGAGTCCATGTCGGTCACATCGTAGACAACGCAGATACCGTGGGCACCACGGTAGTAAGAGGAAGTAATGGTGCGGAAACGCTCCTGGCCGGCGGTGTCCCACTGTTAAGGTCCATGTCAGTTGAATGCAGCTAGCTGGCGGACGATATGGTCAAGGCTTACGATCTGGAGCTTGACAGTCTTGCCGTCGAGCTCGATGGTGCGGATTTTCTGAAGGACCAGGTTAGCACGCAAATAATACCCCAAGCATATTGATTTGCGATACTTACGAAGTCAACACCAATCGTGGAGATGTAAGACTCGGTGTATGTGTCGTCGGCGAAACGGAGCAGCAGACAAGACTTTCCGACACCGGAGTCTCCGATCAGGAGAAGCTTGAAGAGGTAGTCGTATCTAAGCAAAAGTATGGTCAGCATCATTTCCAATCTGGCTATGGCGCTTGACAAATGCCCTCATCATCATCATACGCGAGTGGGGATTTCTGAAGAAGAGCCTTGGCACGCTTTGCAAGGTCGTCGTTCTTGTAGGGCAGAGCGTCGGAGGTCTGCGGATAAGGCTGGCGCAGATTGTTGAGGGCGCGATCCTGAGCATATTGGGAGTATTCGGGATCATCTTCCTCGTGGTGAACATCAACCACAACAAAGTTGCCGCCCAGACGATCAGGAGCGGCCTTGCCGCGATGCTTGTTGCTGGCCATCGTGTTTTTGATGGGGTGCTCTCAAGTCGTATTGAACTGGACTTGGGTGTGATGGAGCCGGGGAAGGTCGCAGGAGATGGCGAATGTAAAAAGAATGTGCTCGAATAGATCCATCCGGGTGTGTCAACTTGCTCTCCCACTTGGAGAGCCGGAGGGGCAACCACAAGCCACGCGCAGCCGCAGAACTGTAGGACCGGAGGGGCAACCAGCCGCGAGGGGCAGCATGGTTGAAAGAAAGAACTCTAAAGATGGTTAGTCAGCTTGATGTTCTGGAGGTGTGTCGACGACGACGACGATGGCAGCATGAGGGCACGGTGAATGGCGCCGAGGTGGACGTGGACGTACTACTCAGGATTCATCTTCGCGGTGAAGGCTTTCTTGGGCCGGTGAGGTTGGTAAAATGGAAAAGTAGAGGGGAACGGGACAAGCGACGACGGGCCCGGTAACTGCAAAGCACAAAGGCAAAGTAAATGCTTCTGTTTGATGGAAAGCGACTGAGGAGGCCCTTTGATTCGTGTGTGTTTTGGTGATGGGTTGGCGATGCACTGAGGAGTGATTCGGAGATGTCGTCAGTTGGCGGTCGATCGATTAGAGGGAGGATTAAAAGAGACAGACAGGCACACACACACGCACACACTTGGACTTGACACTGCGTCAAGGAGCGTCAAGGAGATCAGAGCAGTGAGAGGCGCTAAATAACAGCACCCAGTTTAAGGTATCAACCAGCACAGCCTTGGTCAAAGCAGCGGCGTAATTGGTTCGGTTGGGGGCCCCTCTAGCGTATCTAGGTATCGCTGCGATAACAATGAGGCGCCGATCCCCTTCTTGAGCCTAAAGCCCTTGTGGCTGACAGACACCTTTTTTCGCCTGGCTCTGCAGGCTGCCCAAAGTATTACACCCAGTTTACCCTACCTGCGTTACCTACCTTGTAGGCTACAGGCACGGAGTGCCGCCTGTTTGTTGGCCACCTCGCTCATACATAGGGGAGAGAAGTCATGAGGCGTAAGCCTGGCCTTGAACAGAGAAAGGGGAGGTGGGGAGTACCAACACCTGGGGTTGTCACAGGGCAGTGGATCAGCGATGAACCAGCTGACGACAGCAGGCACCGGGTTTCCTTTCTATTCACTCTACAAGTTAACATTGATTCACCATGAACGTGACTCTTTTCAAAGATACGGGAATACGTCATTTCTTTGATCACTTCCTCTTTCACCAAGTGCCATTACGCAGACAAGAAGAGAAATAGCATTCAAAGCTGCTAAACAGTTGAACTGGTATGTAAGGCACGCCATGATTGGCCTAGGCATAATTGATATCCGTCACTATACTTTCAGTCCTTATTTGCATTACGATGATGGCATGAATATACAAAGTCACCGTCTTTGTCCATTTAATATTGCTTATTTGTTGAGAGCTAGGACGAAAAAGACAGCAGTATAAGTAATCTCACTCTCTCTATATAATACTCTTTCTTTACCTTGAGCCAAGCATTGTTCATCAGATAATCATTCGGTGAAACTATAATAATACACTACTCTAGTATTCCGTAGAACAAACTTGTCTCCATTTCTTCTTTCCAGAATCCAATACTGAGCATGCTACAGCTCTAGTGGATTCAAACGCTGAAGAAGATCCCTGTCTAGAACTTTCCTGAGACCCAGTCGTTCGGGAGCTTGACAGCGGGGGACCCCCCGGCCTTCCAGCTCTCCAACAGCCCAGTCAGCCCATTGCTATTCAAATGTGTACCGAAATTTGTCGGGACAAAGCTTCACTTACATCATTGTCATTCCTTCACACACATCCCAAAAAGTTTCTGCTTATGCTTTCCTGAGTGATCACGCAACCATTTGACTTAGCCAAGGACCCCCCCAATGCAGGCCATCTTGCAAGCGCCCTATTCGTGTTGATGACACTCTCCCAACATCCAACTGCCCGCAAGGCGCCGGACCGATGTCCCTTTCCAGCAGCCTCGTACGGTCGCCGTCCTATATACTGAGCTCGGGCTCGAGATCGAGTAGGGCCGCCGCCTGGAGGACGACCGCTCTGCCCTATTTTGCCTCGGCCGGCCCGGTGATAACTTCCATTCCTTCCACTACTACTTCCAAGTCGCTCACGACATTACCCACTACTTCTTCGTCTGCGCAGCCGCCAGTGCCGCTCACTCAAAAAGACCTTGCGCCGATATGGTTCGATTCGACCAATCCACTCCGCGACCGGCCTCAGGGCCTGGATCCCAAGAATCCGGAGAATGAGCGCAAGGTCAAGCTAGGAAAGAGTATGTTGAACCTCCAATCTGTATACACTCGACACTACATTGTCTGACCTGTATATAAATTATGTAGCTCTGCGCATTCTGCAAAAGCGCCTCCCAACGGTCCTGCAGACGCCACTGCCGCAGGAGATTCTCTCGCCCAACATCTCCCTCCACCTCTTCCCCTCCACCCACCCTTACCTGCCGACGGTGTCGGGCCGCGTAGCCTACACGGCGGCCGTGTGGACGTCGCCGATTGCGTGGAACAGGGTGCCCATAATCGGCAACCTCAAGATTGAGATCCTCTCGGAGCGCATGACGACGCAGCCGCTGCACTTTTCGCCGCAGCGCACGGGCGCCTACCCGGAGCAGCTCGTGGTAAAGTGGCGGACGGCGTCGTCGTCGTCGTCATCGACGGACCAAAAGGACAATCCCAGCTTGACGGAGCAAGGGGAGCAAAAGCTCGACGAGACCCTTAGCGGCGCCCGGCGGCGCGGCTCCAAGCGCGAGTTTACCGGCCTCTTCATCTTTGAGTTTGATCGCGAGGGCAAGATTATCAGCCACACCATTGAGCATGTTGACCAGAGCGGCGAGTGGGACAAGGGCGTCGGCGCAAAGGTGGTCCATCTGACGGATTGGCTTCTGGGCGAGCTTAGGGGACGACAGCCACAAGGGACTTGCCCAATGTTTCAAATTACCGAGGATCACGACAGGAAAAGGCGTAGGTAGGAGGTAATATGCCAGGCCGAAAAACAAAACATGAAAAGGGTTCCTTGATACCCGGCGTTTCCGAGAAGAACTGTTACGTTTCTGTGTATAGATTAAGGCACGCGGATTTTGCACACAATTGGAGTTTTGGAACTGTAACATGGCATGAGGGGGCATACTGCTTTGAGTATACTTATCACCACTCCGTTTTTTTAGACATCAATGTACATCACAATGTATTCAATACCAACCATATACTATTGATCTTCAGACTGAACATTCAGACTACATGGCATACTAGAAAAGCAGGTTGAAGCCACAAAAAGGGATACATGGACAGAAAACCGAGATATTATTATCAATTTGCAAGTTTCCAATGTCCACGTTAATACATTATATGACTCTCCAGTTATTGTATGCCAATCTTGCTCTATGTAACCCAATGTGATGGTATCATGTCTATGCCTAGCCATAAGTTTGTGCAATCAATACATGTCTACTTCTTCGTCTTATCAACCGCCTTCACGCCAGCCATAGTCACTTCGAATTCGACTGCATCCTCGAATCCAGGTCCGCTAGATTTTGCATGAGGCGCAAAAACAACCTTCATCCACCGCTTCCAGTTCTTGAGGTACACATCGGTGCTGCCTTCCTCTTCGATGACCTGCTTGCGCCCGTACACTGGCCGCTTGAGCAGAGCGATGCGGCAAGCGAGCTGCGTCGACCAGACGAGGCCCAAACTTGGAGTCTTGAGGGTGTAGTCGGCGTACGGGTCGTCGCCCCAGCCCGTGAACCAGCGCTGCTGATGGTCGAGGAGTAGTGCCGGCGGCGCATACGGTTCCTCGGGCGGCGGCTCCGGCAGGCTCGATTTGATGAACTCGGGGGGCATGCTGGAGGTGGGCTCGGCAGTCGGCAAGGGTCCGTTGTGCCCTTTGCTCCGCTTGGCGAGCGGGCTCTCCTGGGGAATCGGTCCGGTTGGTAAAGGGTACGGCAGGCTGCTGCTGGCGGTGCTTCGCTTAGAAGCGGCCAGCGCAGCCGAGCTCGAGTCGGAGAAACGGTCGCTGACCTGGTTGGAGACGACCACGGCGAGATTATGCTTGCGAGCGAGCTCGTGTAAGAGTTGCCCTAGGCGGACCAGCTCGTTGCTCCGGGTGCCCATGTTAAAGCCGCCGGAGCGCTGAGTGGTGCCTCCACTGCCACCGCGTTCGTACTCGGCGCGATAATTGGCCGTCACCGAGTCGATAATAACAAGGCCAATGTTGCGACGCTCAATCTCCACGGGCACCTGAAAGTTGAGGATATGGTCCTGTGACTCAAGGTCTGGAGTCACGGTGCTAATGACCTGATCCAGAGAAGGCTTGGTGTCAGGATCCATGTCCTTGAAGAGCGGGTGAAACCGTAGGATTTGCGACAGACGTTTGGTAGAGAGCGGTGCCTCTGTCGAGATGTACAAGGCAGAACGGCCAAGCCCGTGAGGCGGCGGTAGCTGCGCAGCCAAGAGCAGAGTCAACAGGAACTGAGTCTTGCCGACACCGCTTTCACCAGTGATCTCCGTGACCTGGCCGGTTGGGATGCCACCTCCCAGAGCATGATCGAGATTCTCGTCCAGCGTACTGATGCAATTCCATTGCTTCACCACATCGTCGCCCGTCTGCCTCCGAGGAGTCGATGTCTTGGGTGCCGCCGAGCCCGATGCGCCCAAGTCGGCATGCAGAGCACCGAGGACTGCATTACATAACCGTCGAATGTCCAACAGAGGAAGCTTGGTCCGCTTGCCTAGCTCCGCAACATCGAGGGTGATCAAGTCGGTTGTAGTCAACTGTTGCTGCTCGACTTTGGCCAAGATTCTTGCATAGGGCTCCGCTGGAAAGTCCGGGAGAATGCGTGACAGATCCGTCATGTGGGCTGACACATTTCAAACCCAAGACCGTTCCCCGTCAAAGGTGGCCTGGGTCTGTCTGTCCTGTCTGGTGGAATGATTTCCCAAGGTATTTGCACTCTCTACTACCTAGGTATGAGGTAAGTAATGGAGCCTCGGTGTAGAATCTGGCCAGCTCGGTGATCGATTCGTCTTGGGTGAAGTGAATGTGAGCAGGCACCAATCAGGTGTCGATGCTTTGCTTGCTTGAGACTGGTACACAGTAGACAGGATGCCAGCCACGACGCGCAAAGGGTTCAGCCGTTGGCAACTTGGCGACAATGACTGGAAGCGAGAGTTTGGATCTGCAATATTTAGACTCGAACCAGATAGTCTCCAATCAAGACCCTGTCAGCTCTCGCTAAAGTTGTCTGTTTGTGTGTTAGAAACATCCACTGGAAATGCTTCTGTCGTGTTGCATCTTCAGCGGGGTCCATGTACTACTTACTGCCTAGCTCACAGCTGCTAGGCAGCGTAGCGCGGAATTGGGGCCGTCGTCTCTAATAGCAGATTCCTGAACCTGAACCTGCACCTGTCAGTCATCCATTTTCTTTTTTTTCATGTCTCATGATGCACAGCAGCAATTGGCCCCTGACTGTCAAAATTGAATCATTAAATAAATATGTAAAGATATAAATGATAGGTCGTTTCCAACTAGAGTTTACGTTTTGCAAATCCATGTGTGACAAAAGTCCCTACGCTGAGTTGACAATCAATTGATGGCCAACACGGTCCAACCCACCCATCTGAACATGACATTCGATACAGACCCAGGCTTTATTTGTCGGTCATTACAATAATACGATACATCTTTCAGCCTCTAGATGGCTAGCTGAAGTGTAACTCGAAAATGGCACCACTTTACTTTCATCGACTGCCGCTCTCCCCCAGGGTTGGTTTCGTAGAGAATCATCAATTTCTTTCATAATCGGCTCCATCAGCATCACGACTGCCGACAAGAGTGACTAATAACAACAATTTCAAGAAACAATGATCCTATCACCATCAGTGGTTTATTCAAAGTTTTATGCATATTTCCGTTCCCCTGCCCCCAGACCCAGTATCCCTTGGCGGGACCTCAGCTCTTTTCCGCTTTGGCTTCGTGGCGCTTTTCAGCTCCTGCAAACACGACTTATACGACTCCACGCCTCGCTTGGAAGGTCTGCGGATCTTGTTCACTAGTTTCTAATCTCCTTCACGCGTGCTCCCCCAGGATAGGCTAAGCAGAATAGACTTTTGGGCCAGCTGGGCCTCGAGGCTGAATTTCATAGTCTCCCCGGTTTAATGGATGAAAGCTTGCCCGTTGATGCCGAAACGGTCTGTCTGGACCCTTGAAAAGTGCCTCGCCCTGCATGATAGACACCGCATCTTGGTAGTAGGGAAGAGGAGCAGATATTAGCTGCACATACTGCGTGCTCGGGTTTTCAGTCCATTTACACAGAGGAATTACCGGCAACAAAGAGTAACTGGTCGTCTCTTTTGTTTCTTTTCTTCCCTTCTTCCACTTTCCCACTCCTCTCTGCCATCTTGAACCTGTTGATAGATACTTTGAGGCTCCCTGATTTCCTCAACGGCAAGGCACATTCTCATACAAATATATGCTCTCCACTATCGACCGTGTCCGTGAAAGATACATGGCCTCTCTACTCGTTGCCGCCGTGTTCGGCGCAGCTGTCCAAGCTATAGCATTAGAGTCAACGATTGCTCGACCAACAGACGCCTCGATACCACACCCGACCTTCCAGCTTCCAGAAGTGACGGAACCGCCTAGTCCTTCCGTAGTTCGTGAGCTTTTGAAGAGAGCAGATGTTCAGACTGTTCTCGTCGGTCCGGATAATACTTGTGGTTATGTCAGCGGACTGATTGGTATGGATTCCTATATGGTGCCTCGACTTACACATGTTCCGCTAACTCCACCATTGTAGGCGCCGCTTATACTTGTGGTGATACAAATGGGTACTGTGCATTTGTGACTACTGCCAATGTCGGCTATGTAGCTTGTTGTGATGAATCGAGTTGTGGTTTCCGTGTCGACTGTATGGACGCGGAACAGGTCGAGAACGGCGTAGGTGCATTTCTTCAATCTTCCTTTAGTATCAAGGCCATCAGATTTACTAACTTGTCCGTTTCATACAGGATTGTAATAATGGTTGTATGAACGATATTTATACTGCCAAATGGTAATCCTCACCTTCGTTCTAAATAATGATTGAAATCATTGCCACTGACATCCATCTACAGTACGGATTCCTCTGCACCATACTGCGGCACGATCCGGTTCTCGACCAGTATCTCGGATTACTTCTGTCACTCGCTCAGCTACTCCACCGCCATGGACGCCCTCACCACCTGGATCGGCGAGAACGATGGCCGATCCTATTCCGAGGTCGTCGTGACCCTGACGTCGAGCAACTTTGGTACTCAGACGAGCAACGACGGGCTAGAGTCCTCCACGACGAGATCCGCCAGCGGTGCTTCATCGTCAGGCAGCAGTAGCGCCTCGAGCGGGACGAGCAGCGGGACGAGCAGCGGCAGCAGCAGCAGTGGTACTAGTGCCAGCGGAGGACAGAAATCATCAACCAACATTGGCCCCATTGTCGGCGGTGTCGTGGGCGGCGTGGCTGTCATTGCCCTCATCGCCCTGGGCATATGGCTCATTCTCCGCCGCAACCGGAAGCAGCAGGGTATGCCGCCGCCGGCGCCTTCAATGGCCCAGTATCCCCCGACGCAACAGCCACCCTCTGGATACGCTCCTCCTCCGGGTGCCGGCGCCCCCGTCTTTGGAGCCCAGCCCCCGACCTCTCCTTCTTACGACTACCAGCAGCAGCAGCCGCAGCAACCATACCAAGAGATCAATGGCGCCGTCATGCATCAGTACGACGGCAGCAAGCCGCAGTGGGGCTCGCCACCGCAAGGAGGTGGTGGTTTCACTCAGCAGGGCAGCGGCGTGTGGTACACGAGCCAAGAAACCAAACCGGGAAATGAAGTCTACACCACCACGACAGCCTCGCCGGGCTCGCCGGGTAGTCCGCTCTCGCACTCTGATCCGCGCCTGAGCATGGCGCAGCCCCCGTCGAGCCCGGCATCAACGGATCGGTTGTCGGCGTTCCAACCACAACATACGGGCGGTACGCTCCAAAGCCAGAGCCAGCCGATGGGCCCTAGCGTGCCGTCGACAGTGTACGAGGCGGGTGGTGATGCCGTGGGGATGCAGGGACAGCATAATGCTAACCACCACGGCCAGTTTCACGAGCTGAGCTCCCATTAGAGACGGACTAGCAGGGGGCGGACTTGTCTGGAGTATCTGCAGGTTCAAGTCAGCTTGGAAGTAATGATGCAATGGTCAGATTTTTAGAGCTTGATTATCTATTTAGGGAGAGCGAACCATCACGTACTGCAAATAATTCCAACTAAATCTTCTTTCCAAATTCTTCAATCTCCTGCGACGATGAGTTGTGAATGAGCTGAGTCAGAAGTTGTGAGTCTATATACGAAATGAGTACGGTGATTGCATAACAAGGAAAAAGGGTATTTTATAAGTCTAGGATGTCTGTGAGCTGGTACAGTATATAATGTGCAGCAAGTTTTGGTCACTTTGGCATCACGAATCGGAGAAGCCTGTGGTGGATATCAGAAATTCACTATTCTTATCTTTGGTCTTGCGGTCTGTATCAGACGCTGTCAAGCTTTTGCCCCTATGAATATGCAACTCCAAAACAAAGACGCCATTCTTAATGCATTATGTACAGAAATGTACATCTCTTCCCAAGCAGGCTCGCGTAGGACGACTGGGACTACTTGGGATGAGGAAATTCATCCTCCAATTGCAGTCGCACACCAACGTTCATGCTGATGAGTTCCTGAACCAACAGCTTTGCAGCATATGGCATTGTCATCTTGGCAACCTCTCGACTAGTGCGGCAAGTGCTGCAGTAGCCCTTGTAGCCAAACAAACCACACTTTTGACAAATGTCAACGTCGGTTCCATCGGAGCTGATCATGAGACGTTCCAGCAGAAGCTGTGAAGCACCGTACGCAATCAAACAATCACGCTCCATTTCGCCCAAACGTAGACCACCTTCACGTGATCTACCTTCGGTTGGTTGTCTTGTGAGAATTGCACGAGGGCCACGAGAACGAGAGTGCATCTTGTCTTGCACCATGTGCTTGAGACGCTGGTAGAAGATGGGACCGTTGAAAATGTATGCTTGTAGCGGCTCACCAGTAATACCCGATGTGAAGTAGTCCTTGCCCTCCCACGAGAAACCGGCGTCAACCAGGTTTCTGCTCATTTCCTCGAGAGGATGGGAGCGAAACGCATCGCCAAAGCCAAAGTCTTTGCGACCTTGGATGATGGATGCCTTTCCTGTTAGACATTCGAGCAGCTTACCAACTGTCATACGAGACGGGAAACCGTGAGGGTTCATGATGATATCTGGGCACAGTCCTTTATCAGAAAAGGGCATGTCCTCTTGGTCGACGATGATACCAACGACACCCTTCTGACCGTGACGCGAGGAGAACTTGTCACCAAGTTCTGGTCGACGTGTCTGTCTTGTCTTGACTTTGATCAACTGAGTCTCATACTGTGTCTGCGTCACCATTACAGTGTCCACGATGGCTCCGTCGTAAATCTTGAAGGTCGTAGGACACTCGCGATACTCGTCTGACCTCCTCTCATTACCGATTCCAGGCGACGTGTCGACTGGGCTTTCTTTCTTGATGAGGACATTACCACTCTTCAATTTCCAGCCAACGTCGGCGAGACCGTCACTAGTCAGGGCCTCGTGCTTGTCGTTGATCTGATTGAAGTCCCGGTCGCCGATGCGATCGCGGCTTCCGTTGGCGTACTTGTTCAGCTCGGCAGTGTACTTCCTGAATGCTTGTGATCGACCAAAACCGCGATCCAGAGATGCCTTGTTCAAGACGAGGGCATCCTCAATATCGTAACCAGAGTAGGACATGACGACAACAGTGGCATTCTGGCCAGCGGGAAGCTTGTCGTATCTGATGAGCTGGATGGTTTTGCTAATGACCATGGGTCTCTGTGGGTATACCAAGGTGTACAGAAGGGTGTCGATGCGGTTGAATTGATTGTACGCAATAGCTCCAATAGCTTGCTTACCCATAGCGCATTGATATGTGTTTCGAGGGGACTGGTTGTGGTGCGGGAAAGGAATCAGTCCAGCTACGGCTCCTAGAATAGTGAAAGGCTCAATTTCGACATGAGTGTGTGCTTTGGTGATATCCTTTTCGGTGAGAGCCACCAGAGTGTCATTTTCCTCGTTGACGTCAAGGTACTCGACAATACCTCGGGTCAGGAAGTCGTCGAATGTAGCCTTGCCCGCCTGGAGCATCCGAAGGTGACTTGCTTTGATTTTAGATTCGCCGTTCTTGACAATGATATAAGGACGACAAATGCGGCCTTCGTCGGTGGCAATGTGCACGGCAGAAAGATGCGTGTTGACGTTGATGCTCACGAAAGGCGACACCCAACCTCTACGGCGCATGGTTCTGAACTTTGACGCGAATCGCTTCGGAAACCTTGTTAGAGCAAAAGGTGTTCCGTTGATGTGAATGATATACGAGCCAGGGCGATGGATATCTGCACCCGAGAAACATCTTAGAGGTTCAACTCCAGAGTCGATTGTGTAGATCCAGCGTTTCACCGGTTCTTCGTCGATGTTGGTCGTAATATGTGTCATGAGTGCAAGGTTCTTGACGAGACCGCAAGCCTCACCTTCAGGAGTATCAGAGGGACACAACATACCCCACTGAGATGGCTGAAGTGCACGAGGTCCGGATACTTTCCTGGTCTTTTCGAACTGACTGCTGATACGTGTCATCATACCCAGTGCTGCGATGTAGCTGAGTCGACTCAACACATGGGTGACACCGGCTCTCTCCATCTTAAATCGCTTTACGCTCCAGTTGCCGGTCTGAATAGCGCGGTTCATGCCATCTGTGATCGTGCGGCCGAGTGTACTGATATTAACAAGCGGATCAAACGCAGCACGGTGGTTTCTCTTCAGAGTATTGTCGCAGGCGAACTTGAGCTGAGTCAAGTAGTTCTTGAAAAGATCCTCAAACAGCAGTGAGAGCAGCTGACCAGCCAATTCCAATCGCTTGTTACCAACAAAGTCACGATCGTCCACAAGTTTCGGGTCGTAGTGTGCCATCAGCACACGGCGCGTCATGAGGGCCACGTACATGGCCTTGGGGAAAAAGTCCAGTCCTTCAACCGGGATATGAGCAATGATGATGTTTGCGAGGGCGTCCAGACCTTCCTCGACGTTACTACGACGTGGCTGTGGTAAGCTGGTTCCGCCGGGCTTGCTCCGGCCACCCATCTTAACGCGCGCACCAATGTAGTCCAATGCCTGGTGTTGTGTGAAGACACCCACCTTGGCGGCGTCCTCAAAGTTGACCACAAAGTCATCCTGGAACCTTCCATCTGTTCCTGCCACAAGTTGCATGATCTCGAAGTCAGACAAGCCGCCGAGAGCCTTCATGACAATGACAATTGGTAAGGGTTCTACAAGGACGTTATGCGACAGGTGAAGTCGATCCTTCTTCATCACCACATAAGTCTTGGACTTTCTTTCGTGGGTTGAACTAGTGACTGATGCAGAGATGATGTTGTTCTTTTCGTCTGCCTCGACAATGATACGGTTTTTGCTGAGTTGTTCCTGGACGAGAATGACCTTTTCGGTTCCGCCGACGATGAAATAGCCACCCGGATCCAGGGGACATTCTCCCATCTTTGCCATCTCTGCATTGTTGGCGCCATAAAGATGACACTTGTTGCTGCGGAGCATGATGGGTATGCGAGCAAGCTCAACATTTCTGCGGACAACCCGGGTTTTCTCTCTTGGGTATGCAATGTCTACCAGGATTTTAGCTCCGTAGGTCATGTCTCGCAGACGACACTCTTGTGGAGTGATCTCGTTAGCCACTCGGAACTCATTGAAGTCGGGACGATTCGGTCTCTCAACGCGAATATCCAGAAATTCAATAAAGAAGGAGCCCGTGACATCGCTCCGGACAGTCCGGTTGGCCTTGAGAATCTCCTTGATTTCATGATCGACAAAGAAGTTGAATGAGTCAATGTGCCTATAAATAAGATGTCAGCCACAGGAAAAAATCCGACAGAGACGTTCATGGCGAATATTGCACATACTGCTTGACGAGACCTGTACACATAGGTTAGCCTTGAACTGGTTTCCGAGCAGAAAAATGGTGGCAAGTGCCGCCTGGCAGCCAGATGACTGTTGGTATGTACCTTTGACCTTTAAAAATGCAGGAAGCAGCTGGAATTTGTCGCCGACAGTAGAAATTGGGTCGGTCAGCTTCTTGCCGTTGTAGAAAGGCTCAAGAAGAGCCTCGAAGCCATCATCAACGACCGCCATCTTGTGTTTTGCGGGCAAACCCAATTCTCATGATGGTTTGGCCACGCGAAAAGGCTTTCTTTCTCTGATGGGGTGGCTCGAGGCTGTGACTGGATCCCGCCAGGCAAAAAGTCAGCAACGTCCCCCACCCGCGCCTGGCAAAGCAAGCTGGACTCTGGAGCCTCCAGGCCAGGGCTGCTGGAGGATGCTGCCGATAAGGCCGATAAGCTACCGAGTATGCGGATAAAAGTTCGGCCCCCGCTTCTGTAGTACCTAACCTGCCTTGTAGTTGAGCATCTGGCAGGCCTGTATCTACCTAAAACCTCGAGACAGACCACGAATACCAACATGGAAGGCTGGTTTGATAATGCTCAAATGCACATTCGATTCCAGATCGCAGTGATCACGAATGAAAATGCCTGTATAGAACGCGATTGGTTTTATATCTCGAGGGTCCCATCCTCCAAGGGACACAATTCAGAGCGAAAAAGTATGAAAGCTATCAAGATTTTGTTTACACGACAACCTCGAGAAAGACATATTCTACAGAGTATATGCCAACGTGCCAACGGACTTGCCCACTCTTTCTACATCTACACGGAAGCAAAATGTCTTGATTGAGGTAATTGTATTTTCAACATAGATTTAAATAGCAAAGTAATAAATTATGCCACTTACCTTTGCGAAGCTGAAGGCGATTCGAGGTGATGATTGATGTACTAATAATCGAATTCCTACAATGTAGTGACTGGAAATCCATGGGTGTTGTGCTTCCAGCAGTAGCTCAGCGCCAGGCATATGGCAAACGGTGGATTAGCCATAGGTAAGCCAAAGCGCCTTAACATTGATTGGGTCAAACTTGGGCTCTGTGCCATCCCTGACCCACCTGGCAGTGGCCTGAACAACTGGTACCAA